AAAATGAAGTTCACCCCCCTCATCGTCCTGGCGACGACCCTTTCGGGCGCCTTTGCCCAGAAGAACCCCCTCGCCTCCCTTGGTCCGCTCGGCAAGCTCGGCGCCAAAGCCTCCGACGCAGCCACCTGCGCCATCGCCTCGTCGCAGCTCTCGTGCCACGCCTCGTACGACATCCCTGCCTCCTCGTCCGCCAACTGCTGTTTCAACGGTGCCATCTCTGAGGGGGACAAGCAGTCGGGTCTTGTCCTGTCCACTTCCTTCTGGACAACCACCGCGGCGGACCCCGCTAACAACGGTCCCAAGGACTCGACCACGATCCACGGTCTCTGGCCGGACTACTGCGACGGCACCTACCCTGCGTTCTGCTCCAACGCCTCCGGCATCCCCGAGTACACCGGTGCGCAGATCGAGGCCGTGATGCAAAAGTACGACCCGGCGCTGTTCGCTTACTACCAGACCTACTTCAAGGACCTCAACGGCGACAGTGCCGACTTTTTGGAGCACGAGTACAACAAGCACGGCACGTGTTTTACTACGATGCGTCCCACCTGCCAACCCGCCCTCCCCTGGATCAGCAAGCCCGACTTCGCCGTCTTGAACTACTTCCGTCAGATCGCTCATAAGTTTGCCGAACGACCGACGTACAACATCCTCGCCAACGCGGGAATTGTTCCCAGTGCCACCCAGAATTATACTCTGGTGCAAGTCCAGGATGCTCTGAAGAAGGTGCATGGTGGTACCCCGTACGTCGGCTGCAACAAGAAGACCGGAGCATTGAGCGAGTTCTGGTTCTATTGGAATGTGAGGGGCCAAGTCAACTTCGGTCTGTACGAGCCGGTTGAGAGTACCACCAAGAGCAACTGTCCCGCCAGCCTCAGGTACCTCCCCAAGCCCTGAACCTCTCTTAGAACGGAATCGTAACGCAGTCAAGTGTGCTTCCCCACGTGTCGATGTGATGTGTGATATTGAACTGTGCGAACCCAAAATGCGATTAGAAGCTCTCGAGCACCTTTGCTGCCCACGGGTTGGCCTCGATCCTGGGCCTGAACTCGTCGACCACCTTTCTGAGATCCTGCAGTTCCGTCTCGGCATCCCTCCTCCCGCTCTTGTTCTCACCACTTCGTTCCGCCCACGTCTTGAGAAACTCATCGATGAGCTGGGCCCCCTCTCGCGTCGCCTCGTCGTCGACACTGTCCAGTACGCCCTTGGCCTCGTCCTCCTCGTAATCCTCCAACTCCTCCGCCTTCCTCTTGGCCAAGCGAATCACCGATGGTGGAAAATTGGCCAGTTCCGCCACGTTGATACCCAGACTCTGATCGCTGATCCCCGCAACGACCTTGTACAGCAGCGTAATGTCGCGATCGTGGCGCGAGGCGGCGTTTTCCTTCGGCTGGACGTGCGCTACGACGTGCAGATTGCGTACGTGCGCCTGCTGTGACGCTAGGTTGGTCAACTCGTGGAAATGGGTGGCGAAGAGACACTTGCATCGGACGTGCGTGGCGATGTATTCGGAGATGGCCCAGGCGAGGCCGAAGCCGTCGTAGGTGGAGGTGCCGCGTCCGAGCTCGTCGATGATGAGGAGAGAGTCCGATGTGGCGGTCTTGAGGATGGTAGCGGTCTCGAGCATTTCAGCCATAAAAGTCGAGACGCCCTTGAGCTGGGAATCGCCTGCACCGACACGGGCGAGGATGCAGTCGAACACCGGGAGTGACGCGCCCGGCGCGGCAGGGACGAAACATCCCACTTGAGCGAGCAGCGCGATGATCCCCACTTGTCGGATGTACGTCGACTTGCCGCCCATGTTCGGACCTGTGATGACCAAGAACTCGGATGCACCGCGAACCATCTCCGTGTCGTTCGGAATGAAGGTCACATCGTCCATCACTTCCAGGCACGGATGACGCGCCTCCCTCAGATCCACATCCGCACTGGTGCCCTTGGCCCTCACCTTCGGCTTGACATACGGTATCGGCGCACTGTCCGAAACATGCGCAAAGCTGACCACCACATCCAAATGCGCAAGCACCACATTGAGCTTCTCCAGCGGTGGACAGTAGGACGATGCGATCTGGATCACTTCCTTGACCAACCCGCTCTGCGATCGACTGTACCGCTCCGAGAGATCCTTGAAGTCGTTGGCCAGATCGCGAAGCGCTTCGTTGGTAAAGTACAACCCGCCTTTGACCGTCGCAATGTCCGAATAGCCCTTCTTGTTGCGGACGAGTCCGGCATCGGTTCGCGTGACCCGCAGGCAGTAGCCGTACACGTGGTGGTTCTCCAGGTGCAGCTTCTTTTCGGTATCCATGCGAAGCTCTTTACCGGCGAGCCGGTGCTGCTCGTCGAGCTTGTCGCGCGTATCGTCCAGGGCCTCCTTGATCTGACGCAGGTTGTCGTCAAAGTCGGGCTTGATGACAAAGTTGTGGTGCGTGAGCTCGTTGAGGTCCAGCGTGGCTTCCACCAGCTCGTTGTACTTGGTCAGCGCCTCCGCGTGGCTCGAGAAGGGTGCGATGTAGGTTGTTTCGAGCAGCGCCGCGTGTGTCTCGGACGGCGTGTCCATGTCCGAAAGGGTCTGGATGAGACCAGGCAGCCGCAAAACGGCTTGGTAGACGCGTACAACATCTTCGAGCGTGGCGATGCCCTTTTGGAAGCGTTTGCTGATGCGGTGCATGTCGGGCATGAGCTTGAGGTAGTCGGTCTGGATGAGCTGACGCGCGCTATTGTCGTTGATGAAGAGCTCCACCAGGTTCTGGCGCTCCTCGATGGCGTGCACGTTGACGAGGGGCTGCTTGAGCCACTGGCCCAGCAGTCGTTGCCCCTGGCCGGTGCGACAGCGATTCAGCAGGCCGTAGACGCTGGTGTTCTTGCTTGACCCGGTCTGCCCTGGCTCTGGGAAGAGGTTGAGCGCGCGCAAGGCCGAATTGTCGAGACGGAGATACTGTGACAAATCGTGGGTGCGGATGGTGTACTGGCCAAAGTTGGACTCGTCGGTCAGCAGACCGAGGTAGGTGATGAGTGCAGAAGCGGCGCCCATGGCGACCTTGAGATCGAGCTCAGGGATCGTGATGCCCGACGACTCTTCCTTGAGCAAGCGACGCAGGTCCTGATCGATGTTCTTGCCTCCAAAGTCGGCACGCTTGTTGTCGAACATGACGACGCCGCAGCGATCGATGACCTCTTTGAGCTTCTTGAGGTCAACGTCGGCGCTCTTGTCGTCCTTGGGCAGGATGCACTCCTTGACGCCGAGCTGGATGATGAGCGATTCCGTGTTGCTGTACAGGTCGTTCTCTGCGTACTCTGAGACGCACAGTTCGCGATTGGTAGCATCGGCAAAAGCAGCACCGACCGTCTTGACGCCATCGCGCGTGGTCATCTTGAGCGCCATGACGATGGGCGAGCTGACAATGTCGGCATTGACAAAGATCATATCCTCCATCTGCTGCAGGTTGCCGGGCGACGCTTGCTTGATGATGGTCCACTGATTGTTGCGCTTGCCACCTGCGTTGCCGTAGATCTCGACACGCATCTGGCGCGAAGTAAGTGCTTCACGGAGGAAGTTCTTGGCAGCTGCTACGCTGAGGGTGATGGATGGCAAGCCACCTTTGTCCTTGCCGCCACTGCCGAGGTATTTGAGTGCCGAGTGTGTTTTGAAGACCTGGTTGGCGATGAGGATGGCATCGTCTCCATGTGCCGAGTAGAAGTCGGAGCGGTCAAAGAGACGCAGGGTTCCTGGCGAAGGCTTGGGCATGGCCCTGAAGGTCTGGCAGAAGCTGCTCTCGGCAGCGTTGTCCAAGCCGAGGTCAGGCTTCTCGGACGTCGACGGTCCATCGTACATGAGCCCCGACATTGTGACTGAAGATGCTCGACAGGACAGCTGGCGACGAGGATGAAGGTGAAGAGGGCAAGGAGAGCGGAGAGTGGAATCTTTCAAAGTGGCACTCTTCTCAGTTCTGAGACCCTTTGATGCTGCCTTTACGCGTCGCGTGAATCCAACAGCGCTTTGGCTGAGCTTGAGAGTGGAGGCGACTCAGCTCAAAGGCTTAACACGCTGTCATTTTCGGATACGACGCTCAGTTCACCACAGGCATCCTCATCAGATGTGAGCTGTTGAGAAGCGTCTTGACGACGGCTTTTGGCATGAGTGAAGTTCAGAGCATGACGGGGATCAGTCAATCTTGACCGAGGCGCTGAACGACGCTCTGCTTCTTGCGCTGGTTTTCGGTCTGCCCATCTGCAGTGGGAGGTGGCTTGTCTGTTCGTGTGCCAATGCGAATGTCGGTAGCGATGCGTTGAGCACCGAGACGATGGACGGCCTCGTGACAGAGCTCGATCGCCTTGCAGACGGTGGGGAAGGTGCCTTCGAGGTTGGTGCCGTAGCCGCTGTTGGAGGCAAAGAAAGAGGATGAATTGTCCGTTTCGCTCTCGTGCAGTGAAAGGGGTGCGGACTTACTGGACCTCGTAGCGGATGCCCTCATCCTTCATGCTTTCAAGCACTCGCTGGCATTCTGTAATGTATTCGCCCACTGATGTTGTCGGTGTGCCCATGGGGATGACTGTGTCGTGGGTTGTCGGGGACGTGATGGTGTGAGCCAAATTGGACAGAGCCATTCTGTGAGATAGGCTTTGCGCAGTACTCACGGCAGAAGTCGGCCACAGCGTAGAGAGGTGTTGTCGACGAGGACATCTTGAGGCGCTTCCAGTTCGAAGGATGTGGTAGAGTGTCAGGTGCGAGATGACCGGCGTGTTTGATCTAGTAGCTTCTCGTGGGCGGCGCGTGCATGCGAAGCAAAAGTGTTGGTGTGGAGGAAGCTTTGAACCCTTTCTTTTGAGACCAAACCCTATCTCGACCACCACCACCGACTTTCGCTGCGCTCATCCTCAGCCAGCTAGCATGCCCCAGGCACCAGCCCCGTCGAGCGCTGACATTGATGCTGCTACCGCTGCCGACCATGCTCGAGCCTCTTCCAGCACGCCTCGCAAGACCAGCTCAAGTCGTCCTACGGCTCTCTTGACCAAATCGTGGACCTCTGCGTCTGTTCTTCCGTCCGCAAGCTCATCACGCATCACAGTCGGCGCCAACACCAGCACAGCCGCCGACACAAGCTCTCCGCGCTCTCCTGCCTCGAACAGCAGCTCGTCTACGAGAGCTTCCACGCCGCTGCCCCAGATCACCTTCAGCCCCTCCAAGCCGCAGCTGTCCACCCGGCAGACATACGCAGAAGGGCAGTCGCTAGCAGGGCCATCTGACGAGTCACGCATTCGTATTCCTTCCCGTCAAAGCTCGGACCGAAGCGGCTCTCCTGACGCCGAACTGGGCAGGGATGGCGCATTCAATGATGCTGCCGAGGACGAGCCCGAAGCGGTAGGCATCACCGCCAGCTCGAGCATCCACGCTCTTGACCTGCTTCATCGAGTCAACGACAGGGCGGCAGCGGATCGAGTCTCGCAGACTCAAACTCTTCGATCTCGGCTGTCGCAACTATCAATCAGTCGGGGCTCGAACAAGTATCGCAGCGAAAGCCAAGAGGCTTTAGGCAAGGCGCGCGCGCTACCACCGCAGTTTCTCGACCAGAAGCGAGCTGACGTGGCGAATCAAGAAGACGCCGAAACCTCATCACCTGTGAAAGTTCCAGCCGAACCGGCAGACGCACAAGAAGTGCCAAGCACGGCAAGTTTCAATGCTGATGAGCAGTACGCAGATCGCAAATACTACATCCTCTCATCGGCCGGCAAGCCGATCTACATCTCCCATGCCTCGCTCTCACGTCGTAGGAGACGTCGGGATCGCCGCCGGCGTCAGCAACAACCGGCCTCCGACGAGCCGGACTCGAAACAATCCGACGCAGCAGACGCCACTGAGAGCGATGAAGAGGACGAGAGCAGCACCACCCAAGTGGGCGTCATGCAGGCGCTCATATCCATCTTTGCCGACGAAGACTCGGACAAGCTGCGCTACGTTCGACAAGGCGATCTGCTCATCACCTTTCTCCTTCGCGCGCCGCTCTACCTCGTCTGCGTGTCCAACTGGAACGAGGAGCCGTCGACACTGCGGCAGCATCTCGAATACCTCTATCTGCAGGTGATCAGCCTGGTCTCAGCGAGCCAGCTGAACAGGCTGTTTGCTCGGATGCCGAATTTCGATCTGCGCAGGCTGTTGGAGGGGACGGAAGGGATCTTTGACTACCTGGTCAATCAGCTCAACGCCAACGAGACTGAGGATGACGAGCAAGATCAGCATGCCGCTGCGATAGCGCGAGTGAGCACCGATTGGGCATCATGTCATCAATGGTGGCTGCAGGCTCTGCAACCTATCCGCATCGCCGTGCCGACGCTACGCGACCACCTGACCGCCGCTCTGCAGCCGCCAGCAGCCGAATCTGGATCGTCAATGCAACCACACCGACCCAAGGATCTACTCTACATCCTCCTCGTCGCCAACGGGAGGATCGTAACTCTGCTTCGGCCGCGAAAGCACTCCGTGCATCCGATCGACCTGCTCCTGCTCACCAACACGGTGATGGGCAGTCGATCGATCAAGCGATCCGGGGGCTCCGAAGAGGCAGAGATCTGGATGCCCTTCAGCATGCCCAAGTTCGCACCGCAAGGGTTCGTGCATGCCTACGTCAAGTTCCTGGACCCATCGAGCTGGGTGGGCGAGACAGAAGCGGCAAAGGAGGGAAAGATGACCTCGTCCGAGCTGGCCGTCATTGTCGTCACTGGCGACAAGGACGCTTTTCCGACCGTATCGACGTGGATCTCCTCCCTCGTCGCACGTCCGCCGACACCCGCACCGAGTGATGCTGCCGAGACCGCTTCGATCGGCTCCACCATCTCTGCCGTCTCTTCTCGCAAGGTCAGCAACAAATCGCGTTCCATCTCGAGAACGTTGAAACCCTCCGAGGACGCGCCGGTGTGGATGACCTCCTTCCAGCGGCACATCCTGACATTGTCGCAGCACCTCTCGGACCCGCTCAACGTGGAAGCTGGTTCTCCGCGCGTATCCGCCTACACGTGTGCCGAACTTGGCCTGCCCGGTCTGCGACACTTCGTCTATCGTAGCAACAGCACCATCCAGCTCACCTCGCCCACGCTACCGGACCCGTACAGCACGAGCGCCGTCGACCGCAAACGGCTCTTCACACTCTACTCGTTGGTGCATCACAACATCCACCATCCTGCGCCGCCGTCGACGCCCCAGACCAAAGTTTCGGGGTCCAACCCCACCACCCCCGCTGCCACCTCCGGAGGAGGAGGGGGAGGGGGAATGCTGGACAGTCTCGGTCTGGGTTCGTCGCGAGATCCAAGACCGTTGCTTACTGCCGATCGCAGACTCAAAATGCAACTCGTCAAGACACAGCACGAACAGGTGCTAGGGTGGATCACCAGCCCCTTTGAGCTCTACCTTTGTGTCAACGCGCAACTTTCCAAAAGCGCGATTGTCGCCGTGGCCAATGGGTTGACGAAATGGATCAAAGCCAATGAAAGGGATCTGTTCTTGGTCAACGCGGGCAGTTTCTAGGCTCTTGGGCAGGATGCAATGTCAAGCTATTTCAAGGTCGTCGACGAGCGTGTGATCCAGATTGAATGACGTGTGTGTGAAGGACTCATATCCTCCCATCTCTCGATGTGCCAGGCGCACTGTGAATGCCCAACCCCTGCGGTCTGGGCGCAGCCATGAGACTCCCCCTGCTATCGCTTGTTACGATAAATCCCTCCTCTTCCTCGGCTATTGGGTGCCCACCTCTTCCGAACCAGCGTCTCCACCATCCGCCCTGCTTTCCCAGTCCCACCGCCTCCAATCTTCTCCTCAGATCGATCTGGTCCAACATGACAGCGAATCCGCTCGTTGCCTCCTCCCCCTCGACCCTCTCCGCGTTTCCTCCTACCCCGACCACTCTCTGCGTAGCCTCGTTGGCAGCGCCCGCATCGGCCTCGCTCATGCTCCTCCCTGGCGCCCTTCTCCCCGTTGCCCGGGTCAACGACGGACTTCTCGGCTGCAGATGAAACCCAGGCGAACTGGGACTGATCCCAATCGACAAGCCGTGTTCCAACAACGCACTCAGGGACGGCTTTCTCCTTCCCACCTCTTCCACCGCAGACTGGTCCGGGGAGGTGTTGCGTTCGAGATCGGGCGTGCGCGTGGGCGAGAAGAGGTCCGGAAAATCCAATCGGATCGACGGTCGCCGTGTTGAGTTGCGTCGTTTTGGTGTGGTGCCCCCCTCGCTCGGCAGCGTCGGGAGTAGCTCTTCCGGGCTGGCGAGAGGTGGAATGTCGAACGTGCTAGGTGAGATGCTGACCGGTGGAAGATGCGGTCCCGCGACGCCGGCGCCGTTGGCCAACATACCCTCTTCTACCGAAGGGGATGATGAGAGCAACGGCTGACGCTCCTCTAGGGAATCAGAATCGTCCGAAGAGTGCAAGCTCACCGTCCACACCCCGCCTAATAGGACCGCTGTGCCAAGCGCAACAAGCACCACGTCGTACCAAGCGAGCTCGCCCACCTGGTCAAAGTACACCAGGCCGAGCGCGATACTCGACGTGTTGTAGAAGCAGAATGCTAGTGGACACACAAGTGTCGGATCGGCGAGCTTGAGCGCTTTGTTGAGGTACCACAGTTGCAGTAGGGCCGCCGCGAGCAGGATGCCTAGCAACAACCAACTCTGATACCTCCCAAACTGATTCTCGCCCGCAAAGGTGAGCATGAGCAGCTCGACGCCGGACTTGGCCAGCAGCAGGCACGCGCCTGAAAGAGTGCCCGATGCACCACCGTATGCGACGGCCAAGCCGAGCTTTGTCGAGCGCAGCGTTTCCGCGTCGACGCGCGGTTCGAGGGAGGCCAGGTCCAAGCGGGGAACGTCGGGTTTCTTTCGTTTGCGCGACGAAGGGCCGAGGGTGCCGTAGTCTCTCTTACTAGCGGGCCCTGTGGGTGGTACGAGATTGCGATCAGGTATGCCGTTCTGCGTGGAACTGACGCCATGGCGATTGGCCTCATCCCGAATGGCAAGCACGGGCGTGGCGATGCCCGAACTGCTCTCGCTGACCTCTGCGACAGGGGCGAGCGTTGGCGCTGACCATCTGCGGCGCAGTCTCCCTCTGAAAGTCGATCCGGTGCGCTTTTTCACCGGCCTCGCCGTGGGCGACCCACGGTGGGCTCGAGAATGCAGCTGCCACTCGGCGAGATGGGAGACGGTGAGCACGCCAACAAAGACAAACGTGAAGATGGTCGCGAAGGCCACGAATGTTGGTCTTGCAAACAGATCCAGCAGCTCATCCAGGCTATGCGGTGGCGAAGGCACCACGCCGAAGTATCCGATCAGCACTGCGCCGCTGGCGATGAGCAAGGTGCCCATGACCATGTACTTGGAGAGCAGGTCGTTGAGCAGGAAGCGCGCGAGCACGGCATTGTACAGCAGACTGACGGCGCCCAGCGGGGCAAGCATGACGATGGGCAGCGCACCGATCTGGAATACTGTACCACCGACATTGGCGATGAGGAAGATGGCGAAACCGACCAGCCAGAGTGGACGACGCCATTCGGTGACCCGACGCGCGGGGGAGAGCGATTCGTTGAGCAGGTGCGATTTGCGCTGGATGGTGAGGCCGAGCGATTGGATGAAGGAGGCGAGGAGGCCGAGGATGATCGCTGTGGGCACGCTGAAGGGTGCGCCCGTGTGGCCGCCGTCGTCGACGAAGGCGACGGTTGACATGGTGGGCGCTGGAAAGTTGCCCTTTAGGGTTGTGGGATGTCGACCGGGGGCGGCAAGAGCCGGAGCGATGCGCTTAGATGGAGCTGTGTGATGGCATTAGCGGCAGAGGTCTGGCAAATGCGCGGGCAGTGTCGATGGCGAGGGTGGTGATGTGGTGGAGAAGCAAGACGCCGCAAGCAGCTTGAAACAGGGATGTGTCGGCAAAGTGATTCATGCAGGAAGCGTAATCCGGAGCGGGTGGCCTGTCAAAGGTGTTGCTCTCACCTGCACAAGGCCATCCCGTCCGTGCTTCGGAGCTGCAGCAGCCAAGACCGGCGTCCAAAATTGTTAAAATGTTAGTAGGATCCTCAACACACAGTTCTGAAGAAACCTTCACACAGCTCTGCCTTCGTCGACATCAGCACGGACAAGCCGCACACTCTAGAGAAGACCAGTGGGTATGTCATTGAGGTATACGCAACTCCTTCCAGCTACCAAAATGGATCAGAGGCGATAGTTTCGAAGGAACATTCGCCTTTTCTGCCATTTGTAGATCCAGCACGATCTGCTTCCTCCCGCTCTACATGATCACACACTCATCCTCATTGCCCGTTGTCTGCTTGGCCAGGTCCCTGGTGAAACCAGCTCCGCCCTGACCGTTGCCCCTCAGATTGACCACCAGCACACCGGCGTTCCTCGGATCCAGATGGGCCTCTAACCTGTAATCCTGCATCATCTTCTCCACTGCGGGCGCAATGTGTTGTCTATGATCCTTGCTGTGTAGCCCTTTGCCGACGATAATGCGCATCTCTGTCCAGCCCTGGGCTTGACCCTGGCGGACCGCCTGTTCGGTGCGTTCGAGCGCCTCGGAAGTGTACAGCCCGTGAAGGTCGACGGTGCCCTGCGGGGAGTCTTCGTTGTTGGCCATAAAGATCCAATCGGCGGCCTGCTTGTTGAGGCGCTCCATGTTGAGCTTATGCTCGTGGCCCTCGTTGCTGAGCTGCTTGGCGCGGCCGCCGTCGTTTTGGGCGTAAGCCTTGTGCGACTGGTCGAAGCAGCGCGCCATCTGGTCGCCCTCGGATCGCGCTTGGTTGCGAAGGTTCATATATTGCGCGTCGTGCTGGTTCACCTGGTTGTCCGCAGAGTATTTGTAGTGTGGGCCCTGCGTGGGTGCGCCATGGTGCGGTTGAGGGGCGCTATACGCACCTTGGGGTGGTGGATGGTCGTAACCCCCAGAAGGGGCGGCGTAACCGGTACCGAAACCGCCCCCATAGCCACCTTGCTGCTGATTGCCGTACGAGGCTTGTTGAGCGTATGAGCCGCCTTGCTGCTGCTGCCCACCTCCGTAGCCACCACCACCGCCTCCTCCTCCTCCACCACCACCACCCTGGTTCTTCTTGTACAAGCCAAACGCCTTCTTGGCGTACTTGATGATCTGGCGCCGGTTCTTCTTGACGAAGCGGATGAGTTCGTCCATGGTTGCGGGCGTGTCTAGAGGGATGTGTGCCACCGAGGATGGTGAGAGAAAGAAAGGAAGAACGACGGCCAGCTCGGATGGATGGAAGGACACCTCAAACCATCGGCTAGCTCGACGGCGAACCGCACGAGCCTCGGTCGGGATTTGAAAGTCGGATGGACGAGGGGCCCAGACGGTCTTGTGCTCATGCAGCTGTCTGCTCGATGAGCTTTCGCTGCCTCTCAACGTTGCAATTTGCTCCTGAAAGTGGGCAGTGCATTCACCGATCTCACATCTTACCGCCTATTTTTTGCGCTGGGTGGAGGAAGAAAGTGAGTGTCGTGCGAGATTTTTGCACCGACGCAAGACACCGACTCCAAAGCTTCTCATCCTTCCCCCTCTATTCCTTATCACTCTTTCAGCAATCCTCGCCATGGCTGACATCGAGAACGCCGAAGCGGGCCCATCGGGTCCTCAACCACGCGAGACCATCTACTGCGCAATCTGCACCTTTCCACCCGAGTACTGCGAGTTCGGTCCCTCGCCATCCAAATGTCGCACCTGGCTGCATGACAACCAGCCTGCGCTCTACGCCTCGCTCTGGTCGGACGAAGCCATCTCGTCGAACCTCGCCAACCTCACCACAAAGCAGGCCGAGGATCTGGAGCGCGAGGCGGCGAAGAAGGAGCGCAAGACGGTCGCCAAGGAGGAGCGAGCACGGGCTGAAATGGCCGCGTCCAAGATTGTACTCAAAAAGGAGGCGAGGACCAAGCGAAAGGTGACGACGAGCATTACGGGGTTGCATCTCTTCTCGCCGCCGTTGCCCGCATTGAAGGTCGTCGCGAAAGCGTAAGTGCAATTCCGAACAAAGTGCATATGCTGGATTGGAAGACTGACGAAGTTTTCTTTGGTGTGTTGGGGATTGACAGCCTCTCGTCAAGATTTGCAACAGGCGCCTCGGTCAGCAAGAGCGTGCAGAATCCGGGCGTGGACGAGATCGTTGTCCAGGGAGACGTAGCCGACGACGTTAAGGGAATGATTTTGAGCAGAACGAAGCCATTCCACGAGCTGCCGTCCGAAGCCGACGGCGGGCCGACCGAGAAAAGCATCGCCATCGAGGAGGACAAGAAGGTCGCCAAGAAGGCGGCGGCTGCCGGTGCTGCTGGTGCTCCTGCCGAGGACTAGGGCTAGCACAGCGATGCACTGCAATTCGAAGCTATCTCAGCCGAGCTTAATTGTCTTCAGAACGTGTTCAAGAGCATCATCTGAAGCTTCACACGATTTGGCAGTCCGCTATCAGTGCTGATGTATTGCTGTGCACGAGCTGATATTGTCGACGACTGCGTCCGCACCTACAGATACACCGCATTGAGATCGGTCAGCGCCTCAAACGGCTCCTCCTCAGACTTGACCTGCAGGTCGTAACTTCTCCCCGTCCGATCTGCGCCGTTGAGCACCGAGATCAGCGTCCACCACGCCTGCCACGCGATGGCGGGAACAATGATATCGCCCTCTTTGATCCCGGCGAGCCATCTCTTCCACGTATCTGGATCCCAGGCGCCCTTCTCGTCCGGATTGGGGCACACTCGTGAGCGGTCCTCTGCACCCTCAGCTGGGCGGTACGACTGGGTCTGTGGCACCACCGCATCGCCAGGCGGCGGGAAGCGGTCCGCTACCAGCGGCGATTTGAACACGCACATCTCGAGGTAGTCGAGTTCCCACGCCGAGCGGTGTGGCCAGTTGCTGCTGCTGAGCTGGCCGAAGTAGTGCAGTGCGCTGTCGGAGCTGATGGTCAGCGCAGTGGCAAAGTGTTCGACGGAGAGCCTCTTGCGTGACCACGTGTAGTCAATCGTCTCTTCCAGTTCGGGACCGAGCGGAAGGCCCTCTGGAATGCCGCCCCGGCGTCTGAAGCCGAAGGCTCGGTTGGTCGCGTCCGCCAACACGCAAGGGGAAATGCTCAGCGAGGTGCCCAGCACTTTGGACAGCATCGTCGCGTCCACCTTGTCTTTGGACACTTTGAGCACCTCCGCCGACGCAGAGGGCGGCGAACCGATGGTCAGCGGGACTTGCAGATCTGGATGGTCGGGATCGATGAGGATAGGTGCAGAAATGGTGATGTTCTTGTCGCTGTCATCTGCGGCGTTGTCTGATTGCGTCTGCGGAATGGGCGCATCGAGACCGATCTCGCGAGCTAGACCACCACGCACTCTCGCCTTTTCGTACTCGTCGATCCACCCTTTGATGCTCTTGAAAAGCGCCTGCCAGTGCTCCCACGTTCTCGAGTGGTTGACCTTGCTGCCAAAGAGCAACGATGCCTGCGCCCAGCCGGCCGGAGCACTTGAAGCGCCATTGCCTTCCAGCATGTCCGCCAGTTGATTCGGGTCAGGAACAGTGGAAGATCGTGGCGGTACTTTCCCTTGGAGACGCTCAAGGAGCGAGTTATTGTTGGTTGTCTCCGGGAGCGAGTCGACCGGATCCAGATTGAGCTTTTGTGCTAGAGAATCGGCCATCTCGGTCGCGTCAGCCCCGCCAACGTCAAGCAGGGACGGAGGATTCTCGCTTGCCTTGGGCGGCGACGTTCCTGCGCTGACGACACCCGTTCTCCAAGCTTGCACCGTCCTTTCCTGCGCCTTGTTGGCTTGATCGAGGGCCGCAGCCTTGCCGAGAGCAGCGTAGCTTCCTTCTGCCGCAGCCCGACTGCCTTTGCCATAGCAGAGGTGCATGATTCCCTCCCAACCAAGGGCTTCCCCCAATGCACTGGACACACTGATGGGCAGAGGATCGACCTCGCCGCATGGCCACCATGCCTCCTGCTCTTCGCCATCCTGCTGCGCGAGGGCTGACTTGAAGCTCGCATCGATTGGGTTGCTTGCTCCAGAATGTGGGTGGGGAGAGCGGTCGAGGTCCAACGAGCGAAGCGATTGACCCGGTGTCGTGGGTAGAGGGCTGGTCGTGGGATGCACCTGGGGAGTCCTGATGGATGGCGTGTCCGTGCTGCCATTGTCAGCGATCTGCGCTCGCCTTTGCCTGGGTGAGCGGACGTTCTCCTGCCCTGGAGTAGTCACTTGGTCGCCATCACCGTCAGCGTCATAAGCAGACTCGTCTATGGACTTGAGCACCAGACCCGAAGCGGATCGGAAAAGAGTGAGAAAGTCGCCGCCATCCATGACGGCCGCCAGACGGCGCTTGGCTGCTTGACCTTGTTCGTTCCCAGCTAAGACGTTGCCGCCAACAGATTCCTCGAGAATGCCTTGATCCGAGAAGGATGTTTCGACAGTGGAGCGCGACGAGACCATAGTAAGATCGACCATGCCGTCCTCTCGCACAGGGCCGAGGGTCTGATGATTTAGCTGCTTGGCGGCGGCGTGCTGCTTGCCTGAGCTTCCGGCCGAGCTGCGTCGTCGACCCTGTGTGCTCGTTCCATTGGCGGACTGACGCATCATCTGAGCACGCAAAGCTCCGTCTTCCTCCTCCTCGTCGAGATCGAGTGCCTCTTCGTTCGACGGTGTGCCTCGCAGGCCGGAGCGAAAGTCTGTGCGATGACTTGATGCGTCGTCGCGAGAAAGTACTGGCGAGGCGAGTTGACCGTCGTGTCCATCCGCTCCGTGTCGATCCTGGAAGGACTTCTTCCTGCCTACATTGAAAAGCTTCGACATCATGGAAGACCGTCTGACCGGCTTGGCAGAGGAAGCGGGAGACACGAGCTGCGAGGGGCTCGTGACGGCGCCTTCTGTGATGCTTGGTAGGGCCGCGTCCGCCGTTGAAGATTGGGTAGGAATCTCGACGGTCGGCCTCGGTTTGGACCTCGAGCTGCCTCCGGCTTCACCGTGGCTGTCATTTGTGTCGATGCTGAAGCCTGAATCACCAGCTTGCTGAAAGTCGGATTCACCGTGGGCAGCGGCCGAGATTGCGCCGAACGAAGCCATGCTCTCTGGGCTAATTACAGGGCGGAGTGTGTTGTCTGCGTTGGAGAGACTCGACTTCCGACCTCTGCGCTTCCTCCAATCGGACGAGGTGGTGGATCTGCCCGAGCCGATGCGCTTCAAACCGGAACCAGACGACTCTGCTTGGCGATGCGAACGTAGCTTGGGTGGTGGGGGCGCAAGACCGACGGTATGCAAGTCGAGTCGTACGTGGAAGGTGACCAGTTGTGTGGTGTCGTGTGTGGGTTGAGAATACCGAGACGACGAGGAGTGGGAGCTGGACGGAGAGGAAGATTGCTGTCGCTTTGAGAGACGAATGTAGGGTGCCGAGGGTGGCGCAGCGCTGGCATGATGGCCGCTACTGGAGCCTTTTGAGTGGGTATCTTCATCGTCAGAGCCCTCGTGGGTGTGCGAATCCGAGTTGTTGTTGCGCCGGAGCCAGCTGAGCTTGAGTGCGCTGCTTCCGCCGAGACTGGCAGCAAAGGAAGGTTTGCGCCCTTCGGTGACCTGACTGGATCGACGGCCGGATTGCTTTGTGGAAGTTGCGCGAGAGATACTGCGCATACGACGTCGAGGTTCCTTTTCGGCGCCGACGAGCAGTCCGTTTTCGTCATATCGAGCGTCGAAGAACTCGCGCAAATTGCGGAATTGGGGATCGTCGTCTGCGTCGTCAAGTAGACGGATGAGTTTGGAGAAGGGCTGCACTGCGTCTACAGCGCCAGTGTGATTGAGCAGGAAAGAAAGGGTGTCGACCGAGTGCGGCGGGTGAGGGGTATGGATGGGTTCGAGCTTGGTGTTGGCACCGACGCGGAGGCCCTGCGGCTCTTGAAGCGAATCGGCGCTGCGCTCTGGATCCTTGACGTATGGTACGGTGGTGTAGTCGAGTGTGGGGAGCGGCTCGAGTTGGAGCGCAAATGCCAACGTGAAGAGCTGATGCAGCGCCATGATTGCTGTGCGCCCTGCTGTGCGACAGTCACAACGATCGCGAAGGAGCGAGACGAGAATTTGTCCGCCAATTCAGAGGCAGATGGACGACCTTGTCTAGGGAAGTGAACAAGACATCGGGGCAGATGGGACGACGTACAGCGTTGCGGTGTTTTGCGAAGCCGATTCTCCGAGAAGGTTGGCGAGAGCTCGTAACGATCAAGCTGGTCGATAAGGTCCAGCAGACGGTCTGATACGATGCGATGGGATTGAGATCGAGCGGGATGATGGAAGGTGGTGAGCGAGAATGCGGATGACTTTGATGAGCCCTTCAAACATCCACTGCCGCCGGCGACTACTACGAGGATGGATGAACGAATTATAATCGCGGTAGGAGTAAGTGCAAGAGCTTGTCTCAGAAGTCGGAGTTGGGAGGAGATGACGGACGACGAGAGTCAAGTTTGCTGTGCAGAAGCGCGGGGTCAGAGCCACGACGTTGATTTCGTCGGCTAAGCTTTACGGCGACTTGGATTGAGCGGCCAGGAAACTTGGCAACGCCCTGCTTCGCCTGCCTCGCCTGCCTCGCCTGCTTGGCCTGCCTGGCCTTGTGATCTTCGAAATTTTTGGTATGATGAGCGAAAGTTGTGGAGGCTCTTAGGCCCTTTGGCCTGTGACAAGGTGAAATCGCCGTCTCTCCTGTTGCGCTTCATCCGGCGCCCGCTGCAGGTTGCGCATCAGGGCGATCAGCGCTGTTTGTGCGTCTGAGGTGTGAAACCGAGCTAGAGAGAAATGCTTCCATTCGACACAACGTGGCCCTGAGTCTCACGGCGTCTTGCGTCTGTACCCTCGAAATGCAGCCTAGTTGATCGCCTTGCCCCTGCGCCCGTAGATCGCCCACACGCATCTTCGCGGGGTTGGCACGCCCTCTTTTTGTCCGTCGAGGACTGCTCACGACGCTGTCGTCAGACTGCATTCGGCATCGCCGGTCAACCTTTTCTTTCTATGCCATTCCCATCTGGGCTCTCTCGTCCAGCGTGGGAAAGGAGTAATCACTGCAGCGGGCCAGCCGGTCTGCATCGGCAACTCCATTGATGAGCGTCCATCACACGGATGAGCCGATCCGGCCGTCAAGGCTGAGCACGCTTGCTTCCCCACGCTGCTGTCAGCATTCATTTGTGCTTGTGCTTGCTCTTGAAGTCAGCCCGTTCGGGCAGCGACTCTGCCGCCCTTTGCGCCCATGCCTGTGCCCAAGATCAAACTCGCCCTCGGACGACCACACGAACAAGACATGACTTCTCGAAGAGCTTTTCTTTTGATTCTTGAGACAGATTGCTACGCAAACATACGTTGTGACCAGAGACCACCTAACAAGACGAGAATACCTAGGAGCGGAGAGACATGCGAACAAACACGAGAATACTGAGACCGCCAACATGAGGCTAGGCCACGAATATAGATGCCGGACAAAAAGAGACTGAAGACGAGCAAAAGCCCTGCTGATTCGCGCGATCCGAAGCGCTTCATATCAAGCAGCACGTTCGTCATCTTTGAGCGCCTACCACCGTGACTACACTCAATGGGCGTTGAAGTGACCCATGAGCAGTCGCTCGCCCATCGGGCTCGGCTTGCGCTTCGTGTTGCCGCTGAAGCTAGGCTGGCGGCCGCGCACAATCGGCTTGCCTTCCTCAAAGCAGACGCCAGAGTCGCGCGTCGTGGGAATGGCCTTGGGCGAGGCCGATCGAGGGATTGCTGCTGCAGATGGAGCAGACTCGAACGCGGGAGCCACAGGCGTGCTGGCTGAGACTGGCCCGCTGGCGCTCCTGTACGAGCTGCCGCTCAGACTGAAGCGGCGAAGCAAGCTGCCCATGGCGCCGTTGGCGCCGGCTCCGTCGCTGACTGCACTACCTTCGTCGATGCTCGTTCGGCTGAGCGTGGGTGAGAGCGGGCCGGGTCGCATTGTGTTCATCCAGCCCATCTTCTGACCCCAGCTGCCGCTGTTGAATCGCTTCTGAGCTTGCTCGTAAGACGCGCCCAAGGGAAGAGAAGGCACTCGGCCCAGGGAGTACCCCGAAGAAGAAACTGAGCTGCGGGGGCTCGTAGGCGAACGCGAGTACGACAGGTCCGAAGCCGACATGTACGATGAAGGCTGGGATCCTGCCGCGTCGCTGGCCGCCGAAGGCCGCGAATCGACGCGGCCGGCGTCCCACGGCTCGACGCTAGAAGCAATGGTGCCAGCACCGATGGCGGTCTGGGAGCGAGCACGTGTGTGATGCTGCGGAGGCGACATTCGGCTGTCATCCGTCTTCGCGTTGACGGGGCTGAAGCCCATCGAGAAGCGGTTGGTGGGGCTCGGAGGACCCATGGTGGAAGTCATGCCGGTAGTGATGCGAAGCGCGTTGCCTGAAGCAGAGGCACGCGAGTAGAACGAGACGGGTGGGGAGAAGGAGAGTCGCTGACCTTCGCTCGTACGAATCTCGCTCGATAGGTCGGTTGCGGTATGAGAGAGGGACTGGTGACGGTAGTGAGCAGACTTTTCTGCGTTGGGGATTGCAGTAGGGGAAGCCATCAGAGGGTTTTGCTGTTTCGCTGACGTGGTTGGACAATCGAAGTCGTCGTCGAACACGTGCTATCACTGAGTTCGGGCAGATGGAAGATCGAATGACGCTCGATTCTGCTGGTTTGACTGCACTCGAGCCGATAGAGCAGGTGTGATATCCGTGATCGGGATGGAGTTTGTGCCGCGATGCCTAGCGTGCTCAGAAGGTGGCAGATGTGAGTGCGAGCGATCCGGGGCGCAGGGCCCCTGGGTCGTCGAACGTGGGAGAGGCCGTTTGGACAAATGCGCAGTCGTTGCTGCACTGATCAAGAGAGTCAGCGGTTGTGAGAACCGGCTAGAGAAAGGTAACTTGATGTCTTTGCGAGGTAGAAGCGCAATTCAGCGCTGGCTCGTACCGATCTGTGACTGAAGGACGAGGACCGGGCTGTCTTAATTGCTGGAAGACAGCAGCTGCAGATGTGTCTTGAGCGAGGAAATTCCGAGTTGGCAGTGATGGTGATCGTTGCGAGAGATGTAGTTGAGGCGATGATGGAGAAAGGAGAGAAGGGTCGCTGGTGATGCCTGGCTCAGTTGAAGGAAAGGGAGGGCTCGAGGCGCAAAGCCACCGAGTGGACTCAGCGTCCAACGCAGACAAGATTGTGCTTGAAATGCAGGCAGACGACCAGTGTCGAGGGATGGGGCCCACCAAGAAGAGAGGACTGCAGGGTGGCACATGCATCATGCAGGCGAGTGTGGGGAAACAAACTTTTTTCCTCGCTTTTTCTCTCGATCAAATTGGCCTGGCGAGACAGTCCAAGGCATCTGGCCAGAGGAATCGACGCGAAAGTCCGAGAGGAAAAGGCCCTTTTTGCAAGGGTCTCTCTCCCCTCGCCTCGCACTCGCACCAACCGCAAGAGATGGTGTGAGGGTCCAAGTGCCCGTTTGCGAGATGGACGACTCGTCTGAGCTACTGTAGCTAGCTGGTCTGGCTGTCGACTTCTGGTCTAGATGACGACTTGGCTGAGTTGCAATCCCACTTACCGACAGCAACAGCAGCAGTCACAAGTCACAAGTCACAAGAGGCTGGCCGCCAAACAAAAGATACCGCTGCTTTTCTTATCGATGGCTGCCTCACCTTGCGCCACACTCCGTTTCATGTACGAGCCATTTCTGCGTGATAATACACTATGAGCTGGCTGCTCGCACCTGATCAGGCTAGCCACGGTGAGCTTACTGCTTTCTCGCGATAACAGTCACCCTTGAATCCCTCCGACAGCGGAACACAGCCGAGATGGGAAACAATCAGCGGCAGCACGTCAGCAAGCAAGGGCAACCCATCGGCTGCTCCGTGGACAAAGGGAAGAGGCACGAAAGCAGAGCGTCACGCTGACCTCGCTCAAATTGTCTCGGACGCGCACACTTCCCCACACTTTTCGGTGGGTCGAGGCAAAAGACGAGTGTTTCCGAGCCCAATTTAGCATTTCGGTGGACCATGCGCTGCCCGAAGCTGGACGACCTGTTCGGCGGCATTTCCGCGCGGCGTGACCGAACGGACGAAGAAATCGCCGCTACAAAACAGCGAGGCTCCGCTCGAATTGCAAAGCTGCAGTTCAAGCACGGTCCAGGCGCATTCGTTGGACGAGGCCAGGGTTCAAGCCTCGATCACAAGCCTTCCGTTGTACAGGGTCTCGAGCTGCAACGCGAAAGGGCTTGTCGGAAATGATGGTCCGGGGCTAACACTGACAGCTCAGTGCACATCGAGCAAGTGCGCATCGGCTTTGGTTGGCGCGTATCTGCTGCAAAGCTGTCAGCTGGAGCGGACGGTCAAGTCGCTTGAGAGAACCATCATGTCCACAACTTATGCAGGGTCGCATTTCAGGGTCACAGCGCAAAGATCATGCGAGAGATGAGGTAGTCTTTCTTTGATGGGTCGTGAAAGGCCAAGGTCGTCAGGCGCCAGCTGTCCGCTGTCAGACTGCCGCAGGTCCCGCTGCTAGACCTCTTCATTCCTTCTTATAATCTCCGCGGAGCCAAGCTCTTCTAGCTTGTCGCACGAGACATGCAAAAACGAATGTATTCGATGTGTGTGTCAGTGACTTTGCTACCACATATTGCCGAACTGCGATCCTTGCTGGTATTGTTGCTGCTGCTGTTGCATGGATTGGCCGCCAAAATGCGGTGACTGTCCGAAAGAGCTGGGCATCATGGACGATTGAAAAGAGCCGACGCCATTGCCAACTTGCTGTTGCTGTTGGCCATTCATACCAAACATGCTGGTCTGACCTTGGAATGCGGCCTGCCCCAGTTGCTGTGGCTGCTGCTGAAACGGACCATCGGCGGCCATGAAGGTGGGAGGCTGGGGCGACGGCGTGGTGTTGAACGGGTTGCTCGATACGAATCCGGGCGATGGCAGTGGCGATGTCGAGAAGGCCATGGTCCCAAGACTCGCGCTTCGCTGCTGCTGATACTGTGGAAACATCATACCGTTGCCTGGGCTCAGCATCCCTGTGGACTGCGGCATCATTGGTTGCTGTGGTGTTCCAAGACCCAGCGTCGGTGCCGTGTTGGAATGCTGAGGGACGTTGCGCATCTGACCAAAGGCGTTGCCGTTCGGAGACGAACTCATGCCAAAGTACGTTGGAGATGGCGCACCGTTGGTCGCTGATGAACCGGCCCAGAAATTGCCGCTTGGCTCCTGAATGGCTGGTGCACTCAGCACTGCTTGCTGCTGTGCCTGCATCGCAGCCCACGGATTCATCTGCAGGGGTGGCTGAGCCGCCGTTGACTGTGTTGGTCCAGAGAGCGAGATGAGATCGTCGAACACGCTCGATTGTGCTGATCCGGTCGAAGGCTTGGATGCAGATGCAGCCGCTTGTCCGTTCCGTGCATTGAGTGCGCTGGACGTGCGTAGCGGTACTGTAGTAGCGGGAAGTTGCAAGGTCGGCTGTGTCGTTGCTGCTGCTGCTGCTGCTGCTGCTGCTGCTACTGCTACTGATAATGAAGCTGCCGCGCCATTCGTCTGCGGCCCACTTACCGCCCTGAATGTGGTGGCTGCGGGGCTTGGAAGTGGTGGTGCGTTGGCCTTAGCTCGTTGCTGAGCTTCCCTCCACGTCGTCGGTATGGGTGCTGTTCGAGACCTTTCGATGCTGCTTCCCTCTGCATAGGGAATCCGCGAGCTCGAGGGCGGAGACGGGTTCGGCGACCTCGATCTCCCGATGGAAGACGGAGGCGAGGTGAGGAAGGTGGCATCTTTGGTTGGAACCGGCGGAGCTTGTCCTGCCATGAATCGACGGAACTCGTACTTCCTACGGATATACTTTTCCAGCTCGCTGTCCCTTTCGCTCTCCTCCATGTTGGTCGGTGGTCGATTGCGCATCTCGTCCGGATTGTACTTGCGGTTGCTCTTGAGATTGCCGACCTCCTTCATCCTGTCCACCTGTTCGCGAGTCCAAGTATCGAGCGTGATGGACTTGACCTTGGAGATGTGAACGCCCATCTTGCGGTGCACACCAGCACACTGAACGCAGATGAAGATGCCGAGATTCCATGAAGCCCATCTCGGCGCGCGGCCTTTGCAGTCTGCGCAGACATCGTTGCCTGGTTGGCGGACGAGATCGATCAAGACGCGCTGCTGACGCTCTTGCGCCGCTTTGCTATTCATTGCAGGGTGAGGCAGTATAGAAGGAGACTTGGAGATGACAGAAGCTCCCTGTCGTAGATGATGAGTGCGCTACCTTGTTTCGGCCAGCAGGCAGGGGCTGCGAGAGCTGATGCGAGGGAGGTCGGTGAAGCGTAGGTGGACACTTGTTTCGACCGAGTATGAGGCTTGGCCGTCGCAGCCGCGAGATCAAGCTGAGAGCGTGTGATGCAGCAGGCTTGCAAGTAACGGGCTCGATGATGACGGTGGTGATGACAGAACGAGTCGACGATGGCGGCCCGAGAGTAAGGTTGGTCCGTCTCGAAATTAAGACGGTGCATCTCGCCTGCGCAGCGGCAAACAAATGCAACACACGCACACGCACACACACGACAGACGCGCCGTCTGGCCTTCTGGAGGTCTCAGAATTTTCTTCCAGGTCGACAGCTCCGCCAGGTCGCCGTGCAGAAACAATGCTCACGCCTGAAGACTTGTTCGATGACATCGAGCTCTGCGTGCGATTGGCTGGATATCGTAGCACATCAACGTGTCGGAACAACCACTTTGGCACACAAGTCACAAGAGAAGCGTCCCCAATGTGCGGCGACTACAATGCGATGGGCTGTGTAGAAAGACGCCGTTGAGAGCGACTCGCGTTTCAGGGGCTAATGCTCGAATCGGACGATGCAGTGTGCCCGATCGTCGTATTTGATCGGGCTCCCATCAGCATACTTCGATGCGGCCGAGGCGGACGGAAGGCACCGGCCAACCGCTTCATTGTGACCAAGCAGCCGAGCGCCACGAGGATCTTCTTGTCGTGAAGAAGAGCGCAGCGGGGACCCCACTGCGTGTCGTCCTCCGGCATTGGCCGCCCTTCCGTTGGAAGTGGCGGTCTTACCGAACCCGGCTGTATTGATTCTTCCGTCGCGCGCAGAGCCGCTGCCAAGTGCTGTCCGATTTGCAGCTCCGCCACCAATTTGGCAAGACTCGTTCGAATGGTTTCTCAGTCGCCTCGTCGCGATGCACCGCCGAGCTTGGCGGCGCGACGGCTATACATGGCCGAAAGTGCGGCGTGTGGGCTGCTCTGCTGTGACGGTTCAACCTCGGCGAGATTTGAGAAGGTTGCGCAGCGTTGCGGATGTTCCGTCTGAGTTTGGCCTTCTTCTCACGCAAGAAGGCGGCAGCAGTCGAGTTTGTCAAGCTTCCGCAGCGTCATCGGCTCGACCCGTGTGATGAGAACAAGGGCAGGTACAGAACCTCGCTACGCCTTGCAAAGGAGAGGAGAACGGTAACACGACCTCGATCAGGGCATACTTTGCGATGAACGGCCGCCGAGATGTAGAGAGGGCCGTCAAGGGTCGCTCGGGTCTCAGAAAACGAGACGGCATCGAACAAGCCAGCGCAGAAAAGCCACGCCGAAGCGGGAGCCCGCCCGCAGAGTTCGAAAGGTTGGCCCGAAGCGGGTGGCAGCGACGACCGATATGGTCAGCAAACGAATCGACCTCGCCCCAGCGTGCAGAACCTAGGTTGTGGGGCCGGCCGAACAAAAGACGGGCGCAAAGCACGTCGGAACGGATAGGTGCGTCAATGGCAACGCAGGCTCAGATTGCTTCCAAGGCAACATTGACGCTTCTGAGTATTGGACCGAAGAAGATCAACTTGAAGTTTGCAAGCGGAGTCCAAACCAGGAGCGAGGATGTGAGAGAGAAAGAGAGTCAGAAGCCCACTCGGGTCTAAAGCCGATGCTGAACAGGAACGCGTCTAACGCTAAGCTACAGGGTAAGCTCAATCGAGTTCCCCTGGAGTTGGTCGATTCATTTTGGCCCAACGCGGCAGCCTTGCAGGATTTGTCGCGCGCAGCTCGCTTGGTGATGGTTGAGGCGCGGAGAAGCCGAATCTCAAATTGAGCGCGCATTGTATGCCAAGGCGATGGTCTGTCACCTCGGCTGCGACCTCACCGCCTCGTTTTCGCATTGTTCTGTGCAGGCCGTCACGGCGGCCAATTCCCCAGGCCGTGCCGTCGCCGCTGTTTTCGGCGGATTCCGTAGAAGAGCGGCAGAACCCCACTTTGGATTGTTTTCGTATTTCTCCGACTGCAGTTCTGCCCATTCAAAACCCGCTGTTCCCACGCTTTCATTTTCTCCCCCACACGGACAGACACCGGTCGATTGCCTTGCAGACCCCAAGTACACAGGTTCTTGAGCCTTGAGCGTGTGTAGCGTTTCCGTTGGAAGCGAAAGTCATCCACTGTATTGCCGCGCTACCAACTCCGCTTTCCAGCGAACGGGTGACCGGAATCGCCAAGACGAGAGAAAGAACGCCCCTCGGTTGAGCCGAACAACCTTGCCGTCGCCTCGGTCGGCTCGATCCGAATAGGATTTGCATGAAGGTGGACACGGCATCTGACGACGAGGCGCTGCTCTCGTGTCAACCAACTCTCTGCTATCCAGGCTCGAGGGAGCGTGTGAGGAGGTTCGACCAATCATCCTTTTGCCCTTCGTTGACTCCGAACCTCGGCTACAGCCCTCCTTGCATGTTGGCGAGCAGGCACTTCGCCCTCCTCTTCATTTACCCTTTCGGACGTGGGGCATCCTCCCCACTTGCGGGGCACCAGTTTTGACCGGCCCAAGCCACATGACTCTGTCCCTGTTCCCCGCAACTGAATCTTCAAAGCCCTGAGCGACAATCGAGCTGTCTCGCCCGCTCGCACGATGCCAGCTGCGTGCTTGCCCCACACATATATAGACGGCAATTGAAGTCCTCGTGCTCGTATCTCCCCAACAACGTCTGCCATTCCTCATCCCGTTCGACCCCCCTCTGAGAATCACCAACATGGCGGCCCTCGGAGAAAAGACGTCTCCTCTCGACGAAAAGTCCAGTGCCGGCAAGCTCGCCACCGAGGACGCCAGCTCGCACGATGGCTCTGACCACGTCGTCCACCACATCAAGTCCGAGGAAGGCAAGGTCAACAACCCTCTCGCCGGCATCCCCAAGGAGCAGCTCCTTCGCGATGTCGAAGCCTTCGCCCAAGAGAAGAACCTCATGGATGACATCGACATGCTCAAGAAGGGTGCTCTCCTCGCACAGCGACCCGCCGAGTATCAAGACATCGACGAGCTGTCCTCGGACGAAAAGGATGCCGTCGCCCACGAGTACGCGCACAAGTGGTCGCACCCCATGCTGCTCTACATGACCATCTTCACCTGCTCCATCGGCGCCGCCACCCAGGGTTGGGATCAGACCGGTTCCAACGGCGCCAACCTCAGCTTCCCCGTCGAGTTCAACATCCCCGAAGCTGCCGGCGAAGGTGTCTCCGAGGCTCTCGCCCAGCGCAACCAATGGATCGTCGGTCTCGTCAACGCCGCGCCTTACATTGCAAGTGCCTTTTTCGGATGCTGGCTCTCCGACCCGCTCAACAATTGGTTCGGTCGTCGTGGTTGCATTTTCATCACCGCCATCATCCTGGTCATTACTCCCATCTGCTCTGGTCTTACGCAGAACTGGTGGGAGCTCTTCATCGTGCGTTTAATCTTGGGCATTGGCATGGGAGCAAAGGGCAGTACCGTACCGGTCTTCGCAGCGGAGAACAGTCCCCCGCAGATCCGAGGAGCATTGGTGATGGGATGGCAGCTGTGGACGGCGTTTGGTATCTTCCTCGGATTCCTTGCCAATGTTGCAGTTGCTGACGTCGGCAGGATTTCTTGGCGTCTTCAGCTGGGCTCAGCCTTCATTCCCGCCCTGCCGCTCGCCATCCTCATCTACTTCTGCCCCGAGTCGCCCCGATGGCTCATGAAGAAGAACCGCTACCCTCAGGCCCTCCGCTCGCTCATCAGGCTGCGTCACAACAAGATCCAGGCCACCCGCGACCTGTACTACATCCACGTCCAGCTTATGGAGGAGCGCAAGATCATCCGCGGCGAGACTTACGTCAAGCGATTCACCGAGCTCTTCACCATTCCTCGTGTTCGTCGTGCCACTGTCGGTGCTACCGTCGTCATGCTTGCTCAACAGGTTAGTACTCTCCCCATATTGTTTTATCGAACGTTCATCCTGGAGCAGTAGACACTGACATCACTTCTCGATACGGTGAATAACATCATTGCCCTTCTGCATCATCATTGCCTTCTGGCCAAAACATCATTGCTTTCTATAGATGTGCGGCATCAACATCATTGCCTTTTACTCAAGTACCGTATTCAAAGAGTCAGGCGTGTCGGATCGGCAAGCGCTATACGCCTCGGTCGGCTTCGGCGCCATCAACTTCCTCTTCGCCTTCCCGGCTCTTATCACCATCGACACGTTCGGCCGTCGCAGCCTGCTGCTCTTCACCTTCCCTCAAATGGCGTGGACCCTGCTCGCCGCCGGTCTTTGCTTCCTCATTCCCGGCGAGGGTAATAAGGCTCGTCTCGGCCTCGTGGCGCTCTTCATCTACATCTTCGCAGCATTTTACTCCGTTGGAGAAGGTCCGGTGCCCTTTACGTATAGCGCCGAGGTGTTCCCGCTTGCTCAGCGAGAGCAGGGCATGGCGTGGGCTGTAGCGACGTGTCTTTTCTGGGCTGCAGTGCTCAGTATCACTTTCCCGCGAATGCTTCGTGCCATGACGCCAACGGGCGCGTTCGGCTTCTACGCAGGTCTTAACATCCTCGCTCTCATCCTCATCTGGTTCTTCGTCCCCGAAACCGCTCGCTACACACTGGAAGAGCTCGATGCGGTCTTCAGCGTCCCCCACGCCACGTTTATCAAGCACCAGAACACCAAGGTCTTCCCTTACTGGCTCAAGACCACCGTGTTCAGGAAGAAGAACGTCGACCGCCCCGCTCCGCTCATCGAGCTCGACGACAACCTCGTCGGTGCCGGCGAGAAGCGTGTCGAGACCTCGAGGGCTTGATTGTCCTCCCACGTCAGGGTTTGATCTATCGATTGTCGTTCACGCAGGACGTCGCCTAATTTATTCTCGCCCTCTTGATTTATTCACTGATCCACTTTGTGTTCTCAATGATACCAATGACTTTATCACACTTGTTTCGGTCGCTGCGCGAGAATGTGCTGCGCTGAATTCGGAGGCAAGTGAGGTGGATGAAGTACGGCATGCCTTCAGGCGCTCGGGCAACGTGACAGCCTTGTTTTTGAGGCGACGCGAAGTATTTGATGACGACGTTGATTTTAGGTTCCCAACCCTGGGTGTCCTTCGGATTGTGTTGCTGGATCTTTGGAGGAATCTAGAGGATTGCAAGCACGGCGAGAGCCTCTTAACAAGGTTGAAGGACGGGTTCATTCAGTTCTTGGGCTTGATGTTCACCTCATGCTGGCTCGTCGGAGGCATGAAACAGATCTTTGCGGCGGTTGGCGCGGATGTCGACTTCAGGCTGGCGGGCAGGAGTCCTGCCGTAGATAAAGACCGGACAGTCGGCATAGTCATCGTCGGCGGTGAAGACGTACAAGCCCTTGCTGCTGATGAGCAACGATTCGCCAAACTCGCGATCTTTACAGACAGACCTTAGCTCTTCCAGTAAGACGTCCTGGGCAAGACCGAACGCCAAAAGCGAGAAGATGGCGTCCTGGCTCTTGGGCTGATCCTGCCTGGTTGCCATAGCGTTGACGTGAAAGCTGAGATCGTCGAAGAGGCCGGCCTTCTTGGACATGTTGCTGTTGACGTTGATCACGAACTGGGGATCGCCAGAGTTGGAGTTTCCGCAGAATTCGACCGCAACCATGCTGCATCGAAGGAAGCGGCCCACCTCCCCAACGCTGCGGTCACACCTGTCGAGCCAAGAGGTGACTTGCCCGCCAAACTCGTGCATGAACATGATCATCGTGTGCAAGGAGAGAAGGCTCTGGATGGAGCGCGCCCCAAACTGATGCACATCGGGAGCAGCCACAATCCAGACACCTGCCCGCAAAGCAGCGACTGTTTCTTCGGTGATCGACCACTTATTGAGCACGCCAGTCGGGTACATGTTGAGTTGGCGTGCCATGTCACGGATGATGCGCATGACATCGCGACAGACGTGCTCGTTGAGCTTGACATTGGGGAACTTCTTGTGGCGGATAATGTTGTCGAGCCTCTGCTTGATGGTATCCAGAGCAAGCGGAGTGGCGTCAGGCAAGCGCTCGATAGAGCTGACAAAGGCTATATCGCCAGCGTAAAGAATTGGTACTGTCTCATCCTCGTCTTTTACTTCGTAAAAGCTGTGCTCTCACTCCTCTTAGACGTCGTTGAGGGCCCCCGCAAGGAAGGAGTCGTCGGCGCCGCCCAATTGCTCGCGAGCGTCTTCAGCGAGCGAAGGGTGCTGAGTGCCACCTGCGTGGGGACGGTGCAGAGCGTCATCAGCAACAGCGGCGGCGCAACGCAGCCGTGTTCTCCAGGCAACGCAGATGAGGCGCCGACACGGGAGCAGGCGCAATGAGAGGCGCGGCGGCAGCTCAAAGACGGATTGGACCTCTTCTGACAACACGTCCTAGGTCATGCTGAGCGCCAACCGCGTGAAAACCAGACGCGCCCGTTGGCATCATGGCACAAAGCATTCGCGGGAAGGTGATACTGAGCACTGCAGCCCAGAACAGACACGTTGCCACCGCCCACGCCATGCCCTGCTCACGCTGAGCAAGCGGGAACACCTCGGCGCTATACGTAAAGGGCACCGGACCTGATCCAACGGGTGCCCTGACTCTTGGGCCGATTCTTCCCTGTTGCCGTGGCGTTGACAATTTGAGATCGCCATAGCGGCCGGCCTTGATGCGCATAGTGTCCACACACCAGCTTGCAAAGCGCCCGAGCACGCCGGCTCAAAAGTGTGCGGAAGGCTGTCGCCAACCGTTGCCCGTTGGAGATTGGGGAAGGAAGCGAAGTGAGATCCCGCATGTCTGATGTTGTCGCGCGACCTTCGGCGGCGGCAAGCCCTCTCGAGTCCCATCCCCCGGCAAGCCACTCCATCCCGCATCCGCACTCATACAAAGCCTTGTCCACGCGTCAAACTCAAGCTCTCACATCACCTCATCTCATCTTGCGCCACCCCACGCATCTTCCACAAACCCAGTTCCGCAATTCCAAGGGAAATTATAGCGATTCCGCAAGTGATCAAAATGACAGTGTGTACCGATGAACCTCTTGCGACTACGCCCTCCACAGCCGGAACCCGTGAATGGTCGATCGAACCACCTCATCTCCCGGATCCTCGGGGAACATGGGCTCGCGGAACCACTCGCCCAGCTTCTCAAATCTCCACCCTTTGACTTCGGCCATGTCGAAGAACTGCATGTCCTTGTACGCCAAGTGGGGTCGGTGGTGCGTGAAGAACACCAGCACACACGGGGTGGTCATGCGGCCCTCCAAATCCTCGCCGGCAGGAGCGTCGGCGAGACACGCCTCGCACGTCTCGAGCAGCGCCGGGTGCGCTTGGTGGTTGAACACGAGGTCGGAAAGGAGGATCAGGTCGAACTTGCCCGGCTTACCGCTGGCATCGGTGAGCTTGGAGAGCAAAGGCGAGGCGTCGCGACCCCAGATGTAGCCTTCGACAAAGGACTTGCCCGGCCCGCGAAGGGGCGAGGACTCGTCCTGACAGTTGAGCACAACGTTCTTGGTGAGATTGTCGATGAGGTCTTTGTCGGGATAGTCGGTGGCTACGACGTGCGAGGCCGAGGCCCAGTTGCAGACGATGCTGGGCAAGCCGGCTGCTGCTCCGAGCTCCAATACGCGCTTGCCCTTGGTAAGCGTGAGGGCATGCGCGCAAATGAAGTCGGACAGGATGAAGCTGGCGTTCCAGGCCAGATGACCCCACAGTGGGTGGTTGCCGACCAGGTTGAGCGTCACCTTGGACGACGTGCCAGGGAACTCATAATATGTCACGGTCGGTGGCGGAGTCTTTGGTCGGAAGTCGTCGGGCTCTTCGAACATGTTGAGGGCACCGTCAGTCTCGTCTCCGTCCTCGCCATCAACATCGTTACCATTGGTCTCCTTCTCCAGCTCGTCGAGCTTCTTGGACATGCTCGTGTCCTCACCCTGGTCAGCGGGCACATCAGGCATCGGCTTTTCGCGATTGACGTCAGCGGTGGCTGCCTCACCATTGACAGAGGCGCCATTGGCGGGCGCGCCATTGGCAGATTCTGGCGCATCCTCGCCTGACTTGTCTTGCAGGTCCTTGTTGACAGTTGCAGGCGATGCGGCAGCACCTGCGATCGCAGCTGCAGCGCCCGTAGCGATAGCGGCCCCAGCAACGGCAGGAACTGCAGCAGAAGACGATGCCTCGGTAAAGTTGACTGGCTCTGCTTCGCTTCGCGACTCGCTGGGCAAAGCAGTGGTGTCCCCGTTCGCTTTGATGGGGCTGGTCTCGATGTTGGCTGCGCTGTCAGGGGCAGGAGCCAACTCTCGCTGCTTGCGAGCTGGGCTTTTTGGAGTCAAAAACGGCGGTGGAGCGCGTGAGAGATGGTTGACACCAGCGGATGTTCCATGACCGGTGGAAGAAGCGACCCGTTGACGGCGTGGCAGCATGCCAGGACGCTCTGTGTCGACCGTCTCGACTTCTTCGATGGGATTGTCGTCGTCCCGTGGGTTGTTGCTCTCGAAGGCATGGCCGTGTCCGATGCTGGATGCGACAGCATTCTGATGGCCGATGCTGGACGGGGGACCACGGTCCCAACCATAGCTGCCAATCGAGGAGGAGGACAGTCGGCGACGATCACGCTCTCGTTCGAATGTGACCGATCGACGTCCTTCGAGCTGCGTGAGGGTCGACTCGAGCTGTTGCTGGATCTTGGCAATCTGGTCCGTCACTGCTGTCGTCCGGGTCTGGATTTCAGCGTTCATTTGCTCGTCGGGGAAGTGGTTGGAAGAGGAGGCGGCGTGGCCCGTGCTGAAAGCGCCGTTGGCGTGAATGTCCGTCGAGGCAGCGACGGACGACTTTCTGAGCTGGGTGTTGTTGCGCGGTTGACCCATGGAGATGCGCTGTTCGGCAAGGGCGCGAGACTTGAGGATGTGCATCTCCGTGTTGTGGCTCGCATCACTCGGAGCTGGTGAGTCGATTCGGCCAAAGTTCTGTGTCATGCTCTGCAGGTTGTTGAGCGAGGACATGTCAAAGTCATCGGCACCGTTGGTGCTGAGGACGTTGCGAATCTCGTCCATCATGGCTTCACGCTCCGATTCGAGGTTGTCCATGGCCGTTCGCATGCGCAGCAACTCGGCCTGGGCCTTCTCGCGTGCCTTTTCGGTGTCTGTGAGCTGGATCTGAGCCTGGACGAACTCCATGTCCCTCTGCTGCAGCGTCGAGGTGAGCCGCCTCGACTCTCTGCGCTCCTTGTCCAGCTTGGCGCGGAGATCGCCGGCTTCGCGGGTGAGTCGGTCGACGAGTTGCTGAATCTTGTCGAACTGCTGGCGCCACATCTCGCCTTCGCTCATGAGGAAGGCGAGACGCTTGTTGAGTCTGCCAATCTTGTTCTCAAGCCCATCGCGGGCGTCGACGAATGCGCTGGCCCTCTTACGGAGTACGAGGACGGCAGCGAGCTCGGTCTCGGAGACAGCGGCTTGCTTCTCAGCGCGCCCGCGGAGCACCTTCTTGAGGAAGCTGGGCTTGGTGCCTTCGAGCAAGACCTGGTCGAAGGCACTGACAACAGCACGCTGATCCCACCACGACGGAGTGTCGAGGCACTCGTATGGGACGTCTCGTGACGAGGACTCGACTTTGCTGAGGGGACGGAAGCGGCCACTGGGGAAAGCCTCGACGTACTCTCGCGGGATCGCATTGTCACCAAAAGAGAAGCCGAGAGCGGCGATCAGCTTTCTGCGCTTTCTGTCCCGCGCCGCGCCTTTGCTGGGAGCCTTGAGAGGGGGCCGCGGGCATTTGACAAAGTTGATGTCGAGATCGACGACGCAGACTTCCTTGGCTGGCTTGATGATGCTGCGCAGTTCGGTGTTGATGGCAATGAGCCATGAGCCTGGATCTTCGAGATAGATGCGAACGTCTCTGGCGTGACAGTTCTGGTGCGCCACGCCCTTCCAGCCGCAGAGCTCTACGAGGTACTTGATGGTTTCGACGGCGGTGCCCATCAGAGCAGGATGGCGCGACATGAACAGGATGCGACCGGCGGGTGCAAGCGCAATTTCGCAGATGGTGAGCACATTGTCGAGCGATAGGGTCTTGAAGAGCGGCCACATGGAAAAGTCGATGCCGAGCAGCCCTGCGTTCCAGTCGATTGCTCCGGGAAAGGTGCAAACGAAAGAGACGTCCTCGTCTGGCGACTGCAAACGGAAAGTCTCGCCGATGCGGGGCGCGCGATGGCGGAGGACAGCAGCCATGAGCTTGTTGTGCATCTCGATATTACGGCTGTACTTGAACCAGGCGGCTTTGTTCCAGTCGCCGAGCAGGTTGTAGATCGGGTATCGGGAGACGATGCAAATGGCGTAGGGCATGAAGAAGGCGTTGTTGTCCGGGACCAGAGAGTGACCTAGAGCGCTGACGCCTTCGTAGTCGTCTTCGATGTCTTCGCCTTGATTGCTGACGCTCCTGCTCATGGTGCCGCTGCGATTATGTGCGCGCGATTTGGCGAGTCGACCGAGCTCCTTCTTGATTGCCTTTGCACGCTTCTCGTCAGCAGCACTCCAAACAGTCAAGACCGAGCCGTAGAAAGTAGCCACGCTCGGAGTGTCGTCGCCGGCGTTTCCAGTGCTGGCATTGGCTTTCCTTGCGTCGGTGGAGGGACGAACAGCTCCATTTGATGTGGATGACTTGACGGTGGGGACGCTGAAAGAGAAGGTGTGAGACGTGGACGAAGGAGGAAAGTTGATGGGACCGGACGAGATCTCGATCTCGCGGGTAAAGGAGAGCTTAAGCGCCTTTGCGAGAACGCGGGACGTCTCAGCACGCTCGACACCCCCACGACCATCGGCCATTTCGATAAACTTGGGATTCGAGCCCCCCTTCTTATCGGAACCCCACGCGTTGCCGTTCCTCTTTTCGGCACCACTGGTGGGAGAAAGGGGCGATCGGAGGCCATCTTCGACGGGGTTGAGGGGTGGACAGATGGAGCAGCCGAGCACTTCTGGCCTCCAGAAGCGCCCTACTGCGCCTTCCATATGATGAACGCCATTGGTGCAGTCCTCTTCGGCCAGCGTCCATACGGCAGGGTCCTTGGGAAGACCAAAGACGGCGTAGAGTTGTGCGATGTTGTTGCCATCGGTGGATTTGGACGTCGAGACGCTAGCTGTACGCTCCCTGGTGGAACGAGGACCAGGGGTGCTGAGGAACTGGCGGCGATCACTCTTTGGCGTGCGAGCTCCCGATCTGCCATCCGCGCTCTTGATGGAAAGGTTGGAGAAGGAGAATCTGCCTGCCAATCCACCGACTCGGCTAGGTGGCCTGCTGGGCCCAGCGTTGTCGGTCGCGCTCGGCATCGACGACCGAAGCTAGGAGCGAGACTTGCGATGTGGTCGTTGCGGGGGAAAACGTTGAGCCTACTCGAAGAGGAGGGCGAAGCGGGACTCGACCTCGAAAGGCGGTGGAGACGCTAGTGGAGGATCGTGCTTGAATGATTTGAGTTTAGGCGTAGCTCGATTGCAGGCTTCGTGGAACGATGTTGCTGCTAGGTTGATGGTGGTGACGAGACGAGAAGCGAGGATCCATCCGCTGCCTTCTGTAGGGTGACGATCCAATAGAGTAGCACGACCAGATTTTGTGACTTGAGAGAAGAATAGGCAGACTGCATCACAGGGTACGGGTACGCTCAACGCGGGAAGCACGGAAAAAAGGTGATAAAGTGCAGCTGAGATCCACCTGTCCTTTATCCGAGCAGAAACAATGGAGAGGGCGCAGCCGCAGCAGCAGCAGCAAGGCGCCGCACTAAACGCACACACGATACCCGTCTCTTTGGCTGTTCTAGATGCAAGGCTACGGCCATTGCGATGCGTTTGGACAGCTGCTCGACTCAATGCAGCTGGCCAAATGGATTGCTTCAAGCGGATTTGTGACCGAGCCATGCTTCCAATGTGTTTCAGATATGGACACCTCGGCCTTGTTGCGTCATAATCATGCTCTCAAGTGGCTGCCGATGTCTCAGAAGCCTTTGCATTCGCTTTGATAGGCAAGCGTAGCTACATCGCATAAGCGCCGAGCACCTTGGCGCTGTACTATTGCAGATCTTCTAGTCTCAATCGATGCTACGCCGTCCAGATTCCATGTGCTCATCGGGAGGGTTCTTCTTGATAGTGAGCAATAGGCTCAAGTGCCAGTGGGCATTTTTCTAATATGTTACGTCGAGACCAAGCACAGCGGATTGAATTTTCGCTTCTCATTGAAATACTTGCTTAGTCAGCACCTGCGTATGCAGGTCCCATAAAGTCGCGGAAAATTTTGGGCGTTGGCGGAACTGAGCCAAAATTGTCAATCTTCCTGACCTTGAACCCTCTCCTCACCATCAAGCTATTCGCTATCCGCTCATCCCCACACTCCTTTCCTACGGCATCACCTTCATGACAGCACACCGATAGACGACCAAAGTCTCTTTACAGCACCAGTCAGCGGTCTGCCCTCGGATCTCGATCCCTGCACCGAAGCGGTCATCGGCCTCCTTTCCGCACATCATGCCGCCCTCGCCGCGCAAGAGCCCAAGGGCCTCAGCTGCCACTGCCACCAGCAAGACTGTTACAGATACGCTCGACGCATCGCTACCACATCTGAGCAAGGCGCAAGAGCTTGCAGAGCTCATCGCTAGCCAACCCGAGCGACTTGCTGACGGTGATGCTTCCCTCACCCAGCTCTCGACCCAAGCGCTCAAACAGATCTTCGACTACTCCGTACAATCCGAGCACGACTCTGTTCCATTCATCAGCGCCTTCATCGAGACCGTCACACCAAAAGCTGAGCTTCTTGCGCAAAGAGCCTCTCGCTCGGGCGCAAAGCGAAAGCGCGGCAAGAATGGTGTGGCTCCTCCGCCGCTCTTTGAGGGCACTCCGCTCGACGAGCTTGTCACCGATGGCATGGACTCACGGCAGCTCTGGGAACAAGTGGACTTGAAAGCAGCCAAGATGTACGGCGTCATCGAGCGCTACTTTGCTCAAGGTCTCCTTGGCGATGAGGAGAACGACGACGAAGACGAGGAGGAGGCGAGTAGCAGCAAAGCTGGTCCTTCGCGCTCGCGTCCTCGTCCCAAGTACGATGATGAGGACGACGACGACATGTCAGAAGAGGACGACGATATGTCTGGCGACTTTGACGAGGACGATGAAGACGGCGACATGGACTCGGAAGAGCAAATCAACCAGTTCAGTCAGCTCAGCGACGCAGATCTTCGAGCTCTCGGCATCGACCCAGCCCAACGTGAAGAGATCCTAGCAAGGCTAGCTCTCAACGACGATGAAGCCGACGAGTCCGACGAGGCAGGCGAAGGCTATCCGGGAGCCTCCGATGTCAGTGACGGCGATCCGTCCGAAATCTTCTACGAGCCTCTCAAGACGGAGGCCGAACAGCTCCAGCGCAAAGAGGAGGAGGAGATGGGAACACTGCCGCGTCTGCGTTCTCAAGTCGGCGATGATGATGACGAGGTTGACGAAGACGACGAAGATGAGGAGGCGGAAGAGTCAGAAGACGATGAGGAGGATACCGCATCGACGCCATCGGGCAAGAACAGCGCAGGCATCCCCAAGTCGCTTCTCGCAGACCTCGATCGACCGGGCAAGGCATCACAGCGTTCCACCAAGCGACATCCCACACTCGACGACGACTTCTTCTCGATAGACGACCTCAATCGTCAGCTTGACGAGCAGGACGCGCAAGAGGGAGCCGACCCCGTCGACGACAACGATGACGACGATATCGCAGATCAGGTCGACTTCTTCAAGCCTCTCGACGAAGCCGAAGGCCTCGACGAAGAAGACGAGGAGGTGGACGCAGAGCAAGAGGCTGGTCTTACCGACGCCTCCGACGCTCATTACGCCGACTTCTTCTTGCCGCCCACCAAAGCGGCCAGGTTCAACAAGAAATTCGGAAAGAGAAAAGCATCGGCCAGATTCGCAAACGAAGACGCAGCGGGTGACCGTGTCAGCGAGGACGAGTCGGAAAACGACGAAGAGCCGTCTCCGAGCAAAGCGCCGGTCCGCGTCTACGAAGAGCCCGATCGCAAACGATCCATCCGCTTCAACGACACCATCGAGTATCGTCGTATCAAGCCGCGTCACAAGAGCTCCTTCGCCGAGATGATGGAGAAGCTCGGCGCCTCCCCTGACGACTACGATGAGGACATGGACGAAGACGAGGATGAGGAAGATGGTGACGAGGAGAGTGAGGACGATGACATGGACATGGACGAGGTCGAGTCGGAAACTTCCTCGGTTGGTCGCCATGGCAGCGATGATGAGGAGGATGACGATGAGGAGGAGGACGACGACACTGACGATCAGAATCCAGACGAAGAAGCTCAGGACGAGGAGGAGGAAGACGAGGATAACGCGGATGACGGTGTCAACACAGCCCGCCGCGTTGTCGGCGATCTTTTCGCGGACAGCGACGACGAGGCCGATGCGCAGGAGAAGCTCTCGACGCACGAAAAGCGTGTCGCTGCCCTCAAAGAGGAAATCGCTCGTCTCGAGGACGAGAATGTCGCCAAGAAGGACTGGACCTTAATGGGAGAAGCTGGCTCTCGCGTTCGTCCACAAGACAGCCTCCTCGAGCAAGACCTCGAATTCGAGCGTGCCGCCAAAGTCACCCCGCAAGTGACGGAGGAAATGACGGAATCCATCGAGGACCTCATCAAGCGTCGCATCCTCGACCGCAACTTTGACGATGTCATCCGTCGACGCGAGATGGAAGCTCTTCCCTTCCTCCCCTCGCGTCTTCTCGAGCTGTCCGACAGCAAGAGCGCCAAGAGTCTGGCCGAGCTGTATGAGGAAGAGTACCAAGCAGCTCGCGGGACCGAGGGCGAGGACGGCGCTCCTGTCGCTGAAGCGGACGCCAAACTGGCCAAGGAGCACGAGGAGATCACCACGCTCTACGACGACATTTTCAACAAGCTCGATGCGCTCTCCAACGCGCACTTTACGCCCAAGGCGCCGAAAGCGACGATCCAGACGCTCACCAACGCGCCTTCGGTATCCATCGAGTCGGCGCTGCCCGCGACGGCGTCGACGAGCACGATGCTTGCGCCGGAGGAGGTGTACGAGCGCCCACGCCACAGCGGTGCCATGGACGGCGCCAAATCCGAGATGACTCCCGAGGAAAAGCAACGCTTGCACAACAAGCTTCGCCAGGAGAAGCGACAGCGCAACGAGAAGATTCAGGACACGCGCAAGGCGCTGGAGCAATCCGGGCTGGTGCGGGCCAAGAAGGTCAACGACCGAGAGGAGAAGCAGCAGGCGCTCAAGAAGCTCGTTGGAAACAGGGGTGTGTCGGTCATCGGCAAGGAGGCCAACGCTGCCGGGGCTGGGACAGGGAAGAACGCGAAGAACAAGGGCAAGGCCAACGGTGCAAATGGTGCCGCCAAGCCGACTACCGCCAACCAGTTCAAGCTGTGAGATTGCTGCTTCTTTCCGGTCCGATCGCCTTGTTGTCGTATCGTCACTATCCCATCTGCAATATCATCCAAGACACTCGCTTGCATCACATCACACAGGGCAAACGATGAATGGCGAAATGAATTTAATTCACCTCGTTGAATCAAGGCTCCATGGGCTTCCTAGCCCAGAAGAAGTAGTTGCACTCCTGTGTGCCGGGCAAACTGGTCCCTGACCTGGCCAACGACCAAGTTCCCTTCCAGGGCAAATACGCCGTGCCCCTCACCTCAAAATGCATCCTTTGGGGCAACTCCGTTCCGTGGGCATACCACTTTCGATCCTCCATGAAAAAGTCGACGAGCTCTTTGGGGTTGATGTACTGGCTATGGGTATGCGTACCCGGCGTTACGAGTCGGAGGACGTCTTCGGCCATGAAGATGGTCAGAAACCACGAGAGGGGTGTGCGGGCGATGGTGGACATGAACAGGTGGCCGCCGGGTTTGACCAGCCGATCGAGACTGCGGAGGAAATCGGCGGGTCCGTTGACGTGCTCCAGCACCTCCATGGCGCAGACGATGTCGAAGGTGCGGTTTTGGGCGACGAGGTCTTCCGCGGTCGTGTGCAAGTAGGTCAGGGCAGGGCCGCCGAGCGAGTGTTCGCGGGAGAGGAGCGGATCGCGCGCAGCATGCGTGGTGGCAATGCCGATATTGCTCGCGCTCGCATCGACACCAGTGGTGCGCGCACCGAGTCGAGCGAGCGATTCCGAGAGAAGGCCGCCACCACAGCCAATGTCGGCCACATCGAGACCGCGCAGGAACTGGGTTGTACCGAGGTTCTCGAGCGGGCTCCGCGCTTGTGTTGATGTTGGGGGTGATGAGTTGGACGAGGCTGCGGTGGCGGATCTGCGAGCTTCGACTTGCTGTTTGGCTAGCTCGTAGCCCCATACTTCGTCAAGCTTTTCGCGGAGGAATTGAATACGAGCAGGGTTCATCGCATGCAGCAGACCGAACTCGCCATGCTCATCCCACCATTTGGACGACAGCCGGCTGAAGTGCTCGATCTCGGATGCATGCACTGACGAGTTGCTGGTTTGTGTTGGTCCAGAGGGTGAAGAGAACGGTGGCGAGTCGAGTCTGAGTTTTGACGACGAAGCGAAGGACCGCAGCGACTGCGAGGATGACCTGGTAAGAGGCAAGATTCGAACAGAGAAGCAAGGCGTCTCAGCATCCATTGTATCTAGGCTCAAGAGGGGCGAGGTCTCCAATGCAACTCACTGGCAGACCGAGGCAGCGCTGGAGCGCGATAGCAGGCGGCCAGTTGAGCGGGCGCTCGTCGAAGCGATCATGTTTGGTATAGGACAGAGGAACGATTGCAAGCAGCAGAGAGGGGTATAATAGAAGTACAAGGAAGGAGAGAAAGGACTACAAGAATGCGAGGGAATGGTCTGCTGACTGCAATGCGGACAGAATGAGGAAAGATGAGGTCAGTCACAAGTCCTTCATCTGAGCAAATCTCGACCTTGAAGGGGGAAGTTGCTTGAATCAGATTAAGGGAGGATAATAGCGTAAAGGCCTCCACTGCTATCGGGTTTGTCGGCAAGGAAAATTGCTTTGTTACGACTGGTGCCAGGCAGAATCCAATCATCATTCGAAGCGGTGGTCGTTTGGGTCGAGATCAAGAGAAAAGAGAGCGAACTTACGTTTTGCGATGCTGTTGGTGGAAGGAAAGGGAGAAGCTCGAGATGCCTGACCATGGATTTCTTCTTCGCGACGATTTTCTGACAGGACGAAAAGCTCTGACTGCGGTCTGCTGAGGGAATTCTCGCCCGAGTTAGGTGAGAGCACTCCACATGACGCTGCTTGGACCCTGTCCAGGAACGCTTGCCCAAGACCAACACTCGATCAGCATGGCTTCCGACACGCCCTCTCGCTGTTGACGACGCTGAAGGAGTGATTGAGCGACCGAACATGCCGTCGCTCTTCAACAGCTGCTTCGGGCGGAAAGAGGACCCACAGTCCGAGCTCCTGTCCTCCACAGACGGATACAGCGGATCGATGCCACCAGCAGGCAAACGCAAGGTCGACGACGTCAACCCGGCCAAATGTATCTTCTGCAACGTCTCACGCGATCGCTTCAACATCGTGCTCGAGGACGACAAGTACATCTGCTTCAGCGATCGCTCCCCGGCCGCTGCGGTTCACCTCCTCGTCATCCCACGCACGCACATTGCCAATGTGCAGAGCCTCACATCACGGGACACCCAACTCGTTCGAGAGATGCAAGCAGTAGGAAACAAGGCCCTAGACAGACTTGCAGACGGATCCAGTCCTACGGAGCGAAGATTTGGATTCCACATCCCTCCATTCCGCAGCGTCGATCATCTACATTTGCACTGCCTCCAGTTGCCATTCAGAAGCTCTCTGAAGAGCCTCAAATACCGCATCGCCAAGCCTTCGAGTCCGGACTACTACAAAGGCTGGTCATGGTTTGCCGAGTGGAAGCAAACGTGTGCTTTGCTGGATGCAGGGCGCAAAGTCAAGGTCTCCAGCTGCTAGATGTCACAACAGATACCCCTTCAATGGCATTGATCCTAGACCGTATCTATCTTACAGTGAGGAAAAAGCAGTGCCGTAAAATAGGGTGTCAAAAAAGCATGACAGCCGCTTTCAACAAAAAAAGCTGCCTCCTAGCCGACTCGAACGACTGACCTCTTCATTACTAGTGAAGTGCTCTACCGCTGAGCTAAGGAGGCCTAGATACAGGGTTGAGCCCACATTGCATCCATCAACAGCCTTATTCCGGCTCATGAGCTGAAGACTCAGGCACCCATTCTGCTATGCCATCGCAGCCTGGGAGACTTTGATCTGTCCAGGACGGGTTGTGCGAGAATCAGGAATCACCATGTGAGGTGCACATTCATTCTATGTGGAAGCGGCTGAATGATGAGTATGCGATCATGACCGCCGGCAATGGTCTTGCCAGAGAAGCCGAAGGCGAAAAAGATAGACTTAGTTGGACGCGAGCGAGCCTGTCGAACTAGATTTTCAGGCACAACGCAACGCACGATCCTCCACAAATGCGGCTAACCCTGACCACAGGCGTTGAAAGCTGAGTCCGCATACAACCACAACGTCTCATCCCACCATCACCATCTCTCTCCTCTCCCATAGCATCTCAAGATGCCCGCCGATAAGCCTCCCACCGTGCCACCCGAGATCGACATCCCCAACCCGGGCAAGTCGGAGCAGTTCTGGATCGAGACCGACTACTCGGACAAGACTCGCTTCTGGGCTAAGCGCTTCTATCCCACCGACTCGTCGGCCGGCGATGAGGAGATCCAACCCAAGGCGACCACCATCTTCGTGCACGGCTTCGTAGAGTATGTAGACCGCTACCGCAACATCTTCAAGCTGTGGCCCAGCAAGGGTCACGAGATCCTCGGCTTTGACCAGCGCGGTTGGGGCAACACCTGGCGAAATTCGCCCAAGCCGGACGGCAACTACGGCAACACCACCTGGCCGCAGCAGTTCCAGGACCTCGAATTCGTTATTCGCCAGACACGTCAACGCTTGGACCAGCGATGGGGTGCCAACAAGGTGCCCATCTTCCTGCTGGGCCACAGCATGGGTGGAGGCATTGTGACGGCCTTCCACACGCGCAGCGAAGAGTGGGTCAAGCAGCACGGCGGTAATGGCCCAACGCAGGAGGCCAAGGAGATGGTTGCAGGTGTCGTGGCCAGTGCTCCCTGGCTGACACTCACCAAGCCCCCTGCATGGTTCATCATCTGGGGCGCATCCAAGCTGCTGGCCCTGATGCCGGAGATCCACTGGAACGTCGATCTTCTCGGCAAGAACATCTCGCGAGACCCCGTGGTGGCAAGCAACTTTGAGAACGACCCGCTCTCGGACAAGAAGGTGTACCTCAAGGCCATCCAGGGTCCGCTGCAGGGAGGTATGGACATGGTGGACAAATCGCACAAGAATTGGCCCGAGTCGAAACCGTACCTCATCGTGCACGGCACCGGCGACTTGATCACAAGCCACAAGGGCTCGCAGACCATCATCGAGCGCATGCAGGCGAAAGACAAGACGCTCAAGCTGTTTGACGGCTACTATCACGACTTGCTCAACGAGCCTGGCCAGGATAAGGTGGTGGTCGGCGAGTATGTCATCAACTGGTTGAACAGCCACCTGTGACCGCTTCCATCTATCACCGATCCGATACGCAGCGCAGCCAACACAAAAGCTTGAGCATACATCCTCATACACTGTCTTTTGTGTCGATATCCCCACGCTCAAATCTAGCCCTTTTTTCGCAGTGCTTCCATTGCTGACCGTGACTAGACAGGAACAATGACTTTGAGAAGCTCGCGCTCCCACGGCCTCAATCCCTCTTCGTCGCGAGCCGACTGGTAAGTCGAGTCCGTTCTCTCTCGCTGCAACTCGGCGATGGCGTCCGCAAACACCTTCCAGTCGATGCAATTGCCGCGAACGACACCTTCCTGCGTGCTACTGGGCGTATCGATCGACCACTCGCCTTGCCGTGTTCGAGTCAGCGTCTGCACGTGCGCTGCTGAGCCGGCGGCGATGGCAAGGTCGTGTACGATGGAGCGGACGTAGGTGCCCGACGATACAGTCATTTCGAGCACGAAAGCTGGCGGTCCTGTGGCGCCCTCTTCTGTGGCCTTGCTCTCGGTATCGACCGCTGCGGCGTCTTTGCTCGTCGGAAGCCTCTGCCACGCTGATGCTTGGGCCGGTACATCGTCGCCGTCTTGCTCCTTGACTGTGTCCGTCTGCCCTTCCTTCCTGCCAGCCATATCGAGCACTCTGCCGACCAACGCCTTGTCTTCTGGCGGCACCTCGCGCTCTGGCTCCTTGAAGACATGCTTGCCGCCCTCCAACCAGTCGACCAGCCGCAGCTCGTGGATGGTCACTTTGCGTGGCTCGATCGGTCGAGGCAACGGCAGATTCTCCCTCGCATACTCGAACAGTCTCTTTCCATCGATTCTCACCGCCGAGTAGAGCGGCGGGATCTGCGAGACTGTCCCTGTGAATCTCGGCACCAGATCCGCGATCACCTGCGGTGTGACATGACCGTACGGCTTTCTTGTCAAAATCGGGTCGCAGCAGTCATACGACGTGGTCGCAGAGCCTAACAAGCCCGTGCTGCGATACTCTTTGGTGCAATCGAGGTATTTTTGAAGCTGCTTGGTGCCGCTCCCCACGCCAACTACCAGCACACCATCAGCAAGCGGGTCAAGCGTGCCACCTTGACCGATCTTAGGAGCGCCAGAAACACCCCCGGCCCATTTGCCTTTTCCCTTGCCGCGAAACTTGCCGCGCTTTCGCTTGTTGTCCTGCGCTCGATTGCCGTCTGCGTCTGCGAATAGTGAAGAGGACGCGAAGAGAGGCTTGAGCTCGTCCAGAAGCGACATCGAGGTGGGCCCGCTGGGCTTGTTGATTCCGAAGATGCCAGAAAGCGGTCGCGCTGATGTTGAGGCTGCGGCAGAGCTGGTGACGGTGCGAACAGCATTCCGAATGGGTCCTACAGCGGACGAGACCACTGCTGCTGGTGCGACGACCATTGTGTCCGCCGGTGTCTCCTGACTTGGCTGATTCGAAGATGGAGCGGCAGCAGCTGGATTGACGCTGCTTGTTGTAGTTGCGTCCTCCGCAGACATGCTTGTGATTCGAAGCAACCAGCTGAAGAGATGATGGCTGCGAAGAGGAGGAAGGTGGAGAGCAGTTGCTTTCTTCTCAGATCCTCAAAATTTGTATCGGTGATCTGCTGCAGGCACGGGCGCCCCTCCACGCTGCAGAGCCAAAAATTGTGACTTTACGAAGAAATCTCGAAAAAGAAAAAAGAGGTCCGAACCCTTCTTGCTTGCCATCAACCTCCTCTACCATCAACGACTCAGCCAAGCAAACTGGCAAGCCGCCGCTCATCGCATCATGGACTCGTGATCACCCCTGCAACTGATCAAGCAGATCAGCAGAGACGCTGTGCAAAACACTCGACGCTTCGAAGCCAACGACGGCGATAGGCGACACCTTCACCAAGGCCATTGCAGTCTCCCCATACCCAGCCGCTTCACTGGAGTTCAGCCCCGCCTCCCGCCATGCCGTCCTCTGCGCACTCACCGCAAAAGATCAAGCTGTGCGAGCATGTATTGCTCCAGCACTTTGGTCCCATCGCTGCGCGGGTCGGTGCATTGCTGCTCAAGCGTGGTCGGTTGACGATCCGCGAGATTGGCCGCTTCCTCAACCAAGCGCCAACACGGACCAATCGCGGCCCTACAGACCCATTCAGCAACCACAGCGCAATCCACAGCAAGTCGACGCTGGTCTCGGCTCCCATTGCAGGTGCCAGCTCCAGCTACAACACCAGCGATCCCAATGCTCCTGTTCCAGTACCCAAGTTTCTTGTAGAGCAGACCATCATGACGCTCATCCAGCACGGATGCGCCTGGCACAGCTCGACCGATGCCAATGTGGGCGACTCGAACCAGGAGTTCTTCGAGATCAACATCAATGAGGTGCTCTTGCGCCTGCGCTTCGGCAGATACATTGGCATCGCTGAAGAGGAGCTCGGCTCTACAGCGGCGAGGATCGTCAAGCTCGTCTTGCAGCACGGCAAACTCCAGGCTAGCGACATTGTCGATCGCATCGCTTCAGAGATGGACGCGCAACGCAGAGCAGCCGCAGCTTCCACCGATCCTCACAACAACGGTGACCCTCCAAACGGCACAGCGAACGGCTCGAACAAGCGAAAGGCAGACGCAACCGACGACCTCTCCCTTCTGCATTCTGAAGTGGCTCGTCAGCTCACCGTGATGCTCTTCCGAACCTACTTGCGGCCCAGCACGGCTCACCAGCATGTTGCACCTCGAGACAAAGAGATCAAGTACGAAGCCAAATTGCGGCAAAAGCTGCGTGGCATTCCCACACCAAAGGAGCTACAGAAGATCAAGGAGGAGGTGCGCATCAAGATTGCCGAAGAAAGAGAAGCGGACTGGGAAGGAGCAGGCACGACCGTAGCGTTGGGCGCTGATGGACTTGTAGCCGATCGTCGCGAGACACGGCGTGGCTTGCTACGGAAACAACAAAGCGCCATCGCCGTCGCTGGGGCAGCGAGCAAGAGCAAACGCACCAGGACCAGCGCCAAGGACAAGAAGGGCAAAGACAAGGGCAAGGACAAGAACGGCGTCAACGGCGTCCACACTTCGCCCATCGTAGAAGGGTTCGACCCGGCAGACGACTACGAGATCGACCCCACCGTCTGGTTGCGCGTCCACTTTGACCGCTTCGACGTCCACCTTCGCGATGAGCTCATGATCGACGCGGTGCGGGAAAAGTACAACAACACCGCGGCCGAAGTGTTCCGGCAGCTCATCCAGGCGGGCGATGCATCGACCAAAAAGTCGGTACGCGACGTCCGCAGTGCACCCATCGCCATCAGCAGTCTTGCCTACAAGATGCCCTCCGATCTGTCCCTGCAGAAAGGCTTCGACCGCCGGTCCTTTGGCAAGGACAAAGCCTCTCTGCCCAGCAAGCAAGAGTTCCTCGCCGAGTACTGTGCCATCTTTTCGCACTCGGAAGACCTGACCGGCAAGGCCCTCCGACTCATGGCTCCTGCCTCGGACAGCAGCACGAAGACCGCTGGCGGCTCCAAAGTCTCGTCGTCGCTCACGATCGAGTTCAGCAACGTGGCCGAGCGAATGCGCCGCGATCTGCTGCGCAATGTTGTCGAGGACAAGTTCGGCACTGCCGCCATCCGGATCATGAACATTCTCCGGGAGAAAGGCAAGCTAGAAGAGAAGCACATCTCCAAGCTTGCGCTCGTCTCGATCTCGGAGACGCGCGATCTGTGCTCGAGGCTGTTCCACGCCTCGCTACTGGGTCTGCAGGAGGTGCCGAAAACGAAAGATCGCGATCCGGCAAAGACATTCTTCCTGTGGTTCGTCGATGAGGCCAAATGCCGAGCGTGGCTGCTGGACCATCTGTACCAGAGTTTGGCGAGGTTGGGACAGAGGAGGAACGACGAGATGCGTAGACAGATGCCCCTGCTCAGGAAGGTCGAGAGGAGCGATGTCAAGCTGGATACGGTGGGCCTGCTGACCGAATGGGAGAGGGAAAGCTGGGCACGCTTGCAGAACACGCTGCAGATGCTGACCGTGGCAGAGATGAGAGTGGAGATGGACGTGTTCGTCATGCGCGATTTGGCGAGCGGCACATTCGTTGTCGATGAGTAGGCAAGAGTCATTCATCTGTCGCAATGCAACCCTTCTCACGCTGATCGTGCCGCTTTGTCTGTGATTGCGACCTTGACTGATCCTAGTCTCCCGATTCACCTCTGCCAGCTGACCTTGGCCCTGCTTGGCTGCCATACCGACCCTGCCGCCTTTCCATAGTCTCCCTCCTCAATTCCGCCAACTGCTCCATCTGCCCGCGCCTCTCACCCTCCTCCTTGGAAAACTTGAAGAACGCTGCCCCGCGATGTCGATTATCGAACTCGGCATCGAACCTTTTGCTCTGCGTCTCCTCTTTCTCCCTTCGCCTCGTACTCGGATCGTACACAGGGAAGCTCGTGCTTGGACCATAAACGGCATTATCCACCTCTTCTCGATCTTCCTCGCGATCTCCTCCGTAGCGTTCTGGCAGGAATTCGCGCGGTACCTCGCTGAGCGGGGCGGTGCGCGTGCGACCGAACTCATCTTCGTACTCCACCATCTCCTCTCCTCCCCGTGGGGTGGGTGAGGGAGACCGAGAGCGGGGTTGTGGCTCGGCCCGCTTACGAGTCCAATCGATGCTTCCTTCGTCCAACTCGGCAGATGTGAACCCTGCATACTTGCCTGCGTGCAGCTGATCGTAGATGCGCGCCTTGCGTTCCAGGTTCGTACGGATGCGCTCGAAGGACGCTTCCGGGTCGGCAGAGGTTCGCTCCTTCCGGCTTGACCCTTCATCGCGCGCCTTCTTGCTCGAAGAGCCGTCAAGGAATACCGAGGAGAGCTTCTTGGACGGCTTGCGAAGCTCGTCGATCGAAGAAGCCTTGCGTTTCGAAGAGGACGAGGAGGATGCCTTGGACCGCTCCAGCTCGGCTTTCAGTCCGGGGAAGGTGGACGAGATCGAACCGGACGGGCCTGAGCCCTTACCACCGCTGCTACCGCTCATGTTGTCTCGCTCGAAAGCTCGCGGTGATCGCCGATGACCGAAGCATGGTCTGGGAAGCAAAAGTGTCGAAGCAAGAATGTCGATTCAGGGTCCACGTCTTCCTCACTCGGAAATCGGCACTCACCGCGCCGCAGCACAACGCTCTGTTCGCTCTAGTAGCAGCTCACAGACACAGACTATCGTTGAGTCGAATGGAAGGTATCTCGATTGCACCATCACGGCCCACCCAAAGACGCATCGTTCAACGCGACACACACCGCCGCCCGATGATGTCCGTTGTACTGCCTCACCGTCTCTCCCGACGCCAGCTCCCACAGCCTTGCCACGTGATCCGAAGAAGCAGTCACCAGATACGCCGAATCTGCGCTGAACGCCGCATCCCACACCCAGCGCTGATGCCCCACGAGGGTCTTTTCCAGCGCAAACTCGTACCGCGACGTGGACCAGATCTTGACGGTTGCATCCGCTGAGCACGTTGCCAGATGCCTGACGTCCGGACTGAGCAGCACTCGTGTGAGGTACTTTTCGTGCGCCTGAAACGTTGTCACTGGTTGAAGCTCTGTGAAGTCTCCGCCTGCTGGTGATGGCCCAGGCTGTTGTTGTGCATCATAGACACCGTTGATAAACCTCCAGACGTACACTTTGCCCGTATTGTTGCCCGCCACTAAACAGCTTCCATCGGCGGCGACCGTCACGGATCGAATTGGCACTCCTTCTTCAGGGACCAGTTCGTGAGAGCATCCGTTCTGCCCGAGATCCCACACTTTGACGCTGCCGTTCTGATCGCAGCTCACCAGCTCGCCCTGATTCGGGTGTACCACCACATCGTTCACCGGTCCGCGATGGTCGTAGATCCGTGTCGCGCGTGATGTACGCAAATCCCAAATCTTGAGCAGACCATCTTCACCACCTGAGACGAGCCACTGCATGTCGCAGTGCCACGCAATGCCCGTCACGTTGCCCTGGTGACCTTCGAGCGTCGCAATGGGTTGAGCGGGCGCGCTCGCATTGCTGCCCGACCCGCCTCCACCACCACCAGCAGCAGCATTCGCAGCAGCGATCGAGGCCGGCGAGGCTATTGAACAGTCGTAGAGTCGGATGTGGGTGTTAGCCGCCGCTGCAAGGAAGCGTTTGTCAGGACTGATGGAGAGTCGGTTGACCTGCGAGTCGGGATGTTGGATGGTGCGCGAGCAGATGCCGGACCAGGCTTCCCAGAAGCGGATGGTGTGGTCGTATCCGGCGGTGACGAGGAGCACGGAGAGCGCGTCTTGCTGGGAGGATTGTTGCGCCGCTTGCGCCGCTTGGGCGGCTTGGTGCTGCTGGTGGACTTCGGCGGCGCTGGTGGGCGGGGAGCGGCCTTGGGTTGGCATCCGCACCGGTGCCCTGCGTGCCGCCATCGTCGATGCCAGCTGTGCGTGTCTTGACTAAGGTTGAGATCCGAGGCGAGCCAGCTGGCAGTGGAGAAGTGCGAATCGCAGCTCGGCAGCCTTGGGAGTCGATAGATTGCCTTGAAGTCAGGTATGCTGCCGCAGCTGTGACCTTGCGTTCGTCGAGGGCACGGAAGCGTTTGGGATAGCGGCGCAAAGCACCTTTGGTATCGTCGGCACCAACGGCCGATGTGTGCCTCGTCGGATTGGTTCGAAGGATGTATGAAGAGCAAGATAGAGAAACAAGACGGTCTGAGCGCGAGCGGTATCCAAAAGTGGGGAACAAAGATGTCAAGGTGGAGCTCTGAGCGTCTCGTGCGGGTGAGCGTCGAGGGGCAGCATCACGTGAAGCTGGACCGCTAAGAAGAAAGGCGGCTGCGATTTTCCGACTTTTTTTCGTTGGTCAGCCTGAGAAGAATTGGAGTTCAACCCAGACGACCTTGGCTTTCATCTCGAGGGTCTCATCACTGGATCATCACCATCACCACTGTCGACCGCTGCCTTCTATCGTGCCGACCATCACAGCAATGTCGGCAAATCGCAGCCTCACAAAGGCGTTCCGCCCATTGACGCAGAGCACCGCCTCCTCCTCGAAACAGGCGCTCTCCACCTCGACCCGCAGCAGCGTCGCTTCTTCGCACAGCCGATCCGCTTCCACAGCAGTAGCATCCTCGTCCAGCAGCACCGAAGTCGCACCAACGCCGTCTTCGTCAACCTACGTCCACGATCCGACCCCCAACGTCCACCTTCCGCGTCTCGCACGCACCGAGCCCGAGCTCTACGCCGCTGTCCGCCCACCACCTGTCTCCGCCTTCGCCGCGCTCTCGGCCCGTCTTGGGCTGACGCCTTCCTCTGTTGATGCTGAGACGCGCGACCGTCGCATCCGACTCGTTCATCAGGCATGCACACACCCCTCCTTCCAAGCGCTGGTCGACAAGGCGGCAGCGGCGCAATTCGAACCGTCCGCATCCATCTCCGGCCTTACGAAGAAGGACGGCTCCACTGCACTTGACGCTGCTCAGTTCCTCTCCTTCTCAGCGGAGGGCGTCGAGCACCATGCAGCCCTGGCCACGGTCGGCAACTCGCTTCTAGGCATGCTTGCAACGGAATACCTGCATCTGCGCTACCCGAACCTGCCGACGCGGGTCCTCAAAGCCGCGGTCTCCGCCTACGTCGGACCCCTCACGCTCTCCGATGTCGGCTCTGAACTCGGCATCACAGCACCGGGTTTGCTGCGGTGGAACAAATCCGCTCGCATCCCTACCGGCGCCAACTCGACGCAAAAGCGTGGTGGACGCGGCGCACCTCGTCTGCCGGGTGCAACAAGCCCAACGCGCACCCTGCTCAGCAAGGACGTCGAGGCGGACGCCATGCGCGCCCTCGTCGCCGTCATCTTCCAAGAACAAGGTCTCGCGTCCACACGTCGTTTCGTCATCGCCCACTTCCTCCAACGCTCCCTCAACCTCGCCGGCATGCTCAAATTCTTCGACCCCAAACACGCGCTTGCCTCGACATGCGCAAAGTACGGCAAGCCACCCCCGCAGTCCAGGATGGTCGCCGAAAGCGGGCGATTGAGTATTGCGCCCGTTTTCGTGGTAGGCGTTTGGAGTGGCGAGACCAAGGTCGGAGAGGGCAGTGGAAGTAGTATCCGGATGGCAGAGTTTAGGGCGGCGGAAGATGCGTTGCGACGGCTGTATTTGGCTGAGACGCCACTGGGTGATTTCGATTTGCCCAGCTGTACGTTGGATGGGCTGTTCGGGGGTAGTAGCGAGGTGAGTGTGGAAGCGGGGCAGTTCAGGGCTCAGCCGCTGGGTGAGGCCGAGGTGCTGGCAGCTGCTGGCAAGAGTAGGCATTGAGAGACGCTCGAAAAGTAAAGATTCGATCTGCAATTTGCATCACTTAGCATCGTCCGTCGTTCGTCTGTGCAAGCGCACGTGAAGACACCTGCTGAACAGAGCCTCGAGAGTGATCTGTATGAGTGCTGTACTGGACGTATGGGAGTCTTGAACGAACCGAGAAGCCCTTCAAACATCGTCGAAATCCTCGCCATCATCGTCACTCTCATCGTTCTCGCCATAATCCTCCTCGTCCTCCTGCTGTTCTGCCGCCTTCTTCTTCTGTTGTTCCTTCTCGCTCTGCTCCCTCTTCTCCTGTTCCTTCCTCGCGTCCATGTACTCGGGTTTCAAGCTCCAATTCCCCACGTACGGCCCGCGTTTGTGCAGATCCGCAATACCCGTCAGGACCTCCCGGAGATAGCTCTCGGGCTGTTGCGTCTCCGTGCGCAACTTCTTCAACGACCAGTACTGCCATCGTTCGAACAGACCAAAGAGCATGTCGAGCAGTTCGTTCTTGGGCATCCTAGCGAACTTTTCGCCTCCGCCACTTGCCGACGAGGTAGGTTTCTGGGCGATCGCTGCGTTGAACCTCGATTTCTGAGATGAGAGGGAGCCTACGCCGGCCACCATCATGTTGTGCCGTCCCGCATCGCTCGAGTCCAACATCTTGATGGTTCGCTTTGGCGTCGAGGCCTCGGCACGACGTCGACGCAGCAGTTCGCGGTAGCTATCGCTAATAGGAGCTCCACCGGCGATGCCAGACGTGGAGCTGCCAGGCTTGACATCTTCACCCCCCGACCGAATCTGCGGTTGCAGCGCTGCCTCGTTCGTCACAGTCCCACAGAGCGCTGTGACCCGACGTGTCTTGCCCCGCTTCTTCTGCCTCCCGCTCTCGTCCTCGTCGCTCTCATCGTCGTCTTTGAGCGACGAGGACGACGGGTCGAGGTCCTGGAGCTGTTCGCGAAACGCGTATGTGTTGCGGGCAAGTGTCGCGGCGGATTCGCTGGTGAGCTTGAGATCGTATGCGCGTGGGATGGTGTCGTATCTCGGGTTGCGCGGATTGCCGGGCTCGGTGGGGATGGCGGGCAGCGGTGGGTCGGGAAGGAGCAGCTCCATGCGCTGTTGGCCCAGGTGATCCGGATCGTAGACGCGAACGGTGCCGAGGCGCAAGTCGTCCGTACGGATCGCGGACCATGCCTGAAGAAGGAACTTGGGAATCTTGACGAGCCACACGGGGTGCTTGCCTTTGGTCATATCCATGTCCTCGTCCGGCTCGGGTGACAGGCGCGAGTATGCATCCGAGGCAGAGGCAGCGGGAGCATCGTCGTTGTTGCGTGCTCGCTTGCCGAGTGACGTGGAGGACGAGCCCTCGCCTGGGTCGGCGATGGGCTCGATGTCGTCTTCGTAGCTCGCCATCGTTGGTGTTCGACCTGGTGTTGTAAGGTAGTGGTGAAGGTGCGTGCCAGACTAGATGGACAATCTACAGTATATGGGCTGAGTGTTGGTCTGAACGCTCCACTTTTCATCTGATGCAAATCTGAGATGGATCTCGTATTCATCGGCGATGACGGGTCTAACATTTTGGAAAATTGATGTTCTGCCGGTCGCCAAAACTCGACGTGCAGCATGCATGCAGCAAGATCCGCCGGCGGGCAAAGTCGCTTCGCTCCAGAAGAAGCGCTTCGGGTTCTCTGGGCTCCAGCGACCCTGTTCAACCGTCCTCGTCCTCGTCGGTGTCTTCTCCCTGCAGCTCCCGACATCATCCCGGTGAAGACGGTCCCTGTTCGCGCACGATGCCATCTTCGCTGCGTACGAGCTTCTGCTGATCCTCAGCAAAGCCCTCGAGTCATTGTCAAAGTGCATATGTCGACGCTCGAGGCCGCATTGTTCAAAGAGATAGCATGGTTGACGGACGACGTCACCTGCTCGCCGGTCTGGAAAAGGGGAAAGAAAAAGAAAAGTCGGGAAAAGCGGCAAGAGGCAAAATGCTCCGCGGCAAGATCAACGAAATTTTTGGGCGCAGTTCAAGTTGTGCCGAGGCTTTGAGGCGTGTGACCTTGCCTTTTGCTGAGCGATTCTTTCGCTGTCGATTCGTACTGTCACCTTCCGGCCCTCAGTCCAATCAAGAGTAGGAAAAGCTGCGGAGAAGAGACACAAGAGAATGTGGGGTGAGCTGAACGACCGAAGGTGAGAGCCAAACGGGGCGAAGACGGTTGCGCAGAGCAGTCGATGCTCGACGCTTCGTGCGGTCTCGGCTCTTATCGTATCGGCTAATTTGGCCGGGCCTGGTGTTGAACTCAGGGTGGCGTATGATGCGGGGTAGTTGGACAAGTGTATGATTGGATCCAAGCACACTTGTGTCACCGATAAGGATGACCGGGACAGCGGGATCGTGACTCGCTTCGCCTCCGTTCTCGACGGAGCTCTTCCCTCATAAGACCACGACCTTCTCGCCTCTTCCCCACCCTCATCGTCGTTTCTCCTCCATCCCCTTTTCCTCATCGTCGACGTGCAACACCATGTCGACCACTTCTCCCTCGACCACTGCCGGCGGCGGCGGCATCTCCTCGAACCTCGCCGCCGAGAAACGCGCCCAAGCACAAACACAATCGATCCACGACTATCGCACGCACCCCACCACCGCGGCGCCAGACACAGTGATCCACGCTAAACACTTCTCCTCGCTCGCACTCATCGGTCTGTGCTACTGCATCCTCAACTCGTGGACGGCGGCGTCGGCTTCCATGTCGATCGCGTTGATCTCGGGAGGACCCTCGGTGACGCTCTGGGGGATGGTGGTTGCATTCGTGGGCGTGATGGCGTGTGCGCTGTCTATGGCCGAGATCTGTCATGTCTACCCAACGACGGGTGGGCAGTACCACTGGAGCTTCTTGCTGGCTCCTGCGCGGTACCGGTATGCCATTGCGTACTTTACCGGCTGGATCAGTGTTGCTGGTTGGGTAGCGCTCACTGCCACCGCGTCGAGTTTGGCCGGTCAATTCATCGTCGGAATCATCGCCCTCCTGCATGAGAACTACGAGAGCAAACCCTGGCACATCTTCCTCGTCTACGTCGCATTCAGCCTCGGTGCATGGACAATCAATGCCTTTGGCGTGAGGATCCTGGACAGCCTCAATCGGGCAGCGATGATCTGGTCGTTGGTCGGAGCGGTGGTCATCATGATCACCTGTCTCGCCCGGGCCACGCCCAACTATCAATCCGCCAAATTCGTCTTTGGCCAATTCACCAATTCGACGGGGTGGAACAACGGTGTTGCGTGGATCCTGGGTTTGTTGCAAGCGGCATTCTCCCTGTTGGGTTCCGACGGCGCGACGCATTTGATCGACGAGATCGATCGACCGGCCATCAACGCTCCTCGGGCTATGATCCTCGCCGTAGCCATTGGGGCTAGCAGCACGTTCATCGTTCTCATGGTCTTCCTCTTCGTGTTGAAGGACTTTGATGCTGTCACCTCGAGCCCTGCCGGTGCGCTGTTGGAGATCATCTTCCAAGCAGTGGGCAATCGCGCTGGAGCCGTATGCCTACTCATCTTCCCCGTCGTCAGCATGGCTTTCACCGCCACAGCCCTCCTCACCACCAGCTCGCGCATGTCTCAAGCCTTCGCACGCGATCGTGGATTGCCCTTCTCCAACCTCTTCGCCAAAATCTCGACCAAAAACGAGGTCCCCATCCCAGCCCTCATCCTCACCACCACCTGGGTCATCGTCTTTGGTTGCATCTACCTCGGCTCCACCTCGGCCCTCAACGCCATCTTGTCCTCCAGCGTGGTGCTGTTGCAGTTCAGCTACATCATTCCTATCGTCCTGCTCCTGGTGCGCGGGAGGAAGGTGCTGGACGACGCCACGCCCGAGAAACGTCACTTTGATCTCGGTCCACGAATGGGCCCGGTGATCAACGTGTTTGCTGTCCTCTTCGTGCTGTTTACAGACGTATTCTTCTTGTTTCCCCCCGAACTGCCCGTTACAGGAAGCAGCATGAATTACACCGTTGTCGTCGTTGCTGTCGTCGCCATCATGAGCGGGGCAGCATGGCTCCTCAAGGGCAGAAAAGAGTTCAAAGGCCCCCTCGATATGGACGAGATCCTGTTCAGAACAAGAGGATTTGCGCGCTTCGATGCCGAGGACGCCTCGGCTGCTTCCACGGCCGGTGCGCAGGTGGTGGGCGAAAAGGAAACCTCTTGATCAGTCTTACTGTAGATATAGACACGACTGCAATGGATGACCACATGGACGAAACAAGTGTGACTGAGCGGTGCTAATACAAATACAAGAGGCTCACCCAGCTCTCTGTCTCTCTCTTCTCCCCTCCGCGGCTGATTCGGCTACTTCTTCCGACTAGCCGACTTCTTAACAGGCCTACTGCTCGCCATCTCGACGTCCATCGTCCCATTCGGGCTCATGCCCGACGTAGACGGCTTCCTCTTCTTACCCGCACTTGCACCGTTCCACGGCCCATTGTTCTCCAGCGGGCTATTGGTGCTGTTCGAGCTGGTGCCCGAGTTGGTACCCGACCCGACCTCTTGCGCGTAGATGCCAGGTGCATCGTTGACCCCTGCGCCGTGGAGGAATGCTGCGGTGGTGGCGGGCGAGAAGGCAAACGAGGGTGACTCGCCGAAGGCGTTGTTGGACGTAGGGCTGGCGACGCCTCCGCCCGGAGCTTGGGAAGCGTCCACGAACTGACTGAGGAAGGAATCGACGTCAAAGTCCGAGTCCATGCTTCCGGTCGCGCCTGCTGCTGCCCCTGTTCCTGCACCTGCGTTGGTGGACGGTGGTGTCGTGCCGGTGGGACCGCCATATTGCGCGCCTCCCACCGATGCCGACGGTGCTGCTGCAGATCCACTCATGTCTCCGAAGGCCGTCTGACCGCCGAATGGCAGAATGTTGTCTGTGGCTGCGGTCTGCCATGGAACGGATGAAGCTGCGTTCGTCTGCTGCTGCGCCTGACCAGCGATATTCTGAAGCAAGCTCGGGTTGGTCTGCAGTCCTTCGATGAGCGAGTTGATGCTGTTCTGCACTTGGTCGACATCGCTTGAGGTGTTTTGCAAATCGCGCGAAGCTCTGTTCAACAAGAGTGCCAATTGCTGGTTGCTGTTGGCATCGTTGCTGCTGCTGTCGAACAGAGTGGCCGATCCTTGACCTTTGCTGGGCGAGGTGACCGTATAGTTGTTCTGACCACCAGCAAAGTTCTGACGCGCAGGAGACTGCACCAGCGCTTGGGAGATGCCTGCGAGACGGGCGAGAGCATCTGCCTCCAGACCGAGACCATTGTTGGTAGAGCCGCTGCTGTCACTCGACCCGTTCGAGTCGGAAGGGAAAGCAGAGAAGCGCGAGACAAAGTCGTCTGCTTGTGCGTTGGTCGATCCTCCAAAGTAGTCTGTGCTGTTGTCGTTGGCTCCGTTAGCACCACTTCCCGCGCTCGCAAGCGCCTGCTGGAGGGCAGCGACCATCTGAGGGTCGAGCTTGAGACCTCCACCCGTTGCAGGGCCAGTGGTCTTGGACCCCTGGTTCGCGAGGCTGGCGCCGAAGAGACTGGCGAGCCAAGCGTTGCCCTCGCCTGACGCAAGTGCGTTGAGCACCTGATTGCTTGCTTGCGACGACAATTTCCTAGATCCGCCCGGCGTTGATACTGCCTCCGATAGCTGCCTGCCAAATTCGGCTGCGCTGGTGTTGGTGGGCGGCGAGCCGATCTGAGTAAAGCGAGAGCCGCCGTTGGATGCGGAGGGGCTTTGGCCTTTGGGAGAGTCCCCACTGCTAGCATCCTGGAAGCGCAGGTGCGAAGGCATCTCCTCGATTTCGTCCTCGTCAGTAGGCAGCTCTAGTCCCTCGAGGCCGCGGACACCTGACGAAGAGGAAGAGGCATTGCCGTCCTCGATCATGAGTCGACTCTTGCTTCGCTGCTGCTGCTGTGGGCGAACGCCGACCCTCCTTCCATTTCCTCGACCTTTGCCAGACACCTTTTTGCCTTGCACAGGCGCTTCGTCGTCGTCCTGGTTGCCAAAAACGCCGGCGAGGAAGCGCAGGATCTTGTTGATGGTCTCCTGCTGACGCTTGGCGCGCTGTCGAGACTCGACGGCCTCTTGCCAGAGGTTCTGGTTGGAGTTCTGCAGATGACGCAGATCGGCGCTGATGCTGGTTTGCGCATTCTTGATTGCGTTGATGGCGTTGAGCACGCTGGCGAGCTGAAGTGCGCCATCGCCGTTGGCATCGACACTGACGTTGTTGGCGCCAAAGTCGGTGCGCATGAGCGCGCCTGCATGCATAAGTTCCTGGCCGGTGGTCGAGCCTTCTCTTTCTCCTTGCGTGTCTTTCTCGTCGCGCGGACCCTTCTTGCGCTGCACTTTGGAGAGCCAATCGGGGTGGTCTCGGTGGAAGTGCGGGTTGGAGAACTCCCAGAGCTCGCTTTCCTGTGGTGAATCGTGCTTGAGTGCGCCCTGTTGGAGATGTGGCACCTTGTGGAAACCGTACATGTTGAGCTGGCGCACGAAAGAAGAGAAGCGGTTGTGCTTAAAGAAGCGAGGCAGCACCTCATCACCGAAACGGACATGGTTGGGAACGAAGAACGAAGCGCCATCGGGAGACCATCGAATGAGCTCGTCCGTGTTGGGATCATCGACCATGCTGCGGAGCTTGTTGAGGAAAGCAGGGTTGTTCTTGTTGGTGGGAATGGCGCGCAGACTGTCGGAAGCGGAGAAGTGAGAGCCAGAGGCACCTGAACCCGAAGCAGATGCAACGCTGGGCGGCAAAGTGCCTGCTCCTGCGACAACGGGAGCCATTTTGGATGGAGCTGATGTGGAAGGCGTCTCGGAAGCGCTCGAACCCGTCGGCGCGGGAGTGGGAGTCGAAGTGACATCGGTAGGCTTGACGGCCGGTGATGGAGTTGCCGGCGAGATCTTGGCTGCCTGGAACGGTTGCGGTGAGTCGGAGGCTGTTCGATACGCTTGTAGCCCGGGAGCGACCGAGGGAAGATGATTGAGGCCAAAGGGCTGTGCTTGGCCCGGCATCGTGCTGCTAAGGAGAGGAAGAGCAGCGGCTGCTTTGAGAGGGTCGACTGCTCCACCTACGTTGGGATGAGAGACGGTAGGGACTGCCATGTCTACGTCTTCTGTGGTGGGATCAGAGACAGTTGCAGGATGCGTTGCTGCTGATGAGATTGTTGGCGCGGATGCTGCTGTTGATGAAGATGATGAAGATGGTTCAGCCCTGACGGGCGCGGATGATGGTTGAGATGATGCTGCGTTGGAGGGTGTGATGGTTGCTGTTGATGATGATGCGACAGGTTGTGAGACTGGCGCAGAAGACGATGATGCTGGTGTTGATGAGGAAGGAGGGAGCGAAGAAGCAGAATTGGACTGTTCTGCTGCTGCTGCTGCCGCTGCTGAGGGAGGAGGAGTGGTAGGCGGAGGGGATGTCGTGGCTGACATGGTCCCGTCGTTGCCTAAGCAGCGCTGTTGGCTGCTGCTTGTCTAGCTGACTCCAAAGCCGCTGCTGTGTGGGATGGTCGTGGTGCGTTGATTGATCAGATGGGGTGACAGGCGGGAAGCAAAGCCAAAGCCACAGCGCAGAGGCTGTTCCACCAAAGAATCCAGCGACGTGGAGATGTGAATGTGATTGACCAAAAAAAAAAGTTTGAGACGCAGGAGCTACTGCTGCTGCAGCAGGTGACAGGAGAAAAGCAAGTGAAGAAAAAATGTGATGAAGCAGCAGCAACATCATCACGCCGCAAAAAAAAACTCACAATGAAAGCAAGGCAGGTGGCCAGTCTCGAACCGAACCATGGCGCAGAAAAGCCTTAAGCGGGCTCATGCAGCAACAGCCGCCACCAATTTCATACTTTAAACTCATACACATGGCTCTCCCAGCAGTCACAGTGCGGCTAGGGCTGCTCCCGATCAGCGTCATGCAATTCGCAGCTGTTCGGCTGGTACCGAAGACTGCGACCTGTTCCTGCCGCTCTGGCGCTCTCGCCGGTCATTGTTCTTCTTCGCATCGACTGTTCGGAACAGCTCCCTCGTGAGAGGACTGCTGAACGAGCAGACCGAAGCAGGTTGCGGTGACCCCCGGTCTTACCATGCTCATGAGCACGAGTAAGCGGTCCCACCTGTCATCGCTGAAGTGGAGCCCGTCGAGATGATCAGCTACAACCCCGCGCACGAGCCCGCTCTGTAGCTCGAGCGCCACCATGCGAGGCGCGGAGATCGAAGCTAGCATCAGCAGCATTTGTGGCTTTGCTTTGCAGCGTAACCGTTTCAAGCCCAAATGTAAGGGTGAAGCATTGCCGATCGTTGCACCGGTCTCGGCAAGTCGGCCAAGGTCTAGAATCGAGGTCGACCACGATGGGCTTGCTTTCACAGGACCGAGCTCGAGTGCTAAGGCTCAAATCACCGCCATGTCCGAAGAGAGCGGAGATCGTACCGCGCCGCTGCATGCTTTTTCGCGGATCACATCCGATCCTGCATCCTTGTTTTCGGCTCTGACACCTCCACTGCCGAATTTGGAAGTGTATGACGAAACAGCGCCAGACGTACTTCCGCGTTGCGATCCCTCGAGTGCGTCTTGAACGGATCACAACGGCGGAATGCGCGGTTAGCGTAACGCAACGTGTTCATGAAAGCAGCCACCGAAACAACCTTCCAAATCTCGACTCTCGGGTGCCTTCCGACTCCTGCTCGGCGGCACCATCCGAGCTCAGATGGGTCCGCCGAAATCGGGCCGCACAGATTGTGGTTCGGCTGCTGCCGGTCGAGTGTCGTGTTTCGGAGCATACTCTGCAGGAACACACACGCGCTGCCCATCCTTATGTACGCTTCCGCATAGAAACTTCTAGATCCCCACGCTTTCATCTTCCTGCAACGTCGTCGCGATCAAACAGAAGAAATGTCCATGGATTCAAAACAGCAATAAACAACGAGAGTGAACGAGGTAGGATCCGGCGAGTGTGAGTCTAGATGTGTGTGTCCCGACCAATCAAGCCTGTGCACCGCCCGAGAGCGTGTCGTCAATGGCCTTGTTGATCATTTGCTTCTTGGACGACAGCTCGGCGTTCGGGAACGCTGCACCGAGCGCCTCGCGCACCGATCGCTTGGTCACATTCATCAAGCTCGCCTGGTTCGCGAGGTAGGTCTGCACCGCCGTTTTGATCTCCTCGTCCGTCGGATCCGATGCGTCGTTGATCGGCAATGCGCGCGGGACGTGAGCTGCGGCGAACGGGTTGGATGCGTTGATCGCAGAGTAGGTTGAAACGGGTCGTGCACCCATGCCTGTGGGACTCGAAGCGGCGGCGGCGGCTGCCTCGACTTGCTGCGCCCAAATGTTGCTGCCACCCGTGTTCTGCTGCGACAACGGCATCGTGAGCCCAATGTCCGAGTTGGCTGGCGAGTGGTGCGACATGGCCAACGGGTTTGACATCATCGGTGGCATGCCGTACATCGACGCCGTCGGGTTCATCATCGGGTTGGCCAGGCCGTACATCGACGCCGACGACCCAGGCATTCCGTACATCGATCCCATGGCAGGCATACCATACATCGAAGGCACACCGCCAAACACCATCGAGGGCGCCTGCGAGCCACCGCCCATCTGCGATAGCCCAGCGGCCGATGTGTGTCGCGAATGAGGCGGCTTCTGGAGCACGTTGGTGTTCTGGTAGTAATCACCTCCAAAGCCTTGGCCGTACTCCGAGCCAGCCACGCTGCCAGCATATTGGCTGCCCGCCTTGTACAAGCTTGGCGGTCCACTCTGTAGGATGGACTGCGAGTTTCCGAAGGGTCCACTGGCTCCCGTCATGCCCGATCGGATCGAGGGCGCTGCCGCTCCTTCCTCCCACACCTCGCGCTGGTACTCGCTGAATCGCTTGACCGGGATCATCGTGTCGTCGTACGGCTCGTCGTCGGTGCCAGCGATAATCTTTTTGTTGCCCTTCTCTCCTACCACGATACGCGTGTTACCCCACGAGAAGTCGTCCATGTGCCAGAACGAGTAGAGCGGCAAGAAGAAGGAAAAGATCGGATACGCCAGAATGTAGATGACCAGCCAGCCAATGTACTGCCACTGTCGCTTGAGCAGGAACAGAATCGCCTGCAGACCGTACACGGCGCCAAGCATGACCAGCGAAATGACCGGGACCGCAGCTTGTTTAGTGGCCACTGTGACGATGAGGTAGATAAGATAGACAGCCGTGGCCGGCAGGATGACCGTGCCCAGCAGATCGATGAACACAATGAAGCGCATCGAGAACAGGCAGAAGCCGCACAGCTCGGGCATCAGCACCAGCTCGGCCAAGTTGTGCACCGTCGAGTTGATCCATCGTCGACGCTGCGAGAGCAACACCCCGAATTGTTCGGGAGCGCTTGTCAGTGCCTTGGCGTCAGCGACAAATTTGGTGCGGAACGCAGGGAAGTTCTTGAGCACGAGCGTGGTCAGGTATCGGTCCTCTCCGAGGTGGAGCAGGTTCTTCTTGTGCAGCGTGTCGACGCGGTTCTCCGAGTACTCGTCAATGATGCGGTTCGAGATGAACAAAGGGCGACCCTTGTCCGAGCTGCGGATGCGGTACAGCGAGAAACAACCGGGCAGACAGGTGACACTGCCGAACAGCGACTCGAATGCCTTGGACAGATGATGCGAGATGTAGTACTCGTACACCTGGATCATGGTCCACCACGAGTCTTCAGCGTTGTCGAGGGTCGTCTCACCACAGATGGCAATGATCCTCGAGTCATCGGCGCAGTTAGCCACCAGCCTGTTGAGACCGTCGGCCTCGACGCGCGTATCGGCATCCACCATGAGGATGTACTCGTAGAATGCAGGATCGATGCCAATGACGTTCTTCATCTGGTGGTAGATCTCGAGCTCGAGTGGAAACATGGGCGCATCAAAGTGGACACGGTTGAGGTAGCGCATGAGCAGGATCTGCGAGTCACGCTTTCCACGGTTGCCCGGACGCGAGCGCTCGCTGGGACGGCCGACCTTGACAACGACAATATAAGGGACGACGTGACCTTCAAACTCGTAGAGACCCGAGTAGACCTTGGCGTAGTTGAGCTGCTTGGACCCCTCGGCGACGGACTTGAACATGAGCGGCTCGGGATCAATCTTGGGATCGACGCCGAGAATGTCGAGCACGATGCGTGGCGTGGAACGGTCGTTTCCGCTACCGACAATCATACCGTCGCAGATGAGGAAGAGCAGCTTTCGCTTGTCGTCGTACTCGAGGCCGGCAAGCGAGTCGATCGTCTTGCGGAGCTCGTCTTCGCTCTCTGTGTAACAAGGGACCTGGCAGATGACAAACTTGTCCTGCTGCTCGGGGGTACGCTTGGTGCCGAGCTGAAGCGCTGCAATGAACTTGGCCAGCACGGTGGTGACGAGAAGCACCGAGAAAGCGAGCAGGAGGTAGTTCTGCACCTCGCATCGCGCCGTCTCACGGAAGTCGGTCTTTCCGACGTGGAAGACGTTGTCGAGACAGGCCTGGGTGGCACCGCGGTAGGTCTCGTTGAAGGCGCTCATGGCCGTCTCAAAGTCGCCGGTGATGTCGCTTCCCGCCTGCGCCTTGAAGAGCGAGACGATGGACGAGTCGAGGAATTCATAGGCGGGGTTGGTCTGGTAGGTGGTGACGGTGTTGAGATAGTCCGAGATGTCGTACACCTTGGTGTTGACGATGGCCCACTGCCTATACTGGCCCTGATTGGCGATGGTCTTTTTGGAATAGACGTAGTACCCCTTGCGAAGCTTGCGGGCGAAGGGAAGGAAGCGATCCGGGTACCAGTTGATGTCGTGCAGCTTGGAGCTAGCATCGGACTGCAAGGGGCCCGAAGTGTGCACCGCCTGCGTGATGGCAGGGGTGTTGTTGGCGGTGGGCAACAGAGCCAAGGAGGTGTCCGAGACGAGCGACTGGCAGCCCACAGAGAGAGGGACGGGGAAGTACTCGGTGAGATCCTGACCGGCGAGCTGGAGCATGAGATCGGAGCTGGTCTGCAAGTTGGTGATGTCGGAGTGGTCGCCCTTGTAGAACTTGGAGAAATCGTAGACGGTGCCGCGCACAGCAGCATAGTAGTCGTTCTGACCGGCGTGCTGACTGAGCTGGCTCTCGTTCCAAGCCTTGTCGTAGTCTGGACAGAGGAGACGGCCGAAAGCGATGATGTAGAAGAGGATGATGGCACACAACCAGAAGATGAGGGAGCAAATGGTGAACTTTTCGCGCCATGCCATCTGAACATCGGGACGCTTGATGCCGCCGAATTTGGCGAGAGCCCAGGAAGGGATCCAAAAGGTGTTGAGCCAAGTGAGACGAACCCACCACTTGCGGATGGCGGTGGTGGGCACCTCCTCGATGGCGTCGATGGGTCGATTGGCAAAGTCATCCTTTTCGAGCGTGCCGACGAGAGCTGGGTTGGCTTCACCGTAGGCACGCTTGTCGTAGTCCGACTTGAGACCGGCTGTCTCTGCGAGAGGGTCGTTGTGGGTGACGGTCTCGAGCGGTGTCGCAAAAGGGTCGGTGGGGCTCCTGATCGACATTGTGATCGAGTAAGAGTCGCTGACTTCAGCGGAGGAGAAGGAAGGAGGGAGGGAAGGTGGTGGGATGCGAGGCGGTCAAGCCAAGCCTGGCTTTCGTTTTCGCCGGTCTCTACTGTTCGGAAGCAACTGCAGGGATGAGGGAGGGTCCTTGCTTGGGGCGTGATCTTCCGTGTTAGTGCTCCCTCGATACAATTGGAGGGTCGAGCTGGAAACGAGGTGCTGCTGATGGAAGGCGCGAGTCCAAATAGATAGTGTTGGTGCTGGTGTAATCGCGATCTGTGGATGTGCAATTCCGAAACTTGGGTCGACCAGCGATGATGACGGAGATGATAGTGTCGAGACGATCGAGAACGAGCGTTGTCGAGGTGGTGAGAAGGGCCCAATTCGACGGTCAGGACAATGATCAGTGCGAAGAAACAAGAGGGATAGGAAGCAGGGAGAGCAAGGATAGCGAGCAGCACCACACACCACAGCCCAGCACAGAGCGGCGGCTAAGATCAGCTCAAGTCAAATTGACAAATTCGACAGCACAACACACAGAGAGAGACACACACACCCACACCGCTGACCCTGACCCTGACCCTGACCCTGAAAGACAAGCAATTTCAAAGGGGTTCCGTGCTCTCTCGCTTGCTCGCTTGGCCTCTTGCTGGTTTCCAAGCTGAGAATCGGCCCATTTTTTTGAAAAGGTCTCAGCCTCGAAGAAAGCAAGCAGCTGCTCGCCTAGCTGAGTTTCACACGTCTTCCACGCGAAGCAATACAAATTTTGACGAGAGGCAGCCAGCTGATCTGCTTTGACTTTGTATTCATTCAGGGTCCTCATGATCTTGCTGAAAGAGGGCTTCTCTTTCGTGTCACTTTTGACTGCAGAACTGCAAGTCGCCGTGGGTCGGGTAAAGTGGGCCTCACGCTGTCGACAGGAATGCAAGAGCTGCTTCGAGGCGATGACAGAGGGCGGATGAGAACGTCTAGTGTGTAGCCATTGTGACCAAAGTTCGAACGACGAGCGACGTCGCAGATCCGAGCAGAGTGCTTGCACCGCTCAACGGACAGCTTCCTCTTCAGTCGCAAAGCAAAACTCGCGTCAATTTGGAAGCTGCGTGTTGCTGTCAACGCACATGCACCGCACCCGTCCCTTTTGTTGCTTACGCCCATCTGCAGGAAGGCTGGCCGCGAAGCCTATTTTGCTCAAGGAGACTTCATCGTCAAGATTGGCCTCATTTCCTCAAGCTTTTTCAAGGACAATTGTGCCAAGAGATGGATCTCGTGATGAAAGCGACGTCGATCTGCAAAGGACACAGATGACCGCCAAGCAAAGAGGGGGAGAAGGAGCAAAGAGACGGACGCGGTGCTCCGTGGGTCTCTTTTGCTTGCCGACGATCATGCCCCTTGGGAAATTTCGTGTCTCAGATCCCATTCGCTGTTGGTCTTTTTCTTTGACGCGCGTCTCACTCGAGGGACGAAAAACTCGAGGGTGTTACATCGTAAGATCAAGCTCTGTCCTCGGAAGCCGGACGACAAGGTGGAGGACTTGGAGGTTGGTGCTGTCGAACAACGTATCAGCGGCTCTCTTGATGCCCCGCAGCAACCAACTCGTACTCGGACAGATCCTTGCAAGGCGTATACGATGCAGGCGCTTCCATCGAAGGCGGAAGGAAACGGCGGCTGGCTGCAAATCAGCGTTCGTGCGCTAGGCTTGTACGCTCAGACGAGCACTCCCGCCTACTGCCTTGCCGCCCTCTTCGCTCTCTCCTCCCCGTTCGGTTTCGCCTCGCCTGCCCAGGCCGCCGCAGAAGCAGCAGTCAAGGCGCAACGTCAGCAACAGCTTGCTCAGGTATCGGCTGCAGCGTCAGCTCAAGGGTCGAACGGTCTGGTCGCACGTCTCATCGCCAATGCTCAAACGCAGAAAGCTGCCAAGGCTCAAGCACAGGCTCCGTTACGCACAGTACCGCCTTTCTGGCAGCTGGCTTTCTTCGCCGCTGCATTCGGTACCGGCGGATACATCATTGATCAGGGCGATGCACTGAATGGAAGCGGTGTAGTCTCAGCTTGGTCGCTGACCTATCTGCTCTTCAAGACGTTGCCGTCCATAAGACAGCTTCCGAGGAATCCGCTCGCGCTCTCTCTCTCGGCCGCAGTGCTCACTCTTGGTATTGGTATACACGGCAGTCACTACTTCGACAAGACGAGCTGGCAAGGAGCTAAACCGTCCCTGACAGGAGCCGGAAACGATGCAAGGGCCAGCACAGAGGGCAGGTCGAAGCTGATCACTTTCGACACTGTCGGAAGGACGGAGCAGGATAACGGACCGAGAAGCATCTTTGCCGGCCGAAAATCGTCCTCAACCGCAACACCATCAGCAGCTCTCGATCAGAATGCAAGCACAGAAGGCTCAAGGGTCGAGTCAATACGCAATAACGACGGTGCCAGAACAGCTGCCTATTTGCATCGTCAAGGCGGAGCACAGCAAGTCGTTCCATGACACAGCTCAATGCAATCCCGCTACACACACCACATCAAGCACTTCAAGTGGAGGAGCGATGATTACCATTGGATCTGAACAGGAACGAGGGATGAGGAGATCAGTGACGTGCTGCCTTGCGGCCTAGGGAGCGTGCTTCTCGCGGTGCAGAATTGCCAATTTCTCGTTGCTGGTCAGCAGCGAGTCGCCCTCCTCCCTGGGCTTCCTTCCTCGAGGAAAGTCTTCCTGGCCCTTGAGGTCCCTTTCAGCGTCGCGGTTCTTCTGCATCTGATCGGCTACCGCCGCCTGCTTCATGGTCTTGCCAAAGATCCCTTCGTTTCGGGGCACGGTGAGGTTCTCGAGGTTCTCCCGCTCCGGTTTGTCCAGGTGCGGATAGAGCAGTAGGGCGACTCCTCCAGGGGCGGAGCCGGACTCGGCATAGTACGCGCCTTTGGGTCGGGCGGGCGCGTCGCCGGTAACCACAGGTGCGTCGGAGCCTCGACCGGACGCTTTGGCATCTTTGTGCTTGGGAAATGTGGCTCCTTTGCCCTCGCGCGCGGCCTCGGAGACTTTCGAGCGCGAAAAGTAGAGATAGAGGCCGACCGTGCCGAGCACTGTCAATGGAATAGAGAGTGCGTTCATGAACATGTCGCGACTGGGTCAGCAAGCAGCTCACGATGGGTATGGCGGAGGCATCAGCTACATACCACTGCGGAAGTCATTGCCACAGCGTCGTCGAAACAAAGCATAGATTGTGCACACGTCAGCTTCTTATAATGATCGATGGTGCCAGGGCCAAAACTTACATGGCTCCCAGCGGCGCCAGTTGGGGATCGCGCTTGACGAATCTCTTGGAGGTGTCGGTCACCTTTTTCCAAGGAGGCAGCTGGTCATGTCCAGGCGACTTTGGAATCAAGAATGCACGTCAGCCTCGTCTCTCGGACCTGGACACTTGGTGCTCTCGACTGAGTTCTGATCTCACCTTAGGAGGCACGCTGGATTGCGACTTGGTGGGATGATCTCCGTGACTCGACATTCTCGATGATGGTCTTGAATCTGAGATGATGGTGTGTCGAGGACATCGACAGCCAGCTCAAGTTGTCTTCTTATCCAGCCCGATTCTGGCCGCCCTAAAAGGAGCTCGGACAGCCTTCGGCTGCTTCGTCAAGACACACTTTCGAATGACTACACATGTGCTGCGCAGGGGCAGAAGGACAGACAAACAGTGCCTGCCATGAGGAGAGCAAGGCGGCCCACTGAGCAGGCTGAGTCAAGGTCGAAATACTCGACGCACAAGCCACGGCGAAATGAAGCGCAGACATGAATCATCCTTCACTGTACGCAGAGTGCCATTTGCTTGGAAAGATGTGTCCCTTTTCTCCACCCCGTCCACAGAGATGCAGCCTGTGAGTGATTCTGAGTTCGGGAGCGCCGAGGAAGAGGCTGTGGCAAGGAGCGTTGCGGAAGGACAGCGATGGTAAGCGACACGCAGACGTGCGAAGTAGATCGGACGATACGAGGGCGGATCACCCGATCTTGGCACAGCGTTCGCACCGGAAAGACCGTTTGCTCTTGCTTTGCCGCCACCCTCGCTCCTCTCAACGATTACCTGCCCACTGAGCCCGAAAAGTGCCCTGCGTGCTCGCAGGCAAATCAGCTCCTCCACGTCTACCCGCTGGCAAAGTGCGGAGCCGATAAGGCACCGCAGTCCCCACATGCCCATACCTCAGCAGGAGATGAAGAGCTGCAGAAGCTGCTGACGGCCGACGGCTGACAAGCGGCGTCCATTGAGCTGGAGCTTAAGGTCAGGCGGACAAACCTTCGAATAGTGGCGTCGTCCTCGACAAATGCAGGTACTATACTCGGGTCGGGGTGCGGGGTCCAACGATCACAAGGTCGGCCACAAAACGGGGCGCGAGCTGTTCGGTGGACCGCCATGACCGACAACTCGATTCGCCGGGGAAACCGAGATCGTACTGTATAAGCTTTGTTCGTATCTAGTCCTGTCCTCTGTCGTCCAATAACATTCGAGACTTCTCGTTCCCCGCACGACAAGAGTATAATGGTCATCTAGCTGTCCAAGTGTGGGGAAGATACGGTGCCGAACGCCGACTTGTAGAGGCAACGATGTGCATCGGTGGTCCTCAATGCTTGTGCAAGTCGACAAACCACATCCCCACGTTTCTTGGATCAACGGCGTTCATCCCTGACAGCGTCCTTTTCCTTCAACATGATGGTCAGCACGCAGTCTAGGATCCAACGGAGGGCGGGTCCAGAACGACTGAACCTAGCTCTTCATAAGCTTAGGGCGAGCGAAGACCAGCCAGCCATTGTCTTTCGTGTCTTTGAAGTGCCTAGCAGCAAATGAGGGGCCATGGCACCCGACGGGCCCGTCCGATTCACAACGGATGCCGCATGAAGGGTGAGGTGCGTCGGAAGACAGGCCGCCGGTCCTCGTTAATCACATGCGGACGGAGTTTAGAAAAAATGTTCCTCTTTCGCGAATCATCGGCAGCGCTGCGACACCAACACAAGCGAGCGTCTTTCTCGCCTTATCCCCTAGTCGTGTAGCTTCTCTCTTCCGCGGAGGAGCCGACTCGGCTGATAACAAGCGCTGACGAGCAACACAAAGGATGTGAAGCTGCGACAAAGCCAGTTCGGCAATGTTACAATGAAGAGGCGTCTTGGGTGTCTCTTGTCGAAAAGGCACGAAATGCAGACCAGGCTGAATGCAGACCGACGCAATGCTCTGGCGTGGTGCTGACGACGTGCCGACGGTTGAGTGCGAAAATCCAATCAGATCTGGCAGCACGGGTTGACCGTTGGCCGCGGCATTTTTTCTTTTGGTCGGAGTTTGGCCCTCCGATTTGTCCGTCGATGGTCTGCTCTCTTAGCGCCAAAGGGTTGCAGTCTGCGTCGAGGTTCTTCGCCTTCTTGTCGAGCACCATCGCAGACAGAGATGACCCTGACTGTCCGATCACGCTTCACAAACCGAGGCGAAGGACGAGTCAGTTGACAGGTAGGGAGCAGCCACTTGTCATGATCTCGACCACTCACAAGATCATGTTGAGTGGCGTGTTCTGACCAAGGAGAATAGCTCGAGCGCCACAACCAAGCTGGCTGAGGAGGACGGACGGATGCGTTCCTGAGACGCGAAGGAGCGCTTGATGGCCCGGAACAGCGATCCGGTCGAACCTCGCAACGTTCACGATAGGACAGCAAAGGCAGGTTATCAGCCAACGACATATCGTCAGAGTCAAACAGGACTCTTCCCATTGGCTACCCACTCGCTTACAGAGAGATGCAAAGCAAGAGGTGGGATCATGTCTCGGTTCTGCCGACGAGCACCCACGATGTCGTATTACGCTGACCGCCCACCGAACAAAAGAAGCGCAAAGTTTAAAGTTTTAATTTTCTTAAAACGAGGTAGAGAGGTCAACTACAGCACACGAGCTGTCCCAACACCAATCAAACCCTCTGCCCTTTTCTCCTCGTTCCGTCTCGAGCTTGACCTGACCGGCTGTTCCGCCTCGCACCATAGCCGTTGGGTCGTTATCTGGCCACAAGGCTTTCTCGCTCGCGTCGGGACGCTTTGGTGTGCCTGACTAGCTGCAGTCATGCCGTTGGTCTGATCTTGGTCCACGCATCGCGCACTCCGCTCTGCCGCCTCGCCGCCGGTCCCCTTCCTGGGCAGCTCGTGTGCCACCCGCCTCGTCGCAACGGCTAATCAGGTCGCACCTTCCGCACCTGGCGCGCTGCTAGCCTCGACCGCTATATAAAATCGCGCTTTGTTCGCAAGCCCCTCCCCCATTCTTCCCGAATCCACCTCTTCCCCGCTCCTCTAGATCCCTCCATCCGTCTCTCCTCCTCCCCTTCTCCTCACTCCCTAGTCTAGGTCATCTGCCAAAATGGGTGTCAAGGACTTGGTCAGCCGTGCCAAGAGCACCGAGATCGAGAGGACCCACCACACTTCAAACAAGGAGGAGACGCACCAGTCCGACATTCCAGGTCAAGGTGTCCCCGGTCTCGCTCCCGTTCCCGCTCTCTATGAGGCGCCCGTTCGCACCGACATCTCGCTCGAAGAGTACATGTTCTACGCTCAGATCCAGCGCGAACAGGAAAAGCTCTACGGTGCTGCCGGTGTGGCCATCGAGGCCGACGCTCCTCACGGGGCTGGCTATCTCCACGATGCCAACAACGAGAAGAAGTCGCACAGCTCCTCCGAGGAGATCAGCCAGCAGCACACCGCCGTCGGTGTCAACAAGCCCCACGTCAACAACACCGATGCTTCCACTTTCGACCAGCTCGATGGTCTTTCCGAGATGGACAAGGAGAGGAGCAACGCCCACCGCGCGCTCAAGACCGCCACCTGGGTCGGCATCTTCTACCTCATCACCACCGACATTCTCGGTCCCTACGGTGCTCCCTACGCCATGTCGCAGAACGGCTGGGTCACGGGTAACGTCATGTACATCGTCATGGGTTTCTGTGCCTGGTGGTGCGGTATTATGCTCTGGAAGCTTTTCATGAACCTCGACTCGGCTCGCTACCCCGTCAAGACCTACGGCGATCTCGGCGAGCGTGTCGTCGGCTGGCCCATTCGATATCTCTTCAACGCTCTCCAGACGCTCCAGCTCATCATCAACGTCGGTTTGATCTGCCTCACTAACGGCCAAGCGCTCAGCCAGGTCATCAGCGGCGCTCCCGGCAATGCCAACCTCTGCTTCTCGGTCTGCGTCGTCATCTTCTCCCTCATCGGCATGGCTTTCGCCCAGGTTCAGACCTTCCGTGGTCTCGGTTTCGCAGCCTCCACCGCCGTCTACCAGAACATTGCCATCGTCATCATCTCGATGGCTGCCATCATCAAGTACGGCCCTTACATCGCCGGTGCTCAGGCCTCCTACGGTACCGACTACCCGTACAACAACCAGCCCGTTATGACCGCCAACTTCGTCTCGTACCCCATCAGCCAGAAGGTCAACGGCATCATGAACATGGTCTTCGCCTACGGTGGCGCCATGATCTTCCCCGAGCTGATGTCGGAGATGCGACGACCCATGGATTTCTGGAAGGGTATGATCTCGGCCCAGGCCCTGATCTGCACGGTCTACCTCGTCTACGCCAACGTCGTCTACGCCTTCCAGGGTCAGTACGTCCTCGGCCAGTCGTACAACGGTATTGCCAAGTACTCGTTCCAGACCGTCTGCAACATGCTCGCCATCCTCTCCGGTACCATCGCCGCGGCTCTCTACGGCAACGTCGGTCTCAAGGTCGTCTACGTCAACACGGTCGAGGCGCTCTTCAAGGGTCCCGCGCTCAACTCGCGCAAAGGACGAGTGATCTGGGCATCGATCAGTGTCGTCTACTGGGCATTGGCCTTCGTCATCGCCTCGTCGATCCCACAGGTGCAGACCATCTCGGGTCTGATTGCCGCCATTGCCATCATGAACTTCTCCTACTCGTTCCCCTTCATGCTGGCTCTCATCTTCTACATCAAGCGCGATGCCATGGTTGGCGACACTGCTTACGCGCCTGGCGTTCCGGCACAGAGGCAGGACACCTGGTCGCAGTGGTCGCGATGGCAGCGTGGCCTCTTTGGCGGTCACTACGAGGTTGCCGGTGTCAGCATCCCGCCTATCGTCGTCAAGACGGTTCTGCTCATTGTCTGCCTCGGCTCGTACACTCTGTCCGGGCTTGGAATGTACGGCTCGGGTGAGTCGATCAAGGCGGTCTTTGACTCGACCGCTGCTGCCACTTCCTTTGGCTGCGCTGCTCCGGTGTAGACTATCCCCTCTGGCTTCTGTTCTACGTTACCCTCTCGATACCATGCTCGTTTCTCACTTTGGATGTTCTTAATGCTTTGTATTGGGTTTGATTCCGCAATGCCATTTCTTTCGACATACTCACTGTCTGATCGCCACGCGTGACATTCAAATGGTGTGGTTGAGGAGGACGAGGACTGTCGATGACAGGCTTACGGGAATGATTGAGCGCTGCACATAAAATGTGATGTCTCGAATGCCAATTTCATGAAGTCACGGACGCCACACCACTTTCGTCAAGTCACACCGTCCCACCAGCCTCAAAATTTTGCACTGGAACACGAGAACGCGCAGCCGAAAGTCTTCCCTCTTCTCGTCCTTCCACCGTCACGCATCGTCCTTGAAGAAGATCATCCTTCGAGGCCTCTCTCGAGGTACAGCCTTACAGACATCACCAAATTGCCCTGTCAGCTAGTCGAGGGATCGCATGCCTCGCGAGGTCGCCGCGCTCGACTCTACCGGCTCGCAGAGACGCTTGGAGGCAAGAGAGAAGGCACAAGTCTTGCGGAAAGGCACAGGCCCATTCTGGGACTATTTGCTGGAGGCCTGGTCATCAGTCAATTGCAAGTCCTCACAATCGATCAGGAGAGGCGCAATCGATCATTTCTTCGAGATCATCTGCAGATGTTTTCCCAAAGAAGCGTTACATCAAGTCTTCCCAGACCTTGCTCAATACAATTACAAATATGGTCACACTCCGAGCAGCTGCATCGAGGCAGTGGAAGCATTCCTGTCCCGTGTTGAACAGAGTCCAGGTGACGTCAACGGGGATGAAGGGCTCGTCAACGTCCTCGAGGCTCTCCCGGTCCTGAAGACGAGGAATCTTAAGCAAGATCGCCTCGTGGACAGCTTGCGCTCGACGTTGGCTGCAGGCTTTCTGCGCCCTTATAAGGGTGATGCGCCAAAACGTCTCCTTCGCTTTGCCGTGAGCGTCAACGATCTTCTGTTCGAGAAGAGCAATCGATTTCTAGAGCCGGACTACAAAGGCACCCACATCGTGCAATCTAGGGGGACAGGCAAGACTCGCATGGTGGTGGAACTTGGCCGCATTGCACCTCTCCTATACCTTTGCATTCGCAAACAGTCAGACGCGGTAGATACGGCATACCCACTTGGAGACAAACCGATCATCGACTTGATCACAAAGAGCTTCGAGGTGACAAACCCCTTCAACTACGACGAGATAGCGGCCATCGTCTTAGGAGCCTGGTTTTCTCAGATAGCGGACACTCTGGAGAAAATGACAATCGCGCAGGACAAGTTCAGCTACATGGTCGCCCTCAACCACTTCGGGTCAGAAGCGCACGAGTCCTCTCGCAAAGTGTTTCTCCAGCAGATTGTTGGTCGTGCGGAAGCAATCTTTGATGCCGGTCCACTTCGAGACCAAAAGCCCGGCTCAACCTTCCAACATTATCTAGACGGACCAGTCGAGCGTTTGAGCAAGCAATTGCAATTGATCCAGCAACACCTGCATCCCTCGGCAGACGTGGACGCTCCGGTGTTTGTTGCTTTCGACGATTACGCCGCTTGGCCCGAAAAATTCATACATAGCATTCGCCGCGCCTGGGCGCATATCACCGAGTTGAAGACACGTCTCAGCGCCAAAGACTGCAAGGAAGAGGGCTCGAACGAGACTTTGGGCGAGGAGTGCACAACACAAGCTTCGAGCAAGCCGTACATTGCGTGCTTCTGGCTTCTCCTGATAAGCAGTAGCACCAGCGCCGCCACTCGGGACCAGCCAGGAACTTACCGAAGTGATCAGAATCAAATCAGGCCTGTCTCTCTGCCGGTGTTCATCGCAAGCAGCTTTGACGTCCTCTGCTCAGGATCGCAGGCAGTCCACCACGCTTCCGAGGTTGCGACCAAGTCCTACATCTCTATGATGGGTCGTCCGCTTTGGGCGTCGCTCTTTGACGAGTCGTTCTGGGCTGTAGCCGTTCGCACACTGTTGGGTAGCGACAGCTTCAATCGATGCTCGGACATCTCATGCTTCAACGTCCTCGCCACTCGCCTTGCGTTGGATTTTGTTCAAGCAACCATCAACGACGACGGTCCGATTCGCAACCAGGTTGAGTTCGCAGGCAAATCAGTGGATGTGCACATGCGAATCCTGGACAAATTGGACAATCATGCTGTCTTGCACATCCGAGCTCCCTCAGAACCGGTCCTCGCAATAGCTGCCTCGCTGCTCATGATGCCAACCCGTGAAGACACGATTCCCGATGCAAGGTCGGAAGGGATGCCGAAAACGCGGTACGGCTGCATCCTGCAAGTGGTGGGCGGTCGCTGCCTGACTTCGACAAACATAGACGTCTTAAGGGACAACCGCGGCGGCCTTGCGACCAAGCTCGTCCTCATGACGGCGTGGGATGCCGCCAAGCAGGTTGGAAATTCTTTTAAGCGCTTAGAGGATATCGAAAAGCAGGCTTCCCACCTGCTGCAGCCTGTACTGCTCGACGCGATCATCGACGGTTTAATCAAGCTCGAAGGCAACCAAGCAGCAGACATCCGAGTCAGCATTCAAAGCATCTGCGAAAAGGTTCGCACGCAGTGTCCAGACCACGCCAACGCACAGGCTTGGGCGCATCATACCCACTTCGATGTTCTCAAGGACCCGGTGCGCGACCTGTCGCCGGAGTACTTATGGTACTGCTGGAAGCGCGGCGTAGCTATCCAAATGGCACCTGACCAGCTCGGAGTAGACGGCATCATTCCAATCTTTGTTGGTGACTTGACCCGGCCTTTTGCGAACCTGACAACTCAACAGATGGACACAGACGCCGCTCGTGGCGCCGAAGGAGACGAGACATGGGCTGCCTGTCATATGACGTACATTGCGTGGAAAGGCGAGGCCCAATCCAGCAGCGAAGATTTCGAGACGGCGCTGAGGAACCCAGTCACTGCAGGCCCGTTGCTTAGATATGCGCGCATCCAGGATGATGCCTTGACACGTCGAGGCATCCTCACCGTCTGGACTGACTTGAGCGCGAAGGACAAGCCTGCAAAGCTCGACGTGGTCGCGGACGCCGACAAGCCCATGCTGCTGATCCAGGGCGTCGCGCAAAAAGAGCCCCGCAACTACCCCTGCCTCGACACGCTCCGGATTCGGTCAGTTGCGACCAGATTCATCAAAGATGTTGTCAGCGGCCGCAAAGACTACGAGAAGCAGAACCGCATGCACGACCCTGTGTCTCTTCGCACACTCGACGCAGCACTGGCCGGCGAGCCAGGAGACGCGGAAGAAACATGTGCTCCTGTTGATCTCGATATCATCTTTCGTCCGCTAGTCGGCGACACGCCTGACGAGAGCACGCCCAGCGAGCCTATGGAGCCTGGTGACCTCCGTCTGTAGCCCTCCCAATGATTCCACACTTCTTCCCTTTCAATGTCACAATCTACCCAACATCACACGTGCGTCACGAGCTGAACCATGTCTTCATTTCCCGACTGTCGCAAGAACCTGTCTGTCCTCTCACATTCCAATCAGCGCCCTCAACGAGGCATACTCTTCCTCGCCCGTGCTCTTAGCCAACTTCGTAAACCAACCGTCCTCCCTCCTCAGCAGCTCCACTGGGTTGCCCTTCTCCACGACCTTCCCACGGTTCAGCACGACGACCGTATCGAACCCAATAATCGTGCGCAATCGATGCGCGATGGCGAGCACGGTCGTGTTGTGCTGGGCAAAATGCGAGTCCAGCAGCGACTGGATCTTGGCGTCGGTAGTGTAGTCGATCGACGAGGTGGACTCGTCCAGCACCACGACGCTGTTTGCGTTGGCAGGGGACGAGGCGGAGAGCAAAATGCGTGAGAGGGAGAGCAACTGCTTCTGACCCGAGGAGAGGTTTCCGCCGCTCTCCTCGATTCGTGCTTCGAGAGAAGAGAGCGTGCCCGAGTCGTCGGAGGTGTCGTCGGCGGTGGGCGAGGAGCGAGATAGGAGCGTGGAAGAGCTGGTGCTGTTGCCCTCGCGAACGACGTTGGTCGAAGGTGGGGCGTCGAATGTGCCATATCCGTTGGTGATGAGAGGCTTCTCCTTGAGCAGACCGACACGGACGAGCACTTGAGTGATGTCTTCGTCAGCGTACTGCTCGAGCGGGTCGACAGCGCTTCGCAGCGTTCCCGACAAGATCAGCGGGTCTTGAGGAACGATCTTCATCCTGCTCCTCAGCGTCTTGAGCCCAATCCGCCCGATATCCACACCGTCGATCTCAATCTGACCGCTGCGATACTCGAAGAATCGGAACAGCGCTGAGACAAGCGTCGACTTGCCGCTGCCCGTGGCACCGACGATGCCCACCCTCTCGCCCGCCTTGATCGACAGGTTGATCCCATCGAGCACGTCCGGCAGATTCTCCGCGTACGCTAGATGCAGATCGCGGATCTCGATCGCGCCCTTCTCGGGCCAACTCGGCGACACCGCCACCTCGCCACCCTCGACGCTCGCCGGTGCAGCATCCAGAGGCTCGTTCTCGACGTCAAAGTACTCCATCACGCGCTCGACCGCGACGAAACCTTGCTCGACGGCGGACAGCGAGCGCAGACCGAACGTCAATGTGGCCGTCAGACTCTGCACGAAGCTCAGCGTGAAACCCGCTCTGGCGGCCGTGAACCCGGGCGTCAGGGTCACCACCAAGACCGTAGCAACCACTACACCGCTGCTAGCCAAGCTGACGAGGAGCATCTGCCACTGCCTCACGGTTCCCTGCCAGAAGAAGAACACGTTGTTCTCATCCAGCCTGTCCATGAGCGTCGCAAAGTACGCTGCGGACGAGCCAAAGGCGCGCACGGTGACGACACCGTTGATGAGGTCCGTGAAGCACGTGATGCGCTTCGAGGCGGCGTTCGAGTCGAGCCGCTTGAGATCGCGCGCTGCCACGGTGAACGTCGCGAGCAGCGCGTAGAAGACAGGCGAGACGAGGACGAGGATGACAATGACAATGGGACCGCCGCCGAGCCAGGTGGCGACGAGTGCGGCAAACGAGGTGAGCAGCGCCTTGCATGCCTCCGTGAGCTCTTCCGCGATGGTCGAGTCGATCGCCTCCATGTCTTTGCCGAAGCGGTTGAGGAGGCGACCAGAGGGGGTCGAGTCGTGGAAGCGCAGCGGTGCTCGGAGAACCGAGTGCAAGAGCTGTTGGAAGAGTCGACTGCCAGCAAGGAGCGAGGCAATGCAGACAAGAGCGTAGCCGGCGGTGATGGTGAAGACTTGCACGGACTGGATGGTGATCCAGCGTGCGAGCCACCATTCGGTTGAGTGCTCGTCGACAGGAGATTGCATCCAGGATCGAAGCCACCAGTTGGCGCCGAGATCCGAAAAGGAGTTGCCAGCAAAAGAACCGATGAGAGCGATCCAGAGGAGAACACCGCCGCCTGCTTGGATGTACTTGCTGTAGACGGCGGAGGAGACGCGGCCTTGGGCGCGCTTCTCCTCGGTCACCTGCTTGTGGGCTTCGCCGTCAGCGACTGGCTCGCCATCGGCCTCACCGTCGAGCATGCCAGATAGCTGGCTGAATGCCGAGCTCGAAGGCTGGTGGGCCAACGACTTTCTGCGGGCGCCGATGGTGCGCTGCGAGAACGTCGAGGCATTTGCGTGCTTGTTTCCACCCATACTGGCATTTGCCGGGTCGAGATGGGCACTGTCAGCCATGACAGCATCCTCTTCATCGCTGTTCGCCGCCGAGTTGGCAGCAGTGCTCGCATTCGATCCAAAGTTGGGTGTCTCCTCACCATCCTCCTTCTGCTTGTCATCCTCATTCTCCAGGCCTTGATAGAATGCGCTCGCTGTAAACTGCTCCGCACTCCCAAAGAACGCCTGCCTTCCCTCCTGCAGCACCAACACCCTCTTACATCTCGGCGCCATCAGCCTCACATGATGCGTCACCAGTACCGTCGTCCTCCCCGCCAACAGCCCGCCTTCACCCCCGTCGAACAGCTTCTCGCACACATGCTTGGTGGTGTGCGAGTCGAGCGCGGACAGGCAGTCGTCGATGAGCACGGTTCCAGCGTGCGAGTAGATGGCACGGGCGAGCGAGATGCGCGCCTTTTGACCACCAGAGAGGTTGGTGCCGCCCTCGCCGATCTCGGTGCGGTCGCCGTCCTTGAGGATTTTGAGGTCGGGTTTGAGGCCGCATGCGAAGAGGACGGCGCGGTAGCGGGAGGCGTGGTAGTCGAGGCCGAAGAGGATGTTTTCGCGAACGGTGGCGTTGAATAGGAAGGGACGCTGAGGGGCGTAGGCCGAGAGCGAAGGATCGATGTACCAGTTTCGAGAAGAGGTGCGAGCCGCATGGAGCGTCGCAGCGGGGTGCGAGCGTGGGCACTGGATGGTGCCCGAGGAGAGGTGGGCCTCGCCGAGCAGGGAGAGGAGGAGGAGCGTCTTGCCCGAGCCGATCTTGCCGCAGACCAGGTTGGTCTGGCCCACTTCGAAGGTCGCATCAGGGATCGACAGGGTGAATGTGGTCGATGCGGGAGGTGCGGCGGGAGCACCGTCGCTCTCGACAGGCCAAGTGATCTCTGCATTCCTCAACGCGATCCTACTGACGCCGGACGACGCGCGAGCAGCCATGTCCTTCGCCCCGGCCACAGTCTGCGGCCTGTATTCGTGATCCGGGATCTCCACCTCGCCCGTCTCCATGTACGCCGCCACGCGCTTGATCGACACCCATCCCTGGATCACGGTCAAGAAGTTGCTCGGCAAGTAGCTTACCGCGAACCTCAGCTCCAACAACACCGCCACGGCCGGGAAAGCCACGGACGCCGTCAACCGATTCCCCTCGACCAGCGTGTACCATGCGAACGCCGTAACGATCGTCAACATGGGCACAAGCGCAAACAGCCCACCGAAGAAGGTGAAAAAGATCCAGCTCTGCGCCTGGCACTTGAGCTCGGCCCTTCGCTCGAACATGATCTTGGCGGCCATCTCGTCTTCCCACGCCTCGTACTTGATCATGCGGATTGCGCGGATGGCCTCGCTGAGGAGCGAGACACGTCGATCGCGCGTCTTTTGCAATCGCTCGTCGATGCGCTTGGTGAACTTGCCGACGATGAAAGCGACAGGCTGGCAGATGGCGGCGACGAGCAGGCCAATCAGTGCGCCGTTGCCGATGAGCACATAGGCCGAATACCCACCGACGAGCACCTCGAGAGGACCCATGAGGCCGAAGGCGTACATGTCGATGCGCGAAAAGATGCGGTTCACGTCGGTCGTCACCAGGTTGATCACCTGGGAGGACGAAGAAGCAGTGCCGCTCTCCTCGTTCTCTTGGGTACCCTCCTTGCTCGGATGGTCTCCCTCGGCGGTGTCTGGCGAGGAGGCCTCTTTTTGACGTAATCGCTTCCACGCGAGCAGCGTCGTTAGCTGCGTCTGCATCCGTGTCTTGATGAACACGTTCAGCGGACGGAAGTAGTAGTAGATCAAGAAGGTCTCGACGAGCATGGTAAGGTAGAACAAGGCCGAGTAGATCAGTGTCGATCGCGCCCGGTTGGCGATGGTGTCCATGCCGCCGGATTGCTTGAGTGACGCCTCGTAGCGTTCGACGCCATCGAGCAGAATGCTCATTCCAAACTTGGGCACATAGAAGGCAAACGTGACGATGACCAGCATCACTCCGAACTTCTTGAGCTCGGTGGCGTTGCACTTGACGAGTGCGGAGAGCAGCGCTCGACCCTTGACCGCGTTGGTGCGTTTCGCGCCTCGTGGCGTCTTGGCAAGCGACGCAGCGAGCGAGGCGCGATACTGCCGGATCATTTCGTCCGCCACGTAGGCGGACGAGTAAGTGTAGTCGAGCGCAGGGATGTCCTCCTCGTCGATACGATTCGTGCTATACGCCTTGCGCACAACAGGCAACGCCAGGAAGCCCCATACATCCTGTGCGACGGATCCGCCGCCGATCGCGTTGCGCGTGACGTTCCTTGCGCCCAAGCTGTCCGTTCCCTCCACGGCGATTGTTGGTCCGCTCGGGCTAGTGAATGCCACAGCGAACACCACCAATCCGCACACCACATTGATCGCGTGCAGCACGCCATTCGTATCGCCTGCCAGACCACTCTCCTCCGCCTTGAATTCGGTCAGGCTGACCAGCAGCTGCGCCAACAGCCACAGCGCGTTGAGCAGCGAGACGAGCATCAATCTCGTCGATTCGGCTAGTCGGAGCTCCAACATGGCCAGCACCACCGTCAGCGTCCGCGACGCTGCACTGACCGAGGTGAAGTAGATGCTGTTCTGCCATTGTGCTGCGGAGAAGAGCGTGACGATGGCGGTGGCATCGATAGCGAGGCCGATGACGGAGGCGATGGCGAGGGTGATATGGACGTACAAGCGGGTTGATTCGTAGACGGAGGGGTTGAGGGGAGTGCCGAGCGCCTTGCGAAGCGCTCGGGGGTAGTCGTCCACTTGACGCTTGATATCTGTGGTCGTATCGAGAGCGTCGGGGTGCTCGGTGTCCTGGGAAAGACGCGTGTAGCCTACCGGGGCGGAGGAGGAGTTGGGCGAGCGCAGAAGGAGGTAGAGAAGGATGAGGAGCATCGTCGAGCTCAGCGCAGCGGCTGAGAGCGTGTATTGGTCCCAGAAGGTGAGCTGCATGTCGGGCAACGAGGCGCTGTGCGGCGTTGGAGTTGGTATTGATGGGATCATCGTTTGATATGTGCTGGCGGTTGTAGGAAACGAGATCGCAAAGGCCGAGACGGTCAACGTAGTGCTTGTGCGGTCTTGTATAGTCCGTCTTGCGGTGGTGATGAGATGGCGACTGCGTCTAGCTTTTCCAAGGATCGATCTAGAGGAGCACCGTCGTACGGGCTGAGATCTGCTGTAGACGTGTATACTAGCGATCAAGCTTCAGTGGTAGTGAGATGAGGGGCATCTCCTCTTCGACCAAGCCGAACAACGAGACCTTATATCGCTCGAGCCCTTATCAACGAAGAACCGCTTTAGCCGACCAAAGGATGCCGACGGCATCCTGTCAAGCAACTACTCTCTCGGCTCGAAAATTTCAAAATAGGGTTTTTTTTGGCTGCAGTGACGGAAGACCCTGCTCCGCACTCACTCTGACTCGTGGCTCACGCTCAGCTCCGCGGGAATCGCGTCTTGCTCTCTGAGTCAATGGCTCAGAGTCATCCTCTCCAACGAGTCACCCCTTACTCACCGTCGTGCTCATCTCAATACTTGTGAGAGGTATCAATGCAAATTGCAAAACGAGTGTTTAAGCAAGACCGGCACGACGCATGTCGTTCAACAATCGTCTCTCCGCCGGGTTCAGCCGTGCATCTTCCGTGTCCAACCCATCTTCATCTTCCAAATCGCCGACGCTGGTCTCCCCGCGCTGACCACGCGAGCGACCCAGCCTCTGTCCTACGCCGGGGAACAACACCCAGTCCTCGCCCGATCCCGCACTCCCCCCGCCTCTCGACAAAGCGGAGCGAAACCGATTGACGAAACCCATCGCTCCCGTCGACGGCTCCTCCTGCGCCGATTCGCCGTTCGAAGCCTCTTCGCGCCTCGCAGCGTCAACAAGCGACTTGCCCCACCGCCAGATGCGCCAGTAGCTCAGCATGGACGACAGCAGAATCGTCCAACCCAGCACCATGAGCACATACGCGAGCCATTCGGTCGACTGACTCATCGAGTCGGTGATGTTCTGATCGCCCACATTGACAGGTTGCCCATCGGCCTGGGCTGCGAACAGGTCGGCAAGCGTCTGACCGTTTACGCTCGGTTGGGAAGGTTGCACCATTCGCGACCCCCAACCTCTTCGACGAGTGCCGTTGGCCGTGTTGTCCTCGCCAAACCACCCGTTCCCTCCGCCAGGTGAGGATGTGCCGCCAAAGTCTGTGCCCACCTTGCCTTCTGCGATCTCGGCCGCTCGGGTTCGCAGGTAGAAACCATATTGGATGAGGGTCACGCCGAGACCAGCGCGACTGCCACATCGCGCAGCATGCGTCGTGTGCAACAGGTAGGTCAGCAGGAAACCGACAAACTGGAACGTCATCGAAACGAGCAGGTTCCATGCAAATCCGAAGAGGTTGCCCACCGCCAGACCTTCGACGATGAGATCCTCGATGGCGCCCACGTGCGCTCCGCCCGGCGTCCATCCAAGACCGTTGGCGAGTGGGTGGACGCTGCCGCCAAGGATGGTTGTCTCCCAGTATTGCGGTACCGCGTCGGCTGCGGCGATCTCGTAGGTGGGAGGCTGCATGTCGTCTTCCAGATCATCGTCATCTCCTCGGTCTTCGCCGCTTCCGCCGGTTTGGCCGCGTCGGCGACGCTCTGGCTTGGCGCTGAGGTTGGCGAACACGCCATCCTGACCAATGCCGCCGCCAACGTAGCGCGGCCGATGAACGCCGCCTCGAGCACCGTCCTGTGTTGAGAGGGACGAGTAACGGGCACCAGGGATGCCCATACCGACAAACCGACCAAAACGACCGAGAGCGAAGCGCATGCGGTCACTTCTCGTCATGGCTTCCGAGGCATCTGTGCTGACGCCTCCCGCCTCTCCACCGCCCATGGACGTCGGGACGGAGCTGTAACCATTGCGATTCGTACGACTGCCGCTGCTGGAATGGATCGAATCATCGCCTTCGTCATCCCCATCTGGATTCATGTCGATGGTGCGGTGGTCGTTGCCTGCAGATGCGTTGCTGACATCGGCAGCAGCGTCAGGGTTTGGGCTGGCAGCATGGGGCGAAGGCGGCGGCCGCCGTGTGACAGTAGGAAAGTACTCTGGTCGCTCGAAATCGTATGCTGGGGTATTGCCGCTGCGGTTGAACAGCGGTGGGGGCCGGAACGAGGATGGGGACGGTTCGGTGGTAGCGCTCGAGTTGGCTCGGTCGGCTCCTAACGGGTCGCTGACTGGATCTGGATCGGGCAGCGCATCTCCCGCATCAAAGAAGACATCCGTGGAAGGTCTCGAGGTTCGATATGCGGACGGACCTGAGGAGGATGAGCTGGCTTGAGTGTAGTCTGGCAACCCTGGATCAGCGTCCGCGGGACCGTTGAAGGCGGCAAACAGCTCGTCGGATCTGCGCGAATGCGATCGTGGACCTGCGCCTGGGCGAGCCATGGCTGTGATGCCGAGTTGATGCTGTGCTTAAAGAATGGTGGTGATAGGTGATGGCGGTGACAAGAGAAGGTGGAGGAGATAATGACGGTGACGGAGATAGAGAGAGCGTCGATAGCATGCAGGAGCAGTGCGTGGCGGGGGCCCTGTACATCAGCCGAGACTGGTGAGGTGGCCTTGAAATTGGGCAATGATGCAACGCACACTGCACACGGCTGTGCTGCTGTTTGCTTCAGCTTCGAGCTCAGCCATCACCCAAAATCGGCTCAGCTCTACCGGCCTTGGCTTGGCAGAGCGCGCGAAATTTTAAAGATGTTATGCCAGCTCAAACCCACAGTCTTGCGTTTTTGCCTCCACTGAAATGAGAAGGACCTGACACGCTTAAGCCACGCTGTCCAACTCAGCTTTCGACGCAACCAACACCTTCTCATCCTCATCGCGAGCAACATGGCGGCGACAGACACAGCAGGGGGTGCTGCATCATCGCTGGAGCCGCACCAGCTCGCAGCATACCTCGCGCCTCCATCTCGCCAGCAACAGATCAACTACGTCGTCGAGCATTGCAACTACATCCTCCCCCAGCTCGCTTCCGACTCCCTCACTGCGTCGCTCGCTTCCCAGCCCAACCTCTCTTCCAAATCTACACCGCTGTTCACCACACTGCCGTCTTCGTCAGCGCTCGAAGCTTATCTGGCCGAACTCACCTCGGCTCATCAGCAGGCTTCCGCTCGGACTGCCAACCTCGAATCTCAGCTTCGAAACCAGCTTCTCTCGAGTCTTTCCGGTGTCAAGATTCTCAAAGAGAAGCTTTCATCCTTGCCAGATGACATTGCTTCCACCGAGGACAAGTTACTCGATCTCTGCGAGGATCTCGTCATCGCAGGCGCGTCTTCTTCCACAACCTCGACCTCGCCCGGCTCCAGCAGGGATGGCGCGGACACCTTGATCGACCGTCTCGGTCAGCTTCACACAGCCATCGACCAGCTCAAGAAGGCCAAGCAATACTTTAGCATCCTGGCTCAGGCCGAGGATCTTCGTCTTGCGGTTGTCAAAAGCGATCAGGACCAAGCTCAGCGAGATCGAGCTCTGCAGCACCTCTCCGAGCTTGATGCCCTCGTTCGCAAGGTCGAGAAGCTCTCTGTGGTGGGCTCGGAACAGCATCAGGCAGCGCAAGACGAGCCCAAGCTGGTAGCATTCCTGCGAGCACAGCGATCTGCCGCCTTCAAAGCGCTCAGAAAGGCTCGCTGTTCGCGACTCTCGGAAGCCATCGCCCAGACCGGCTGGTCGCACGCCAAGGCTGACCTCTCCACAAGCAAAGACGATGCCAGCAACGGCCTCGACTCCACGGCTGCCAAGCTCGTTGAGAGTACGCAGGTCAAACAAGCTTGGGCGGACGTCTGTCGGCTTCAAGACGTCGCCGAGCATCTGGGCTTGCTCAGGCGCGCGACCGCCAAAGTGTCTTCTCAGTCGTCAGCACAGGCGACCGACGCAGAAGTTGTCACAGCAGGTAGTGACGCGTATCAGCCTCTGCTCACCACGCAATGTCTCATCGAGCCGATGCTCCTTCGCTTCCGCTACCACTTTGACGGCGATCGTTCGACCAACCGTCTCGACAAGCCGGAATGGTCCCTCTCGCACATCGCGTCTCTCATTCGCTCCCAGGCTCCACTCTTCCTGCCCGCAGAGCATGGCGTTCCCGGCTCCGGTGGTGCAGTCGTCCGACTCAACCGAGCATACGCCAATGCGTCTCCATCTCGCCGAGCCTACCGTCACATCGACACCTACGCCGAGCTGCTCCACGGTCTCCTCACCCCACTCCGTCGCAAACTCGCCTCGACCATGCCTTCCCTGCTCGACCACCCCTCCCTGCTCGCACACACCGTCTTCCAGTCCCTCACGTTCGACGCCGACCTCTGCTCCACCTTCCCACCCTCGCTCACGGTCCTCCACAGCGCAGGCACGCGCAAACTTTCGGACGACATCCTCGACAACCCTCTCTGGTTCAACCGGTGGCTCGATGGCGAGAAGCAATTCGCGCTGCGACGGTTCGAAGAGATCATCGACGCTCCTGACGCATGGGCCATCGGTAGCTCGGATAGTCTCGCTGACGATGACACCTTCTTTCCCTCTTCCAGCGAGACGGGTCAACGAACGACCAAATCGGCTCGGTCGACAATGGAAATCCTCGACGCGGTGTCTGAACGATATCGACCGCTACCCTCGCTCTCCCAGCGATTGAGCTTCCTAGCCATCGTTCAGCTACCCATTCTGCGAAGCTACGCACAACGCTTGACGCGCAGTTTGGACGCATTCGAATCGCTCTCGTCGGCATTTGCGCGTGCGATGCCTGGCGAGATCGTCGCCACTTCGACCGGCCAGGGGGACTCAGACATGGTCCGTGGGCTTCGTGGGTTGGGTCGATTGGTGAAAGCGCTCCTCTCCGCCCAGTGGGTGTGTACGGAGCTCGAGCGGTGGTCCGACAGCGCGGCGTTCGTTGAGATGTCTGAAGCGCTGGGTTCTACCGAGGAGGAAAGGGCGCTCGCGCTGGGATTGAGAAAGGAGGAAGGGGTGCAAGAGGATAAGGAGTTGGACGCGGCCAGTTTGGGCATGCTTTTGCGACGAGGGTTGAAGAGGGGGGTTGGGGTGGCAAGACCCCTCGCCGCAGGTTCGCCCAATTTGGCCAGTGATACGGTGGGAACGCCGCAGGTGAGCGATGTCGGGCAAAAACAGGTGTTGAACGAGTTCGGACGGTATGGCGTGTGGGAGGAACCGCGGCGCAAGTTTGGCGAGATCGCCAGTCGTGCTGTGACAGCCATCGAACGGTTGGTGGTGAGCGAAACGCTGGAACAGCTTCGTCCGTACGTGTTGCGACGGTGGGATCAGGAAGATGCGACCTCGGAAGATGAAGAACCGTATCCGACGCCGACGCTCATTCCCGCATTGTCGGTGTTCTCGTCCCATCTTGGACACTTGTGTTCGATACTGGAGAGGGAGACGCTGCTGCCGGTGTACAGGAATGTATCGGCGTCGATTGCGGGTGCGTTAGTGGACAGAGTGGTGATGGCAGGCGGGTCGAGGCGGTTCAATCATCAGGGTGGGGTGAGATTCGATCGGGATCTGAGGGAGGGGTGGTTGGGCGTGGTGAGGGAGGTGGGCGAGGCGAATGTGGCGGGATTGTTGGGGAGGAGACCAGAGGCGAGTTGGAAGATCGCGCTGGATGCGGCGTCTTTGCTGCGCCTACCATCTTCAACGAGCGGGGAAGGGGACAAGGATGGGGTGAAGCTGGCGAAGGCCGTGCAGATCGTGTTCGACGCTACGGATGAGGGCGGCGCCAAAGGAGAGGATTACAGGGGGCTATTGGAGGGGCTGGGCGTGGATGACGGGAAGGTCAATGTTAGGGAGGTGCTCAGGCGGCGAGTCGAGGTATGGAAGTGATGCGCTTTCGGCTCGATCATGGCTTCCATGTCAATTTGCAATCCTACCATGTGCGTCTGAATCACATCAGCTCGTTGATGCGTCCGTCTGCGTTTGACACCTCACAAGCACATTCCTCCGGAGCACGGGCGTGACCCACCATCTCCACTACACGGCCAGACAGTCGGTCATTGTCTTGCGAATCGAGCCGTAGAATTGCACTTTCTAGCCTTTGAGCGCGATCAAGAGAGTTTCTCTGTGGACCAAGCCGAGTTGGTGGCAAACTCTTTTGGTGCTATGGGGTTTGTCTGTTGCATCAATCCGATCCAAATCATTGTCAGCACATCTCCTCTTCTCCTCTTGAAAGGGAGTGGGGTGGTTACTTACACTCTGTCCGCGTAGGCTGCCAGTCAACCGTTCGTCGCGCTTCATCATCATGCGTTCCCAGTCGTCGAGCGAGTGACGGATGGGCTTGCCGTCCTCCGCCAGTCGACGCACCACGTTGTAGCCCGTACCGGCCACGCCGAACATGACCACCACCATGCCTGTCGAGCGCAAAGCGAGCGAGTGAAAGTGTCAGTTCAGAAGCTCGTTTATGATGATCGAAGGTGAGCATAGAACGGCTCCAGCGCTCGAGACATTGGTGGGTTGGAGGGAAAGAAGAAGGCAGAGGTGTGGACGTACTCATGTGAAGAACTGCTTCGAAGGGGACGGGCATGATTGCTATATGTATGTCGAGGATTCGAATGGGAGAATGCTGTTGTGTGTGTGATCGGAGTAGACGTCTCTCGTGCCGATGCTGATTGTGCGAGTGACCCAGGGAGGTGTTGTTGCGGTGAGTGATCGTCGGATGATGGTGTGGAGAAAGACCTCCAGAAGGAGCGATAATGCTCTTTCCTCGACTCAAGACGTATCTCGAATCGGTTCCGATCGAATTTTATTTCCCATGTCTGTTCTGCAAATCACACATTTTCCGTCAAATCCGTCGTCCGTGCACACTCCCTGGCTGGTGTTCGTTCATTTCCCGACCTCAATTTTTTCTTCTCGCTTTCACTGCAGGACCCTGAACGGCACGGCTTCGACGTCGTACACATCCACCATCCATCACCCCAACCCCATCCCTCTCACTCGGCACCCCCTCGAGGCTTGGCAGCGCGAAATGGACATCTCACTCTCCTCCGACGCTCTGGATCTGTCCTTCCACCCTGCGGAGGACACCAACCTCGTCGCGGTCGGGTTGATATCGGGCAAGATCCAGCTGGTCAACTACGACGATTTCGTCAATCAACCTTCGTCCTCACGCACGCCGCAACCTCCTTCCAAACGACACAAGCACTCTTCCTCTTCAATCAAGGGCGAGGAGGATGAGGGGAAGAAGATCAAGCTGTATAAGAAGCTATGGGTGACGAGGCCGTCGAAAAAAACGTGTCGCGGTCTCAGCTTCAACCCGACCGGCGAGCGGCTGTTTAGCATATCCAAAGACAAATCGTTGTTCAGCATCGATTGTTCCACAGGCAAAGTGGTAGATAGCTGGGTGGATGCGCACGAAGCGGCGCCGTCTCGGGTGTTGCCGGTCGACCAACTGGTGGTGACCGGTGATGACGATGGGGTGGTTCGCCTGTGGGATCCAAGGAAGGGCGGCGGGAAAGGGGTTAAGCCGGTGAGGATGTGGGATCATCATTTCGATTGGATTACGGATATGGTTTACCTCGCCGATTTGCCCGTGCCTAAGGTTGCCAAGGGCAAAAAGGGCGAGGGGAGGAAGAGCAAGTCGCAACTCAAGAAGGATCGAAAGCGGGCGAGGGAGGCTGCGGCACTCAAACAGCGGGACTCGTCCGACGACGAAGGGGAAAGTGGGAGTGAGAGCGACTCCTCCTCCGATGAGGGGCGAGGCAAAGGTCCTAGTCGATCCCGCCTCATCGTCACATCCGGCGATGGCAGCCTCAGCAGCATCGACCTGACATCGTCGGGACCAACATCCTTCGAGCTCTCCGAAGACCAAGAGGATGAACTGCTAAGCATCACCTCCATCCGCTCCTCGTCCAAACTCGTCGTCGGCACCCAACTCGGCATTTTGAGCCTCTGGTCCCCCTCGAGAGGGCTGTTGGATCATGTGGATCGCGTACCGGGTCACCCAGCGAGCGTGGATACGCTCGTAACGCTGGACAGCGAGACCGTGCTCACGGGCAGTTCAGACGGTCTGGTGAGGGTGGTACAGATTCTGCCGAGCAAGTTGCTGGGCGTGATCGCGAGCCATGATGGGCTGCCCGTGGAGAGGATGCGGAGGAAGGGGAACGTGCTGGGTAGTGTAGGGCATAGCAATTGTGTCAAGTTGACGGATTTGAGGCCGCTATTGGAGGAGGATGAGGAGGGGGAGGAAGAGGAGGGTGCGCTGGGAATTGTTGGGTTGGGCGATGAGGATGATAGCGATGACGAGGAGGAGGAGGATGATGCAGAAGAGGAGGAGGATGATGACTTTGCTGGATTGCAGACTGTCGAGGATGGAGAGGATGACGACGACGACGACGACGACGCGGCAGACGAGCAGGACATCGAAGCCGATTCAGACGACGACGACGACGACGACGACGTGCCAAGCAAAAAAGCCGGCAAAGGCGGATTCTTCTCCGACCTCTGACAACCTCTTACACTCTCTCAAATCATTCAAGCATCTGCAGTTTCTACACGCTCTCGCGATAAGTTTTCCATCAATCATAAAAAATCGTATTACATCGCATGCAAGCTACACATCGTCCGGCTTAGTCTGTTGACCGCTGGTCAAGTTCATGAGAATCGCGGCGTCTCTTGCCGTCAGCTGTTCGGGATTGGGTCTCGCCTTTGCCCTCTGGGTCCTAGCCCTGCTAGTCGGGCTCGGGGGTCGCGGGGGCGGATTCATCCGCTGCGCCTCCTTCAACGAGATCGTCGCATTGTTGTAGCTCGAAATCACGGGGAAGCTGTGGTCCCTCCCAATCGTAGACTTCATCAGCGCCTTCATCCACTCCCTCACCAAAATGGGATCGTCACTCGAAAAGTAGTGCGGCTTCTCGCTCTCGTGCAGGATCTTGAACCCGTATTTGCCCGGATTGGTGTTTTCGTCCGCAATCACCTTGTAGCCTTTCATGTTGACGTAGCCTTTGATCTTTTCGGCACGTGGGTCGCGCAGGATGACGAGGTCGGGTCCTTTGAGCGCAAGGTAACGCGGCTTCCACGAGTTGTATCGCTCGCCCTTCTTCTTGATCCACCCTTCGAGGTCGACAGGTTGGATGCGCGACATGACGGGCCCGTTGGCTGCAGCGCCAGGAGGGGCAGCGGGACCACCAGCGCCAGGACCGGAAACGTCGGCGCCGGCGGAACCGACGCTCGTCGGTCGCGCATTGGCGGGCATGCCCATTCCCCCCGTCGCCGCTCCCAAGACCGTGCCTCCGCTCGTCGACTGCCTCTGTCGTCGAGCCGTATCGCCGTTCGTGTCGAACCTCGGACTGTCCGTAGGCAACGAGATCTGGTCCCGGATATTGGACTGCGAAGATTGCGAGCTGATGTTCCTCGAGGCACGTGCGAAGCCCAGACGCGAGAGCGTCCCCTTGCTGCTCCTGTCGTCGTCGTGGCCGTTGCTGCTCGCACCTCCTGCCGGCGCGGGGGGAGGCTTGCGGTTGCGTTGACCGAGACCAAAGAAGCTGGTGCGGTTGTTCTTCTCCGACAGGGCCGATCCGCTCGATTCGCGTTTGCGTGGCGACGGAGGAGGCAAGGCGCCGAGACGATCCTCGTTGGGGCCACCGGTGGGGAAGTAGCGTGGACTAGGCAGGCCGAACTGGGACGTGTTGCCGGGAGAGACGGGGACGTCTCCGCTGCCGCGCATCATGCCCTCGCTCGGATGGCGGTAGGGGGCTCGCTGACCAGCTTGCTGCGCCTGCCAGGCGGCGACACCAGCTGGTCCGCCGAATCCGCCCGGGCCAAGCCCTGCGTTCGGGCTGTTGTACATGTCGCGGTCCCGGTCGCCTCCGTTGAAGTTCGAAGGAGGTCCATAGCCGGGATCCAGGCTGGTCTCGGCCATCCGTGCGCTGAGACTGCGTCCGTCGGCATTGCTGCCGTTGTTGGATCCGCCACCCAAATGAGGTGAGTACGTGGGAGTGGCGGCGGCGCTGCCTGCTGCACCAGGGCCGCCGAGGATAGCTGGGCTACCCAGAGTGCTGTCGCCGTGAGGAGGCTGAGAGAGACCCGGGGTAGGTGGAGCGCCCGACGTCTGTGCGCGAAGTTCCTTGATCCCGTTCGCGACCTGGAACCGCTTGCCAAAGGCGTTGATGTCGATCTCTTTGAGAATGTTGATGTCCATCTCGAGAAGCACATCGCCCGAGATCTCGTGCTCGCGGAACTTGCTGACCACGGCCGCCTCGTCCCAGCCCTTGAAGCGGGCCCACTCGACGACGTGGTCGACGTTCCACTCGGTCGGGTCACTCGGCAAGTTGGCTAATGCGTGGAAGCTTTTGGGTTGCGCAGCAGCGGCGGCAGAACTGCTGTGGGTCGCGTCATCGAGCGTCGGTGTTCCGATCGAGGTGGCTGCCGTGCCGGTGCCAGTAGCAATGCCTGTGCCGGTACCCGTCTTGATGCTGTCGCCGGCAACGGAACGAACGCTTTCATCTGCGGCAGGTCCGGACGATCCGACAGCAGAGGAGGCGTCGGCGGATGGCTCGTGACCGGTCACGGCGTGTGCGGTCGATGACGCAGCGGCAACACCACCGAGCGCAACAGCGCCTACACCGGCTGCGATGGCGGGTGCAAGGACAGTGTCGGGTTCTGGCGCGGTGGCAGCACTGGAGTCGTTGGAAGCGAGAGGAGATGGCAAAGCCGCTTCTGCTGGTGCCTGTGTCGCCGGCTGAGACAGAGCTTGGTCCTCGGCGATGCCCTGCAAGTTCGAGGTAGGTTGTTGGATCTCTCGTGCGGCGACGCCGGCTGTAGGGGTAGAGGCGAGATTGCCGAAAAGGGGACTGTGCGTCTTGTTGTCCTGGAAGTCGTTGAGGGCGGCCACAACGGAGCCTTCACTGTCGCTCTCGTCGCTCATGTCTACACCATCGATGGGAGCAGCTTTGGACTTTTCGTCGGTCAGGTCAAGCTCGCCTGCTGCCAGCTTGGCTTGGCGTTCTTTCTCCTTCTCCAGAAGCAGCTCGCGTTGACGAGCCTCCTCTTGCTCGAAAGCTTGCTGCGCCTCGGCACGCATGCGTTGCTGTTCCTGCTTTTGACGTTCTGCATCGTCGGCCAGATCTTTTTGGGCGTTGGCGGCAAGGGCAGCGCGGGCGGCGACGGGTCTGCTGGCAAAGTCGTCGGCGGATCCGCCGTAGTTGTCGGACTGCGCGTCGACATCGGACCGATCGCTGGTGAAGGAAGCGGAAGAGGAGTCGACGCCGCGAGTGGCAGCAAGTCCAGCTGCACCTGCTCCGGCACCAGCTACAGCACCTGCACCTGCACCCACGCCTGTAGTAGTGCCATTAACGCTGCCCGGTGCTTGGAACTCGGTGAGGGCGTTGTCGATGTCGGCCATGGTGGAGTGCATTACGCCCGGCTGTGTGCTGGCGGCTGCACCCTGAGGAGCGCCGAGGACGGGGGTAGCAGTGCCGGATTGAGCGCTGAGCGCGACGTTGCGATCGACGGTGGTGTAGGTAAAAGGAAAGAGGCCGGTGTGACCGTTCTCGTTGGTGCCTTGCCACCAGCCATCGCCGTATTCGTCGTCCTTTTCTACGACGATGATGCACTCGCCGGCCTTGAAGGAGACTTCGTCCGGGTTTTCGGCCTCAAAGTCGTGCAGCGCCCAAACGCGATCTGGCGATTTGATTGCTGCCATGCTGAAGAGAGGATGTGCAGATGTAATTCGAAGCTAGCCGAGCGTTTGCGTCCAGTCGCTTCGAGGAGGGCGAGGATCGGGTCAGGTAGCTGAAACGAGCGTCTTGGGTATAAAGACTGGCCGTCGTTTTGATGAAGGTCGTCCAAAGCAGATGAGATGCACGACTGTGTGTCAGAAGGACCTTGACGCAACGAGGCGGGCTGTGAAGAACAACGCGGCCGAAGAGAATGACGACCGAAGCGTCAGCAGGGTCCCGAGCGTAGTCGCTGGATGGCTGCTAATCCCGAGTGCCGAAATGAAGGAGCGTCGTGCTTCTTCACAGGTGGCGCCTGATGCAAGCGAGCGATTGGGATCGAAATGAGAGACACTCTCGTCTACGGCAAGAGCGACGAGGATGGTATATGGTGGTGATGAGGATGGATGGAAAGCGAAAGAGAGCTTCGGAACTGAAACTTCGGTATTCTCAGCGGCAGCTCAGACCAGACAGTCAGCCGTTCTCTGCCAAATCCCGCAGATGAACGGGAACGCCTCTCCCGCCAAAAGTCTCACACGCTGCTCAGCCGCCGTCCGATTTTGTTCAAAAGCGGCAAGGCAGGCAGGCAGGCGTGCACGGTCACTCTCGTGTTCTTTTTGGATTTTTGGCTCGAATTTAACCTCACGGGTGCCTGCCACTTGCAGCCAATCTTCACGCCTTTTGGGTCGGGATGAGAATGCGTAGAAATTCCAATCAACCGCGCCCAAAACGGCAAGCTCAGCTGATATTCTTATCCGTGGGGATGATGATGGCGATCAGGACCGGACATCGTCCAAGACTAGGTCGGCTTCGCTCGGCCCTCGCTTCAACTCAAAGACTCGTCTGCGTCAACGTCAGAAGCGTAACGATGATTTTGACCAACGTGTCCTGCACATCAGGAATAGGATTGCAAGGTCTGACTGAAGCGAGGACGGCTGGTATCGACATCAAGCCGTAGCGATATTGGCAGGTGCAGCGGCGGCTTTGGCACGGTTGCTTCTCAGACTCTTGAGCAGAGCCAGATTCGACTTGGCGCCGGCTGCCTTCTTTGCTGGCGCCATGCCGTGTCTCGGTGTCCAAGGTCCTAGCGATGTGTCGCTGTAGAAGTCCATCGGATAGTCGCCGTCGAGAGGCAGATGCTTGTCTTCCACCGGCACCTCGCTAGTGCTATCGCCATGCGGTCTAGCTGGTGTCCTGCTCATGCCCAGCCCCTCTACATCCTCTTGCCATCCTTTCACCTTCTTGACGCTCACCGCTGCTTCGTACGGACTGAGCAGTGGCTTGGCGAAAGCAGAGCCCCAATCGATCGATAGGCGCGGGCAGCTCGACTGGATGAACGCCGCCAAATGTTCGCCGAACAGAGCCAGCTTCTGCGGTGACAGCTCCGACAGCAGGATAGGAACATGAGGGATGGGCGGCGAGTGTTCCGCCAACGACGCTGTCAGCGACTCGAGCACGCGCAGGCTGCCTTGACGTCCCAATGTGCCCAGCACCACACCCCAGCCAGAAGGTGCCGTTCGCTCTTGTCCATTCGACACCGCCTTCTCCTCGTCCTTCAGTTTGACGATTGAGAGCTCGGGTTCGAGGTCCATTCCGCCCACACCGTCCTGCGCCAGCCTCACCGCTTCACCGCGCATCTTGCGCATCTCGGCATGATCGTACAGCTCGCGCACGAATCGTTTCGTGTACGGGTCGTATCGGAACGCTGGGATCCGCGGGTTGGCAATCATGATGGACTCGAGGTGGAAGCGACCGTCGCCAATGTAGACGATGGCATCGATGCTGTCCTTGTCCAGCTTGGGCGACGTGCAGCCCAACACCTCGCCAGGACTGAGCGGCTTGACTTGCGGCACAGTGACCGCATATTCGCCAGAGCTCCATGCTTTCCATTTGGCTGCTTGAGGGATGTGGTCGACGGTGCCGTCCGTCGCCGTGCCTGCGGTCAGCACCAGTCGATCCGCCTGAGGCTCTCCCGAGACAATGGATCCATCGGCAAGTCGACGCTGTTGCTGCTCGAGTGCTTCGCGTAGGCCGTGGATGGCATTGATGAACTGCACCGTTCCGACGAGCGCTAGATGGGTGGATGCTTTCGACGCAGCGGAAGAAGCAGCGTGGGAGCTGGGTTGCTCTTGGTCGCCGATCTGAATCTTGGCTCGCCCCGCCGACTCATCCACCTCGGCACTCTTGCCAGCTGCGCTCTGACTACCACCCAGGATCTTGGCTCTGAACTCGTCTTTCTGGCTCGGGAAGTTGGCTCGAATCGTGGCGGCCAAATGGGCGGGGTCGATGGAGATCTCGACGAACACGTACAGCGTTTTGATCGCCGTCTGATCCACAGGAACAAGACAACTGTGGCCGTAGTGGACGAGCATGTCACACCCAAGTGCCATGGCAGTGTAGTCGTCGACGCAGCACGCGCCGTACGTCACGTCGCCCATGATCACCGTGATAGCATCTGTGAAGCGTTCCACAATGTCGGCAATACCGGTGGCCCACAGCGTAAGGCCTTCGGGCATCTGAAGCGCGACGCATGTCGCTGATGCCTTTCGAATGTGATGGATGGTCTTGTGGATCTCAAAGTTGTAGTTGGGTGGGAGGATGGATGCGATAGCTTGGTTGAGTTCCGGGTCGTCCAAGATCTCGGAAGGGACAGCGTTGGCGATGCGGGGTCGCGACGGGCCTGCTTGGCTGCTAGGATCAGCAGTGGCGCCGCCAGCAGCGCCGTTGAACCTCTTGCGAGGGTTCTCTGCGTTGGTCTGCATGTTTGCAGAGAGAGACTTCGACAGCAAAGGGTTGCGTGTTGCCGTCTTTGATGCTGTACGAAGTCAAAGAAGAAGACTCTATCCAGGGTCCAACGCACCACCAAAATCTTTGAGCTTGGGCAAAAAACGAAAACTGGCTGACAAATCCTGACTTGCGCTCCATGCTGTGGCCTCTTAACACTTTGGAAAAAGGCTTGAGCTCGAGTCCGGGGCGAAGCGCGTAAAGGAGGCGCGCGGGCGCATGACGTCAAACTGACTTCGAGTATCGCCCTCCGCTTGGGGCCTTGCCGAGCGCCAAGGCAGACCTTGATCGCTGGCTCTTCTCCAGGTTTCCTATCTACGAAGGACGCTCATTGATCGCTCCCAATGGCCGGATATCATCGTAAATTGGGACCGCAGCCGAGGAACCAACGTAGCAGCTGAAGAACCGCATCGTTTGCTAAGGCGAGGTCTAAGCTTGTTCGTCATGGGAATGTCTTTGATCGTCACCTGGCAAGCGCATTTCTGGTAAACAACTGGGTTTCTTGTGGGTCTGAGACCTTGTCAGCGCATGGGATGGTGTGCAACCATTTGATGCAGTCACTCTACGTTGCATGTCGATCGGAGCTGCAAAGGTACCGGCTTGGTTTGGTCGAGGTCACATGTGATCCCCTCATATTATGGACATGGCAGACTTTCTGCTAGCACGCGGAGAGGCATGACATTGTGGCTTATGGCGGAACTCGAAAGGCACGCGAGCCGAGTCTGAAACGTCAAGCTGAGGGAGCACGTCTGGAGTTCATGCGATGCCCGGTGGGGATCCAGGATGGCTTCGCTTCTTGCTTGGGATGGTGACGAAAGTGACTTGGCTCGCGAGATCGACGTCGGTCACGTAGGGGGTCAGACAGCTGACTTGTTTCACGAAGATCGCCGTGACGCAGACAAACGCCTCGACGAGCTTGCTTGTCGATCTGACGGGATTTGTGCGAGCCCTTTCCCTGGCTCCTGCAATTCTTTTGCTCACAATAGTCGGCACGGAAGGCTCATCCACGAGAATTGGTTCCCATGGCGTCAGAGGGTCTTGAGAAGAAGCAAGTCGGAGTTTGGACAACGCGCACAGACCGTAGACCACAACTTGTACGTACAGGGTCAGCACGCCTCTCGCTGCCGTCTGTATCGATAGTACTCCCAGAGGTGTAGACATAACAGGCTAAGCAGCGCCGACAAGTTCTCAGCGTTGAAGTGGACGATGCACAGGCCAGTCTTCGGACAAGCCCTGGAGAGTTTCGCCGACGACAAGGTCAGTCCGAAACAAGGGGTTGCTCTGATACCGGGTCCACTCAGCACCAGGGCACAAAGCAATCGCCGATCCAAGTGGGTGTGCTTCGAGACCCCTTCCAGTCGTGGAGCGAGAATGGATTGTCAGCGTCTCATAGACCCGTGGGACGGGCAGGGGAAGGCAGAGAACTCAAACCACGCGAGAAAGCAGGACTGTGACCAGAAATAGCTTAGCCCTGAGACGCCGTATCTCGCCGCGAGTTTCGCCGGGGCAGGCAGGCTGAACAATAGGAACGGAGGGGCTAGAAGCACGCCTACGGCGACTCACACGACCCATGACTCGTGGTCCACTCGACCGTCGGTGTGATCTTAACGGCGACCCACACAAAGACGCTCGTCCAGCCAGATTCTCTGGCTCACCGCGACAATTGCCGGACCACACAGCATTGCAAGGAAGACGATGTGAAAGACAAAGAGGCGGTATGTCGGTTATGCAAGCTCTGTGCCATGCGACCGCAAAAAAAGCATTTCCAAGCGAGAGGCAGAGGCGTGCAGATGATGAACTTTGACAACCAAACGTGGTTCGGATCTGCAGTGGATGCGGCTCGGTGGTGGGGGAGGGCAGATGAGTGCAACGGAGAGTTTCGCAGTCAGAGCCAGCTCGGCAACCAGAAAGGGGTGCGTTACGGCATGGGTGGGCCACTCAGTTAGACGAGATGAAGAGGGCGTCGCGGAGCGAGACAAGAGAGCTGCGGAGGCGGTGTGGCAGGCTGAGACGGTGTTTGAGGCGAAAAAGGGCACACACGCAAGGCAAAAGGAGAATTCATCGAGCCGGTGTCTCGCGTAAATTGCTGTCGTTGTGGTGGGCGCAAAGACCGCTGCAGAGAGGTGATCCAGCCCTGGTCGCGCTGCACTTCATAAGCCTCTCAGCAGAAGAGCCATCGCCGCTGCCAATTCCTGCAGTCGAAGGTTTGCCGCCTTGTAAGCCGGTGATGAACAAGCACATCAGCACGCTGATCGGACGGGTTTCGCTAGGAAACGCGGCGAAGCGCATCCTCGCTCAGTCATGGCGGCACCATCCCGAGCGGATGGGAGCCTCGGCGTCGCATACGGCTCGATGCAAGGTTTGGACAAGTCCAAGCGAGCTCGGAGACAGGCCACACGATCAAGGGAGGTCTCTTTGCTTCCAGTGCAGACCAACTTGTGAAGGCGTTCAAAGGCCACCAAAGACGAGTCGATTTGAAATCAGGAACCTGGCCATGTCCTTGTCTGCAGGCTCTCTCTCTCGAATGGCTGCCGCGGTTGGGTCCAATTTGAAATTCTGGGCGCCTTTGCGCTGTCTACTGTATGTCCTCTCGTCGCATCCCCAAATGCCGCTGGACCCCTCTGGTGAGATGAGCTTGCGTGAAGAAGATGTGAGGGGCAAGACAGAGTGTGCTCACTACGAGATATGCACTCTGCATTGTCGCATTGGCGTGCTATCCAGCATGCACGCGTGGCTACACTCTAAACTCAGAGCCGCAGTGAGACCGAGTAGAAAAATTGCGGGGAGGATCGGGTCGGAAGCGCAAAAGGGAGTGGCACGGCGCATGATACATCCGTCGATGCAGCAAAGGGCATCGAAGAGCAAATGGACTTGCGATTAGTTCCGGTTCAACCGACGACACCATGAGCGCAGCCTAAGGCTGCAAGAGAGTCAGTCGTCTTTGTCTGCAGGAATCTGGGGTCGTCCATGTTGTACAGGCGCACTGGAGAACAAATCCAATATGACCTCGCATTGGTTACCGCCCGTTGCTCGTCAAACGAAATGGCATCTCGCTTCGGAGCACGGGCGCAGGAGCTTTTCTCTTGCATGACGAGGTGGCGGGCCCGCTATTCGGTGCAAGCAGGCATCAGAATCGAATGATCTCTGTCAGTCTCAGGAAGACGACAAAATGCACCGCTGCCACAGCGTGATCAACAACGGAGTGGTCGAAGGGGCTGCTGTACATCTGAAGCACTTGATGAGCCGGGGTTGGTGAGCTTGGATGCTAAGAAAAGCAGTGCGCACTATAGAGTTAATCTGATCTAACCGAGCTAGGAAACGAACGAGCGGGGCGGTCGAGCATGGGGGACAGGAGTAGAAAAAGTGTCTCAGCCAATCAGGTCGCGTTGTGATTGGTTCAACTGACTAGGCGCGGAGCTTGAAATCAAAAGGAAAGTGGAACGAGACGGGTCGGAGTATCAAGTTGGACAGCCCTAAAGACGACATGGGTAGGAAGAGCGCGGCGGTACAGAGCGGGTCCGCGCCTTGTTGTCTCCCTCTTCCCATGCATGCTGCAGCATGCAAAGTGCATCTCGGATGCTCAAGTCCAGCATCCATCACAGACAATACAAACTCTCTTTTTGGCGACGCACCAGAGCGGAGTGTAGAAGGACCATTGTTGAATAGAGTTTCTGTTTGTGGGGTCGTCGGGACTACCTTTCCGTCTACTAGGAGAGAGCCAAGACAGGATTCAGCCCATCCATAGCTCGGTTTGCGCTTCGGTTGTCTGCCAGTCAGACAAAAGACGCCCTCTCGAGCAGTGACAGGAGCGTGTTCAAGTGGCGACAGCAAGTGACAGATCGTAGAGCCCTTGTTATGGACAGACAACTATTCTGACCGAGGGGAGCCGTCATTGGCGACAAGGACCCCGTTGCTTGCCGCGATTTGGCTGGTGGCCGAGTCGCTTTACGGCATCGTACGATCTGCGCGGCTTGAGCGTGTTCCTGGCGGGAAAGGGCAAGGGCGAGTCGACAAGAACAATGAGGAAGAGGTTCCCTTGTCGACAGGCGATGAGTGTTCTTGTTCTTTTTGCACGCGACCGCAGCCCTGCATCCTCGCGGATCGAATTCTGCTTTGATGCAACGAATCAAGTTTGGCTCGCTTAAGTGGGAATGACCATCATGTGGTGACAGCATCTCGAGACTGCAGCGCTGGCCCTAATGCCTGCGCCCAAGTGATCTGCCTGTTTGCGTGTTTGGGCATCGGCACCTCGCTGCCGTCCGGGCAGCGTCCCACCTTGCCTTTGAGTATGACGAGTCGGCATGCATCAGCAAGCTTCTATGGCTATGAGGGTGGCGTGATGAGCACGCGGCTGCCGACAACAGGGAAGCTTTGCTCTAGTCAAGCCGGCACGCTGCGGTCTGAGCCCTGTTTTCGGGTTCAGGTTCCAAGGGCGAGAATCAGGGCTAAGTCACCCTTGGACCTTTGTTTGAGACCAGTTGGTCGTGCCGAAGTGTGTCTACGTTAGCTAGAGACACGGCTGAAGGTTAAGCTGTTGTCTCGTGTAATGCGCTGCCGCTCATCCGCCACCGCTGTGCATTGCATGGCTTTCCATTGTTCTCAAAGTGGGATGCTGTGTTTGCAAATCAGGCTGCATGACCCACAGACACGAGCCTTTGATGGTCTCGTTGTCCTTACGAGAGGGAGAAGGCCGTGCTAAGTGCATCTAGGCCCGCCCATCTCGCCTCGCCTAGGCAATCAAAAATCTCTCCGTCTTGCCCAGCCGCAGCGACGACTCGCTTAGCAATCCAAGCCTTTTGCAGGAGACAGAGAGGCGATCCAGCGAGCGAATGGCCTCTCTGCTTTGCTCCTCGCCTGTGACCCCGCGCTTTAGTGCCTTTTTCGACCCCGCCTTTTTGACTGGATTGGGCGCAGTCTAAATTCTAAACTTTCCCATGATGCATTCTCTTTGCCTCGACCTGCAGCTCCCTGCTCTAGTGCACGACTGGGCACTCCTCCTCCTCCTCTCTGTCTGCTCGCTTAGCAGCGCAACATCCTTTTTTCCGTGCTTTCCCTTTGTGCATCCCTCTCAGCCGGCAGAGTGAGAGTGTTTGGTAGCTTTGCCTCTTGCCGTGCCGTCCCTCGCCCCCACAACGAAAGCAGCAATTTTTAGCGTCCAATTCTTTCCTTTCTCTCCGACAGTCAGTCAGCCAGTGGGCGCGACCTGCATTCACAGTGCATTACCGTCTGTGGTGCATGGATGGATGAATCGCAGGGCAGCTGCTCGGATGCCACTGGTTGCCTCTGCCTCATTGTGAGGCCTGCGTTCGAACTTTCTTATTGCCGTCGTTCTGCCTCCCTAGCCTCCCGCTTGCCTGTCTGGGACGGCCTCTCAACGACGCCATGTGAAGATCCCAAAGCTCGCGAAGCACAATCAAGTGTCAAGGTGCTTGCAGGTATATTGGGGTCCAGCCCAACTCAGCTCCATTAACCGTCTGTCATAGTGCTTGCATTGATCGCTTGCTTGCTTGCTCGCCCTTGAGCGCAACGCCTCTCACTCTCTCCTCTGGTGCCTCTCCGGCTATGAACCTATCCCAATACCTATGTCTCACTCTGTGATCCTGAGACACCATTGCACCCTTCTTGTCTCTCGTTGCCCTCCTTCCTCGCTGCGTTCCTATCCCAAGCTGCTGGCTCTGCTGCTGTCGCCCTACCACACCCGCTCCCACCCACACCCGTCACCGCTTCGACATCCAGTTTTTCGCTTCGACCCGGCCTTTGCCTGCCGAACTGTAGCGCCGCCATCTCCTCTCCTGCTTTCCTGCCTTGAGGCCTTGGGTCTTGTGTCTCGATCCTCCTCCGGCATCCCAAGCATAGCAGCTTCGCCTCCCCTCCCTCCTCCTCACCCCAGATTCTGGTTTCTTATAAGCATCCCTACTTTTTGTGGCTCGTCGTCTCCATCGATCCCATCGTGTTCTCGCTCTCTATCTATCTCCGCAACGACGTCCTTCCTCCTCTCTACCCCTCGATCTTGCACTCATCGCAACAACCAGCTTCTACTGGCCAGTCTTGTCTCTACGACTCCTTGATCCAACATCGTACAGCTTCCGCGTCGTCCACCTGTCACGTAGCGCGCTCTGGATCCCCCTCGACCGCACCCTCCTTTAGTCTGTCACTATCACAGAGCAGCAGCGCCATTCTCCCACTTTTGTCACATTCTCTGCTTTGTCTGGGATCACAACACGTCTGAGAACGCCACTTCCAGTACGACTCCCGCTTCACCAGAGTCCGCTCTTCTATCTTCACCATACTCAACTCAGCTCATCTAGCTTTCCTATCACCACAATGAGCTCGATCAGCAGCGGCAGCAGCTCCTCGCGAGCCTCCCCTTCCTCCAGCTCCACCTCCCGCAGTCCTTCTGCAGAGCCCTCCTCCTCCTCCAATAAGAGGCAACGTCGTCTCACGCTCCAAGACATCCACATCCCCGCCGGCTTCGAGATCGCCAAGCACCTCAGCGAGGCTGGCTCCGCCGACTACCCCTCGGAGGAAAACATCGAAAAGGCCGCCGAGGTCTTGCAGTCGCTCCGCGGTCGCATGCCCGATGGCTCCGACGGCCAAGTTGCTGCCTGCGACTACTGCAGGCGTCGCAAGATCCGCTGCGACCGCATCAAGCCCACCTGCGGCAGTTGCGTCTCTTCGGGCAGGAAGTGCACCACCGAGGACATGCTTCGAAAGCGTGGTCCCCCTTCCAAGAAGGAGCGCGCCATCCTCGAGGCCGCTGGCATCATCTTCCGCGGTACTCGTCCACACAGGAGACGCAGAACCGCCACTACATCCCTTGGCTCTGGCGCCGCCAGCAAGCAGCACGAGGAGATGGTCAGAAAGGTCAAGGAAGCTGCGGGGACAAGGACCCGCGCCAACTCGGCGCAGACGGGCGCCGCAGCAGCATCAGCGACTCTCGTGGATGGCTACGACGTCGGCAGCAAGAGCTCGTGGATGGAGATGTTGAGCGTTGCCACTCAATCTGCCAACCCCTTCGCCGACTCGCCCGCGTCTTCACCCTCGGACATCTCGGCGCAAGACACCTTCCACGTCGACGCTGGCGCTTGCGACTATGTCATGCCCATCGGTATGGCACCCTTCCCACCCCGCACTGCCATGGACAACGTCAACAGCAGCGTCCAGTGGGACAACATGTGGGCCACCTTTGGCGCCGATCTCCGCAACAAGTACGTTCCTGGCGGGCCGACGCCACCTTTGGAGCTCCCCAACTTGACTGCCTATGCCATCAACGCCAGCGTCGACAGCAAGGACGGCCTGTTCAGGTCGCCGCTCGCGTCCTTTGACGCAGGCGCTCTCGACTGGTCCGCATCCAACGTGTCGCCCTCGCAGTACCAGAACATGTACCCGCACGGCGCGCCCATCGCTCCTCACGAGCAGCCTCCTCTGGTGATGCCTGTCGTCCACGTCGACCCGCAGATGATGGTGCCCCTCCCGCAGCCTTTTTCGCATCCCCTCCACCACCAGCAGGCACACGAGGCGCAGCAGCAGCCCTTCATCAACTCGCCCTCCACCATGGCTGCCGAAGCCATGGCCTTCCAGTCGGCTATGGGTCACTTTTTCCCCAAGCGCGAGTCGCCCGCTCTGTCGCTCCACACGCTCTCGTCTTCATCGTCGAACGTCGACGTGAGCACCCCTACCGAGCTGGACCAGTTCATCTCGATGGGCGATCCGTCTTTCCCCCAAAATCAGCATGCGCTCGCCCACCAGCAGCAGATGTCGTACGCCATGTCCTTCTGAGGCCTCGGGAGCAGCATTCCCCAGTCGTTCCTTTCCTTAATCATTCTCTTCATCCGGTCTAATCGTCACTTTGTGCTAACTTTCTTGTATTCTCAGTCTCGGCTCTTCACTTCCCCGGGTTTCCCGCAGAGATCTCTCTTGTATCTTGTACATCTAATACTACCACTTCAAGGTTCTTCCGTGTCTACTTTGTCTGCTTGTCGTGTGTGTTGGCGCAACGTGCCTCCTGTAGTGCTCGCTTCGATCAGCGTGTGAGACGAGCCTCTGTCTTGAATCTGACCGGGCAAAGAGCATGCGACGACTCTGTCCTATCACGTCGCCTCTTGCCGCACCCGAGCCAACGATTCAACAAAACGTCGGTTTCGTGGGCAGCAACACCTAGCGTTTGGTCGACCCGACTGTTGTTGGGTCATCTGCTTGGGTTAAACACAGCCAAGGCTTCGTATCAGCAACCCTCTCTTTCATCCTCTGCTCGGGGGACGCATACTTACGGATGCCGCTCCCATGACCCGTTGGGGGCGAGGTTGGATGACGATGCGTCATTGGTTGGGGTTGGGACACCGGTTCTTTGTGCTACTTGGGTCGCGTTTTTCGGGCGCAAGAGCGTCCACGTCGGTGCGCCATCAACAAACCCAGGTGATGCTCCCACTTCCATTGCCAGCCCCACTCGCCATCGATCCCCTGTTTAAAACTTCAGTGGGGTCAGCGAACTCGGCTGTCTCCAGTGCTGTACCGGCTCGGCAGGATGGACAGATAGGCGTTGAAGGTTGATCAATTCTTGCGATGCAGCAAGACCAAGATCGAGCCCGCACGACCCCCATTGACCGCAAGGTTGCCTGGGGCACCGTGCTCGTCAAGCTAGACAACGGCCTTACAGAATCTCAGTCCGGCGGATGTCCAGGACGCAGACAATGGAAGCACACGCAGGCTGCGAGTTCCGTCATGCGCGTGCAGAGTCTCTGCATGGATGGGATTCGACCGTGAAGTGGTAAAAGTACATGTTGTTCGGGAAAGTGGCCCCTCTCGCGCATCGACATCGAATCAGTCGTTCCTCGCACGCTTGCTGTGGTATCCCTCGTCTGTTTCGAGAAGCTCGCGCTCGACGCTCGTTGGTCTCGGCCTCTTGATCGCCGACGAGGTCGCCAGTGGTGGCGTCGACTCGCGAAACCTTTGCTGAGCGTCGTACTTGGTTGGCGAAGAGGAGTGCAGATCGTGCTCGTATTGCCTCCGCGACGAGGAGGGTGCGGACGGTGCAGTGGGTGACCGCGAGGGCGGGCGACGGTACGATGCTGCTGCGTACGAGTCCCTTCTCGTCGATCCTTGTGGCGATCCTTCGGATGTCGGATATCTCTCGCCTCCTCTGCTATCTTTTCCTCCAAGTGCTGCTGATGGTTGGACTGGAGGCGGGGGAGAAGCGTACCCTCGGGTGATACCGCTTCCAAATGCGTGGTAGCTAGGCTCGGCATACCGCGCCGGATACGGCCTGTACTCCTCCCCACCCTCGAATCCCCTCGTCATACTTCGGATCTCGTACGCATCACGCTCCCTCTCCAGATCCCGCTTGCTGATGGGGTTTGCTCTCCGTCTGGCCGCCTCGGCCGCCGCTTCGCGCTCCAACTCCAGCGCATGCTCGCGGCGAGATTGCTCGACCTGAGCCCGCTGCTCGCGCTTGGCAGCGACGGCATCGAGAAGATAGTCAAGTTCCTCGCGAAGCTTCTGGTGCTTTGCTGTAGCTTTGACGACGTTGGCTTTGAGGTCGGTGTGCTCGGTCGAGACGCGGTCGAACTTGTCTTTGGATTTGAGGAAGAGCGACTTGTAGTCGGTAGATGGGTTGGCGCCGCGAGACTTGCGGACTAGTGGTACTGATGTCGAGGTGCTTGCGATGTCGGACATGCTTGCGAGCGCTGATCGCCTCGACTAAGACGTGGGCGATGTGTGCTTGAAAGGTGGAAGACAGCGTTGAGATGACGGGATCAGGGTCTTGACGAAGCAAGCGAGAAGCTTTGGCGCAGCTCAGCCTCGCACGGATCCGATTTCTGCGCTGAAATTGTTACATCGTCAGCTCTCGAAGCTTAAAAACAACCCATCTCCGATATCCGCGCTTCGAAATTCTTCTAAAAAAGCAAGAAAAAAATCTCGAAAAGTGGAGCGAAAAGGCTTGAAAATGGCTCTGACCTGGTTGGCTGTCAAAGAACGATGAGCACCACCAACACCATACCACAAGCATGTCGATTGCTTGCTAGATGCTCTTCAGATTCTTGACCATCACACGACAAGTGACTCTGCCCATAGTCCAGCTCCAGTGCCAGTCGACCTCAAAAGTGGCCATTGCTTTTGCAAGAATACCTGCATTGCACAGCGACAGACTTGCTAGAATGTCGTCCACACTCCCATCTTCGCCCGAGCTGCCACCAGCCAAGCGAATGCGCTCGCGCTCGCCGGAGCAGCCTCAGGCCGAAGCAAATGGCCAGATTGGCCTTGCATCGACGTCCGCCGCTGCCTCTGAGTCTACGTCCGCTCAGGACAAGCAGGCTCGCAAAGCCGAAGCCCGTCGATCGCGACAGAAGCGCAAGGACTACGCCAAGCAGCTCACCAAGACCGGCCGCGAGCCCATCGAGTTCGACATTGAGGACCTCATCGGCGCTCGCAATGTCACCGACATCCTATCGGAAGGGCTGGAGCATAAGAACAAGTTCGAACGCGGCACTCGGCTTACACTTCAGATCGAGCGCCTCGATGCACACGGTGACGGTCTCGCCATCGCACCAGAGCGCGATTGGGTCATCGCCGTGCCGCACACTCTGCCAGGAGAAAAGGTGACCGTGGAGATCAGCAGCAACGAACGGCTGTACTCCAAGGCCAAGCTGGTGGAGGTGCTCGAGAAGAGCGCCACAAGGCAGGACGAGCTGGTACGATGCAAGTACTTTGGAGACTGCGGTGGATGCCAGTACCAGATGATTGACTATGCACATCAGCTCGAGATCAAGCGAGGGGTGGTGGAGAGGGCCTTCGCCAGGTTCTCAGGCTTGGATGCGGCATTGATACCGGAAGTGCTGCCAACCATCGCCTCGCCAAACCAGTACAACTACCGCACCAAGCTCACGCCGCATTTCGAACTTCCGTACGAGCTGCGACGGGGCAGGCGGACGGGCATTCGCAACGACGCCAATGGCAACGGCAAAGCTGAGTACGATGTGCCAATTGGCTTCGACTGCATCGGCACAAAGAGGGTCATGGACATTGAAGAGTGCCCCATTGCGACCAAGACGATCAACAAGGCACTCCCCGCCGCAAAGCAAAAGGTCGTGGACACCATCGAGTCGTTCAAGAACGGCGCGACAATCCTACTCCGAGACTCGCTGATCACCTACGACAGCTTTGCAGAGGATCTCGCGGTCACATCGAGCGCCGGCGAAGTGGAGCGCGAGTTCGACACCGAGGTCGTCACGGACCACAAAGCCACAGTCAAGGAGCGTGTGCTCACGACCAAGTTCGAGTCGCCTGCCGGCACCTTCTTCCAGAACAACCGGAGCATCCTTCCGAGCCTGCTGGACTACGTCCGCGATGCGATCACCTCTTCCGGCACCGGTGGCGGCCGCTACCTGGTCGACGCATACTGCGGCTCGGGCCTGTTCAGCCTCTGCCTCGCCTCGCTCTTCCACGAAGTCTCGGGCGTCGAGATCTCGTCCGAATCCATCAGGTACGCTACCAAGAATGCCGAGCTCAACGGCATCACCAACGCCAAGTTCCTCGCCGGCAACGCAGAGGATATCTTTGCCAGGATCGAGTACCCGGCGGAGAAGACGACCGTCATCATCGACCCACCCAGGCGAGGATGCGATGAGGAGTTCATAAGGCAGCTGGTGAAGCTCGGACCGAAGCACATTGTCTATGTGTCGTGCAACGTGCATACGCAGGCGAGGGACGTGGGGCAGCTGATTGCGAAGGATGCGAGGTACAAGATCATGAGTGTCAGGGGGGCCGATTTGTTCCCTCAGACTCACCACGTCGAGGGCGTCGCGGTCTTGGAGCGCGTTGATGCGTAGTTCACATACTGTTCGAACAATTACGCTTCATCTTGTATCCAGCGACTACGCTGCGCAATGTGCTTGTCTGCGACAATGTGTGAGTGGGAGGATACCCGATCTGACTTTATGTGAGGCATCGATGGACCATGGTCAGGAGAGAGAGGGTCAGTTGAAGCCATAAAGCTCGGATATCGGGCGCAGCTTGTGGAGCGCGAAGAAAATTTCCCTGAGAAAGGCGCAAAGTGCTCCTGCAGCTCAAGCTCAACCGGCCTGCAGAGCTCCTCGTGTGTCCTACTCCTCCCCATCACCGTTTCACCAATACTTGGATCTCTTCGGCATCCGGACCAGACACCGTCCCTGTGAGCGATGGCTTCAACACTCGGACGCTGTGTAAGGCGGCTCAGACCAGCCGCCAATTCGGTCGCCAGCTCGTCTACCGGCACAACTGCATATGCAAGCAGGCGGAACCTTTCAGCGAGCGTGCCACGCCATGACGACGAGAAGCCCGACCGCCCAGGATCGGACGAACCTTCGAGCTCCAGCACCTCGGACAGTCAGCCCAGTTCGTCGAATCAAGCGTCGGGAAGCTCGACATACAAACCGTCTTCCAGGGCGGGAGCGTGGCCCTTCGAACACGCTTCTTCTTCTTCCAGTGACCCAACCAGCTCCAAACAAGACGCTTCCTCTTCCTCTTCCAGCTCAACCTTCAACCCGTACAAAGGCCTCTTTGACGGCAGCGACCCATTCCCCACCGTTACCGTGCCGAATCTCAGCTCTGCTCCCGCCGCCTCACCCACAGCCCCCACCCAAGCCTCCTGGCTCTCGGACCAGCTCGACTCGCTCACCACCTCGCCCCGCACACCTCGTCCGAACGCCCGCTCAGACGATCGCAAGAAGCATCCCATCCCGCGCTCGGTCCTGTTCGCCGACTCGGACCGTGCGCGGCAAAGCGAAGATTTCCGACCGCGCAAACCTGCCGCTCCACGCAAGCGGTTCGACCGAACGCCCCTCACGCAGCAGGAAGCCAACGCCTTCATGAGCCTGCTCAATCAAGCCCTCGCCGGAACATCCACTCCAACATCTTCACCCCTACCCACGGCGGGCGAGAGGGAAGAAACACCCTTCGGAAGCTACACCTCGCTCATTTCGAACCCCAAGACGCAATCGGGGTCGAAAGCGCTGTTGCAAGCCTTTGCGACGCGGAATCGGTTGAAGCGGTTTGAGGAGGCACGAGAGCAGCGCGCGCGGCGCTTCATGCGCGAAGGTCTCGCCGGGTCGATGGACCCGTTGGTGCTAGAGGCAGGCATCGATGAGGCGCGGGAAGCCATTGCAGCGTGTGAGAACCTGGTGGATTTGCTCGACTGGGCCAAACGCGAGGTGTGGGGCATCCATCCTACCCCCACATCGGCGGAAGTGGATCTTGCCAACACACTCGAAACCTCGGCGACGAGCACGGAGGGTAAGCGAGAGGTCAAGTATGGCAAAGAAACGCCGTTCTACCCGTCGGTGCTGCAGTTGTTGTTCCTGACGATTCGGGATCGATATCGAGCACCACATGTAGCGCTCACCATCCCACGCACGACGCGCGCGCTCGGGATTGAGAGTTACGTCCTGGGTGTGACGGGTTCGCTGTACAACGAAGTGCTCAAAACCCAATGGGACTGGCTCGGCGATCTTCCCGGCGTCGTATCGACTCTCCGACAAGCGCGAGAGACCGGCATCCTGTCTGCACCGCTCAAACACCCCATCGCCCCCGAAAAGGGCGCAGGCGGCCTGGCGACGAGCGAAGACGAGAGTATACGGGAGACGGTCGATCGCATCGCGAATGAGGTGCGCAAGTACGTGCTGGATCAGAAGAACGAAGAAGATGTGTTTGGGGAAGGATCGGTGGAGGCGGGCAAGGGGGGAAAGATGGGAGGGGTGAAGGGGTGGAGTGAGAAATGGCTGTTGACGCAGGCGGAGGAGGCGACCGGGTTGGCAGGGAGGCCGTTCCGGTTGACCCAGAAGCGGATGTCGCGGTTCGACCAGCGGGAAGGGAGAGAGAGAGGGAGGGTGGATGGTGAGAGGAGGATGACGCCGAGACCGTTTAGAAGGAACGACGACGGGTATCAGAGGGAGAGCAGATCGGCGTCGTCATCGCCTAGGTTTCCGTCGCAGTACAACCCGCGCTCATCTTGGAGATCCTCAGAGCTCCCGTAGTCGATTCACCACGCCCTCATGATCACAATCGCAGCCATCACGCTCATCTCGCGCAAAACACGACCAGAAGTGAAACGAAAGAGACTGTGATTCCAAAGGAACGATCAGCGACAAAGGAGAAACCGAAAGAGAAACCCCACTCTACGCCAGCGGAAAAACCTGTCAGAGACTCGGACAACACGCAATGTGAGTCGACGAAAAATCAAGGGAGAGACTTGTCGACCTTGCCGACGAGGTCGACGATGGAATTGACCTTGTTCTGTAGCGTCGGGGCTGCGGTGTGGACGAAGGAGGCCAGTTCGAGACCCACCATGCCGGCGAGGGGAACGATCTGGGTCTTGACCACCTTGGAGACGTCGTTGTCGGTGATGGCGTCGGCGAGGCGGACGACGGTGGTGAGCAGATCGGCGGTCGAGGTGTAGAGTTGGTCGATCGAGTCGGAGAGCAGGGTGATGGTCTGGCTGGTGCGAGGGAGGAGGGCGGCGTCGCGACCGACAATCTGAGCGACGTTGCCAGCGCGAGCTCCGGAGAAAGCGACAAGGTTCTCAACGTCCACCAGATCACCATCACGCTTGAGCAGTCCATCGACCGAGCCGCCAGCCGTGTCATCGACATCGCTGACGACATTGCCGTTTCCGAGTACGCCCGAGATCGTGCTGCCGACGTTGGAAAGCGTGGTGTCGACGCCGTCGAGCAGCTCGTCGCGTTTGGACACGCCGCCACCCACGAGGCCAGCAACAGTCGAAGCGAGCTGAACGACATCCTCCACCGCCTTGATCGACGAGACGAACGAGACGACGCCACAGACGGTGAGGCCCGAAACAAAGGCAGGCACGTCGGCGATCGAGCTCAACGACTGGATCAGCTGCACCGAGCCCGGAACAGCAAGGATGGTCTTGAGGACGTCGTCAACGTGACTGACGCAGAGGAAGCGGTAGACGAGATCGATGCCGTACGTCTTGATGTACGAGACGAGCTTGGAGCTTCCCTTGAGCTTGGCGATCTCGTCGATGCCACCCGGAGCAGCGGCGATGAGCGAAGTGAGACTGTCGATGTCCGTCAGAGCCTTGAGGAAGGACTCCGGGTTTTCGAGCTGAGCGAGGAGCTCGATGAGCGGTACAGAGGCAGGAATGGCGAGGATCGAGCTGAGGACCGTGTCGACGTTGGCAACATCGTGGATCGCCTGGAGGCTCTTGACATCGGTGAGCAACGAGACCACGTCGCCTTCCAGCACCTGATCGACGTTGAGTCCGCGCAGGAGCGTGACCAAGTTGGTGACGCCCGGGATCGCGCTGTTGAGGATCACCTCGGCGACGCGGACCAGGGCGATCGCGAGGAGAATCGTTCGACGTTGAGCGCCAGCCGAAGCGGAAGCCTGGACAGCCTGGGTCGAACCGTGCAGATCGGTCACAGCAGCCGAAAGCGTAGCCTCGACCTTCTCGAGCAGCTTCCCGGCGCTGAGCTTGGCCTTCTGAAGGTCGGTAATCTTGAGCACATCCTCGGCGAGCTTGACCTCGCTCTCGAGCGAAGCAGACAGAGTGTGGACGTAGCTGGCCACGTGCTTGAGCTTCACGTCGGCGCGGGCGACGCCGGCGGCATCGACGTTGGCAGTGTCACGAGCAGCGACGGCGGCACTGTGCTGTCGGGTCAGGTCGACTCTGGCAGTGTTGAGAGCGTTGACGTGCGCGCCGCCGTTCTTGACACGGACGAGCTTGTGTTTGGGCTGGTCGACCGAGTCGATCACGCCTGCATTGGCCATGTTGATGGCAGCAAGGACCAGGAGGAGGGCGCCGGAGATACGCATTTTGATGTTGCGAACGGGGAGGTGCAGGATGAGGAGGGCTTCTTGGAAGTCTCGTGAGGGCAGAGAAGTCAAGCTACAAGAGCGAGAGGGGGGCAAATTCCAGAGAAGGGGGAATGGGAAGGAGCACGAGAGAGGGGGGGAGCGTGAGTGGGCTGGAGTGGAGTGGGTTCGATGGGGAGACGGTGGAAGCAAGGATCGGTTGGGGAGGCCCATATAAGTACTTGTCCGTTCGTATAACGCTTTGTGACTAAGGGGCGCTCAAAGAGGAACCGATTCGTGCTCTCAGAATATGCAGTACCTTCTTCCGCCCCTGTGCCAGTCAGCGGATGTGCGATACGCAGTCCTCACCGAAGCCCACATCAGTGCCGCTGACAGATACCGATTGAAATCAAGAGAACCGCTGACAAGTGATAGCGAATGCGGCAACGAGGGTCCGAGAACCTGCCTAGAAGGTTCAAGTCCGAGATAGGCTATCACGAATCTGCACTAATGCAAGGCGGACAAAGGTTGCAAAGAGACTTCGCGGGCCGCTGCGCACGCTAGCGCAAACTTTAGCTGTCGAGGAGCGCCGGAGATTTGTTGACGCTCTTTCAGATGTCACGTTGAGTGTGTATACAAGAGCCGACAAGCGAGGGCCCTTTCGAGTGCGCGCAGCCCGCCCGACAGAGACAGAGTAAGCGTGAGGGATAGCGCATCCTTGAATTCCACAGGCCATGCATGGCGACATAGAGAAGGACTCTGCTGTGCCATGCAATACACCTTTCTGGAGCACTAGTGGAGCACTCAGTTAGCTTCGAAGTCTCGAACAGAGCTTTAAAGAAGCTATCGCCCTTCTGGATCCGTTCTGGCCTAGCTGCAAACGCGCTCGGCTCGTGCAAGAAGCGAAACGTGCGGCATCTCTGTCTCGAGCTCAGCTGCCGGTTCGAAAGCTTGGGCCCACTGGCGGTCATTGTATGCTGGCAAACAATGTGCAAGTCGCAAACAGAAGCTGTCACATCACGCTAGATCACGCTAGCTCGCTTTTGGTCTCTTTCAGATCCACTTCATGTTTCTTCCGACATGCACGCCTCGACCGACAATAGATGTGGACACTAAGATTTCTCGAAGAATATGCTGATACTGTATAATGTGAAGTGCGGCGTTATCGAGTAGAGGCGGCCGAAGCGGCTGAGCAGACACGAGCCTCGTGTATGCCGCTGCGGAGACCAGCTTGCCATGTGAAAATGTCCGGGATGCCGTAGCCCTGCTTGGCCTGCCTGGTCTTTCGCTTGGACGAGGTTGAGCTACTCGAGGCACTCCTCGTGGACTGCATGACGCCGTCAATCTCTTTCTCTTGTTTCGATGTGTCATCTATGTAGATGAAAGTGGCTCCGCTTAGATCGCGGCCGTGATTGAGGGAGCTCTCAAACAGCAGCATCTCCTTTTGTGCTAGCGTCAGCTCTTCGAGATGTGCAACGTGACTAGCGCTTCGAAGCTGAACGGCTTCAACATCTAGTCCCTCCGCGACACAATCGTCAGTTTCGAGATGAAGTCCGGATGACAGGTTCAGCAGATCTCGAAGCGTTCCACTACGAGATACAGTCGACTCGCCGAGGATGCGCTGACGTGCTAGGATGGTCTTGGGGTCCTTACCATGAGACTCGAGAGCACGTAGGGTCGCCAGGCTGGCCTGAACGCCCGTATCGGCGTAAGGCGCATGTTCAACGTCGTGCGGAGAAAGCGATGGCTCGATCGAAGACTTAAGTGGCGAGCGCTTGATCCGGTCGTACTCATGGCTACGTGCAGATCTTTCGTGACTGCTGTGCATCCATGTTGATGGTGGGCTGCTCGCAGTGACCATACCCGTTGGCATGAGGGGCGATAGATGCTGATCGCAAATGACCTCCGTACTGCGCGAGAGGAGCGATACAGACCCCTCTTCTGACATTGGCGACAAAGGAAAGGTGACCGATGTGATGCCGGGAAGCTGTCTTCGTGCGATCGGCCCCTGCTGCGAATGGAAAGAAGCGTCTCTTCTGCTCTCTTCATTCAGAGACACAGCGACTTCCAGGTCTTGAGGGCCACTTCTGACCTGACTTGGTGCCGTCTCGATCTTGTCTGACGGACGACGAGGCTGACGAGGCGGCGGAAGCGGGGCAGGAGGAACAGACGGAGTCAAGGACGAGAAGGAGGTCTGCGTTGAGCTGCTAGTGCCGACGCCGGCCAATTGACGCCCCGCTGTGCTGCAAGAAGGGCCAGACGAGAGTCCAAGCACACAGATTGGTGATTGAGACTCTTTCAAGGGCTTTTGCGCTACAATTCTGGCCTTCGAATGCTCTGGTTGCTCTACCTGTTCATCTTGATCCTGAGAGCGCTGCAGCCTGAGCCCAAGCACGAGGGGTGCTGAAGACCTTCGCGACCAGCTGAAGAGATCGCTATGCTCTTTCCGGTGCGAGAAGCTTTTGAGGCGGATCCTGTTGCGCTGTCGTGAAGCCAACGGAGGCTTCACAAGTGAATGTACGTTGACCTCAGAGACCGAATCGGCTGCGAGCTTGGCTGCTATGTTCTTGTAACAGCGCATCCTCGCCATGAGACTCTGAGTTCGTGGTCGTCTCGATCGTACACCACTCTGCGCTTCCTTTGTCTCGGAGCACGACGGATAAGGTACACCAGTAGCCTCGGATTCGGACGCGGCTCGGACACCGGGGAACGGATGCCGATCTTCGTCCTCCTGAGCATCCTCCTCCTTGCCGAAAGAGAATCGGTTGACGTTGTCACCTTCTGCGAAACCAAAGACTGCTTGCTGTGCGATTTCGACGCTTTGCATGTGGCGCAAGTCCTGCCATTCGGTTTGCCAGCCCTCGATAGGAAGTGAGAAAGGCTGTGACGGCTTGTGATCGCGCTTCAGACTGCTGTAGCTATATGGTGCATCTCGTCGATCGATGAGGACAGAGGCCGCGTGGTTGCCCGTCTCCTGACTTGATAGGGCCACAGTCGAGTAGCCAGGTTGAGTGTCAATGTCGGCCTGAGACTTGTCTAGATTTACTTCGGCGTACGTGCTCGAGCGCATCGCTGAAGACGCTGGAACCGTGCCTGAGTTGGACCGCCGACATTCAGAGGACGACTCTGACCCATTGCACCGATCCGATCGTGACGCTTCGTAGATTGCGACTGGCCCATGATGCCTGTCTGGAAGCGCGGTTGTGATGAGGCGGCGCAATGTATCTTGGCAAGCGGCTGAGCTTCACGTGATGAACCCAGATTGTGACGAGTATCAGCAGCTTGTTCGGCCAAGCGCCGGATCAGCCGACCTGAAAGGCCAGTCGAGGTGGGTTGTTTGAACCTGAGTGGGATTTGGCGGCGTCGGTCAAATTGTTGGAAGTGGGGCGTTGGCTAGAAGGCCAGACGCGCTGTTGGTCTCGGTGTAGTCCGTGAATGAAGCACGATGTGAGTATTGGAGAGTGATTGACCGAGGCCTAGCAAATGGTATACACAGAGATTGTCGAAGCTGAGAAGGAAAGAGGGACTCGATGAAGAAAGTGAAGGTGACATTGCGCCGAGAGCAGAGAGCGGCTGCTCCGAACAATGTGATGTTCGTGGCTCGCTCTAGCTCAGACCAAGCCGAAGAGTGGGCAGCGTACATTCACGTCACTTGAACCAGCCATCGTCTCTGTATGTCACAGACACAGTAGAGAGAGCAGCGTCGGGGCATCCGAATGCTGATGTGGTGGCTTGAATCGCGTGAGAAGTCGCTTCCCACGGTTGCTCCTACCGTGGCCAACTTTTGCTTCTCTTACGCGGGCACCAACCGCATACAAGTGCGCGACATCAAGCCTATCCCGTCGAGCCACCTTCGGCTGCGACTGCGACCGCGTAGATCCACGATGACTCCTCCCGACGGATGGCTGATCGACCATCGCCTCTGCGCGAATCGAAGGGTGATCCTACCATTTCGGTTCGGCTCCTCGGCACGACCCACTTCTCCAACATAGCGCCTCGTCACAACGGATTTGAACAGGCTCGATGCAGAACGAGACAACAGCCAGCAAGATACGGTGACAGTGCGTCGCCAGACCGAACGTCAACTCTCGAGGTGGCGCCGGCCCCCTTTTTTCCTCTCGTGAGCGTGCGCGAGTTTGACATGTCGCTTCGAACAGCCAGGGTCCAGCATGGATCGACGCCGTGCATGTTAGGCATGTGGCTTGCTGCACGCTGCAAGTCTTCTTGACCACACGCTTGCACAAATTTCAAGCGCCGACCAATTTGACACCTGCGCCGTTTACTCACAGACTTGAGAGGGATCGACGAGGCATCTCAACGAACCCGTTTCTCATAAGGTCTGGAGAGCGAGCTGGTCTCGAGGCTGAGCATGCATGTCGAACCAGAGCGCGAGAGTCTCTTAAGATGCATTCCTTGCATGTCAATGTCGGAACTCCTTACCTCGTCTGCCAAGCGGACCTTGCAACTGCCAGTCGCTGCCCTTTCTCAGCTAGGTGACCTGCTTTTGCCATTGTCGGACTCCGTGGAAGAGGCACTTCTCAGCGATGCTGCGCCGACGCCGGCAACCACCGGTCACTGCACCCGCTCCATGCCCTTCGACGCCAAGACCTGTGCTCAGCTGCCTGCATTGCGGGCTGCATGTCAGGGACCGTCTTCCAGCCTCTTAGGAATATCATTGTGCTTGATCTGCCGGCTTAGCCTTCATCGAGCGCGCCCTTCGCAAACGGACCTTCAATGTCACCATTCGAAGCCCACCTCGAAGTTCATCGGGTGCGTGGCTCACCTCCTCCATCTTCTCCCTATCAGTGGTCTGCTTCTCCCTCACCTTTGGCAAAGGACAGCTTCGTCGCGACGGCTTGTGACTCGTTCCAGAGCAAAGCCGAGAAGCTATAACTGAACAATGACATCGTTTACCACACGGAGGCCCCTATCAGGGTCAAGGGAAGCGCAGTTGCCCCACGACGAAAACGCAAAGCCAGTCACGCCCCGCTCAGGCCTTCTAGCTAGCGCGTCGCCAGCATCAAATACGCGGGTCGCGGGCTCCCTATCCAAGCTGCCCAGTCTCAGCGACATTGCGGCTCGATTGAACCGCGACAAGGATCTGCTCACGCCTACCGCATCCCCCGTCAAGCCTCCTCTGTCCAGCAACAGCAGTGATCTCGCAAGGCCGAGACTAGAGCTGACGGTCAGGTTCACGGGCTCGCCAAGGTCTCTGCCGTCCGAAGAGCGAACAGGCCCGATGCTCTCGCTCTCTCCGCTCAAGGCGTCGACCTGTGTGGCCACGTTCGACGACTCCTTGGACGGCAGTGCCTCCCCAAAGGCGCCATCGTCCCGCGCTTGCTCGCCGACAAAGCGAATGTTGGCGAGCGGTCTGCCAAGTCTCGATGAGATTCGCGAACGCATGACACGAAAGGGTCTGGCGACCTCGAGTGAGTATGCAAACCCAAAGGATCTGCCAACGCCATCATCCCCCGGCAAACCGGCTGGCTGTGAAGACTCAATCAGAAGCACCGATGCCATCCAGTCTCCCACGGCCACGCCGGGATCACCCCCGCTCGTCGCCTATACAAACATGCTTGTCAAGCCGTCCCTTCAGCTGCCTACCACTTCAAGCCTTCTCGTCACACCCAAGTTGAAACACCCACTTCCGCCGTCACCAATCAGACCCTCGACCTACCCTCTACAGCACGAATGGACGCTCTTCTACGACATCCGTGCCGTGGGCCCATCAACGCCTGGCTCGGCATCGATCTCCGAGGCGCCCTCGACACCTCTCACGCCCATTCTGTCGTCGTCCTCCTGGGAAGCCAACCTCCGTACGATCGGCACGCACTCTGCGGTCGAGACATTCCTCAACTGCTTCGTTCATCTCCGTCGCCCATCTCAGCTAGACCGTCACTCGTCCTATCACGTCTTCAAGGACGGCATCAAGCCCATGTGGGAGGACGCACGCAATGCCAAAGGTGGCAAATGGACCATCACTTTTCGGCTTCGCAATCCGGCACTCATTGACCGGAGTTGGTTATGGCTGGTGCTCGGCTTGATCGGGGAGCAGTTGGATGAAGCGGACGAAACGTGTGGTGCGGTGTGTAGCGTCCGACCGCGCGGAGACCGCATTGCGCTCTGGGTCAAGGATGGGAGTGATGTCGAGAAGCTGAACCGGATCGGGAGGAAGTTAATCTCGCTATTGGAGCTCGAGAAGGAGCCGGGCATCCTGATGGAGTTCAGCGCCCACGAGCGAGCCGAGGAGGGCAAGCTGGAAGGACTGTTCAGTCTTCAGAATGCGATGCAGGCGCTTCCATTTGGTGTCCAAGCGGGCCAAGTATCGCAGAGCCCACCTGGCATAGCAGCGCTTTCTGGCAACGCTTCCAGACCGGCCTTTAAAAAGGCCTTCTCAAGCTCGCCCGACGTTACTTCTTACGCGGCAACAGAGCCCAAAGCAAGGCTCAACGGTCAACAATCGAGCGCCAGCGCTAGCGGTCTTGCCTGCTCGCCGCCTACAGCCGGCTCATCATTTGGCGCACTCGGACAGTCGCTTGGACTCGGTATCAGCGGCAACACCTCGACGAATTTAACGCCGCGTCCCAGCAGTGCTACGAAGCCAGACAAGCCGAGCAGCTTCTCCGCACCACAATGCTCCAGTGGCAGCGCGTTCAATTGGAGAACGTCCATGGACCGCAGTGTTAGCCCTCGCCGTAGAGACACCGCACACGTTGCAACGACCGCCCGAAGTCCTTCGCCGTTCAAAGCCTCGTAGCCCCACTCCTTCCCTAAACGGACCTTTCACTCGCACACCCAATATCATCGTACCCTGCGCCTTCATTCGTTGTTCCACTACATCGTAACATCTTGCCAGCCCGTTCACTCGAGCTTGATCACCAGCTTACCCGTCGTCTTCCTGCTCTTGATATCGGCGAAGGCCCTCCTCATCTCGTCCGTCGTAAACCCGTACGTGTCATGCACGTTGATCTTGACCTTACCGCTCTCGATGAGCTCGAAGAGCTCCTTGGAGTACGTCTCCCTCTCCTCGCGCGTCGTCACGTAGTTGAACAGGGTTGGACGGCAGACCTTGAGATTCTTAGGTGCGAGTTTGAGCGGGGCGAAAGCGGGGACTGCGCCGGAAGCGTTGCCGAAGGTGACGATGGATCCCTTGCGAGCGGCGATGGCGAAGTTGGCCTCCCAGGTATCGGCGCCTACTCCGTCGTAGATGCCGTCTACGCCGTGATTGTTGGTGATGGAGCGGATCTCGTCGATGTACGCCTGGGGGTTTTCCTTGTTATACGTGAGGGCGTGGTGAGCGCCGTGCTTCTTGGCGAGCTCGCACTTCTCGGAGGTGGAGGTGACGGCGATGACGTTGGCTCCGAAAGCACGACCCATCTGGCACAGGAGAAGACCGACACCACCCGCAGCAGCAGTGACGAGCATCCACTCGCCCTTCTTGATCGGGTGGCTTTCCTTCAACAGCGTCAACGCCGTCAGTCCCTGGAGGTACGCAGCAGCAGCAGTCTTGGTGTCGATCCCATCGGGCAGCTTGACCACCCTCTCCCCATCCAGCAATTGAAGCTGCGTATACGACCCTCCACCGTACTGCACCACCCGATCTCCGACCTGGACAGTCTTGACGTCCGGATCAACGGCTTCCACCACACCTGCGGATTCCTGACCGATGATGATGGGGCATTGCAGCGGGTACAGACCGCCAAAGTGGTAGGTGTCGATCATGTTGACGCCCGCATACTCGTTGCGGACTAGCACCTTGCCCGAGCCCGACAGGCTGGGGGCTGCGACCGGGACGACCTGAACCACTTCCGGCCCGCCCTGACGCTCGATCTGAAGCGCTTGAATCGACATGTTTCGCACGAACGGTCTTGAAATAGTCACTGACGATGTGGTGGGGCGAAAGGACGAGAGATGGCGAGCGAATTGAGAGAGTCGCTGCGATGACATCGGAAGGGGTGATGCCGAAGGGAAGGAGTCAAGCGGGAAGGAAGGTCTTATACACGATTGAGAACGGCTGCGCACGGCTATTCATTCTTCCCCCCCGCACGCGGGTTGGAAATTGACCGACCAAAACCCCGCACACAGCTAAACCCGAGAGAAGTGCTCATCGTTCGGACAGCGCCACGGTCTCAATGTACATAGCCGCAGATCACACCGTGTTGCAGCATCGCACTCGGAAGCTTTGTTGAATGGTATCGATAGGAGCGAGGGATGGGGGATGTAGGTTCGGCCGCCTGTAAATCCGAATGGCAAAGCACGCGATCTTGTTACGCGCTTGCCCCGTGCGCCCTTTTCTCCGCCTTTTCCCTTTTCCTCTCCTCCTCATCGCGGTCCAACTTCATACCCTTCTGAAAGCACTTCTGCACACGCACACTTCCCCCACCCGGCTGCACACACACCTCTGAAGAACTGGAAAGATCACATATCATATTACGAACGATTCCACAGGTCAACGCCATTCGAGACTCTCTACTTCTTGTCAAACGCGTTCGTCTTCTCCTTGATGTGGTCGATGACGCTGGGGTCGGCGAGCGAGCTGAGATCGCCCAAGTTGTCGGTATCGTGCGAGGCGCACTTTCGGAGGAGACGACGCATGATCTTGCCACTCCTGGTCTTGGGCAGGTCGCTGACGATGATGATCTTCTTGGGTGCAGCGAAGGGGCCGATGTTCCTGCGCACCTGGATGACGAGTTCCTTGGTGAGGGCCTCTTCGGAGTCGTACGAGAACTCGGGCTTGAGCGTGACGTATGCGGCGATGGTCTGGCCGGTGACTTCGTCGGGGATACCCACGACGGCGGTCTCGGCGACACCGGGGTGCTGGATCAGCGCCGACTCGATCTCGGCCGTCGACAGGCGATGACCCGACACGTTGATCACGTCGTCGACACGACCCTTGATCCAGATGTAGCCGTCCTTGTCGCGCGCGGCACCATCGCCCGTGAAGAAGTAGCCCTTATAGGCGCGCATGTACGTGTCGAGGAAGCGCTGGTGGTCGCCAAAGATGGTTCGCGCCACCGAAGGCCACGGCTGCGCAATGGCCAGCACACCCTCGACGTTGTTGCCCTCCAGCACCTCGCCCGACGTCGGGTCGAGCAGCACCGGCTTGATGCCCCAGAAGGGGAACGTGGCCGATCCGGGCTTGGTCTTGGTGGCTCCGGGCAGAGGGGTGATCATGATCGATCCGGACTCGGTCATCCAGTACGTGTCAACAATGGCACACTCCTTGCGGCCCACATTGTCGTTGTACCAGTGCCACGCCTCGGGGTTGATGGGCTCACCGACGGATCCGATGACGCGCAGCGACGACAGGTCGTGCTTCTTGACATGCTCGTCACCCAGTCGTCGCAGCAGACGAATCGAGGTCGGGGCCGTGTAGAACTGAGTGAGCTTGTGCTGGTCGACAATCTCCCAGTAGCGCGAAGGCGAGGGGTAGACCGGGGTCGACTCGAACACGAGCGTAGTGACACCGTTCATCAAAGGACCGTAGACGATGTACGAGTGGCCCGTGATCCAACCAACGTCAGCCATGCAGGCGAAGCGGTCTCCCTTGTCCGGGTGCACATCGAACACGTGTCGCAGAGTCAGCGCGGTACCGAAAAGGTAGCCCGCAGTGGCGTGGACGACACCCTTGGGCTTGCCGGTAGAGCCGGAAGTGTAGAGGATGAAGAGCGGGTCCTCGGCGCTCATCGACTCGGGAGGGCAGTAGGCGCGCTCACGCGAGCAGGCCTCGTGCCACCAAATGTCGCGCTTCTCGTCAATGTTGACCTGGCCTCCCGTACGCTTGACCACCACGACGTGCTCGACCTTGTCACACTCCTTGAGGGCGGCATCGACGATGCTCTTGGTGGCGATGTTGCGACCACCACGCTTGCCTTCGTCGGTGGTGATGACGACGCGAGCACCGCAGTCGTTGGTACGGTCGCGGAGCGAGTCGGCGGAGAAACCAGCGAAGACGACCGAGTGGATCGCACCGATACGCGCACAGGCGAGGAGCGACACAACGGCCTCGGGGATCATGGGCAGGTAGACGATGACGGTGTCGCCCTTCCTGACGCCGAGCGACTTGAGCATGTTGGCGGCCTGCGAGACCTGGACGAGGAGCTGCGAGTAGGTGATCTCCTGGGCCTGACCGGGCTCGTCGGCCTCGTAGATGATGGCGACGCGGTCGGGGTACTTGTGAGCCCATCGGTCGACACAGTTGTAGGCGGCGTTGAGACGGCCCTCGTTGAACCAGGCGACGTCGCCGTTTTCAAAGCCACCGGATCGGACGGTCTTGAAGGGCACATCCCAGTCGATCAGTTCCTTGCCGAGCTGTGCGTAGTTAGGAGGAGGGAACAGATGGGTTGACGGTCAGTGGACATGTTCACGGCTAGATACGAGGAATCGGCTTTTCCAGCAGAGTTGACACATCAGCTTGTTCGGCCCTGCCAACACAGAGGGAAAAGGGTCGCAATGGCCGACCAGCTGGTCTGCCTCCCATCCGGCTGATTGCCGAAAGGCACTTCTTTAGAAACTGTGTTTACTCACCTTGCCAAAGAATTCGTCGGTGTTGTCGATCGACTGAGGGTAGTCGGACTTGTACTTGTCAGCATTGACGTGAGGAGCGGGGCGACCGTCCTTTCCCAAAAGACGGGAAGGGACGTCGAAGGCGGGGACCTCGGGGACCTCGGCTTCAGCCATTTTGGTGCGATTTTATGCGGTGGAGATGTAAGGAAAGGTGGGAAGCAGGAAGGAGAGAAGGCTCCTTTTCTGTCTACCGGATGATGTGAGGGGATAAAGACACGCTTGGGCCGTTGAAGGTGCAAGGTGGTATAGTCGAAGCAAGGAGGAAGGAAAAACCGCTCACAGCGGCAAGAAGGGATGGGAGGCTATATATGCAGTGAAGGGCGTCGGGCGGTCTGAGCGGGGGGAGCGGCGAACTGAGGATCTCTTGGTCACGAGCTTGGGCAAAGACCGAGATCGAGCGAGGAGCGGTCAGTGCTCTGTGCTTTGGCTTGGCTTGGCCCTTGTTCGCGTCTCTCTCCACAATTAGGCACAGCAGCGAGGGGGAGGGAGAGAGGCTTGAGACAACCCTTCATCAAGGGGGGCGGCAGCCAAGCGAAGACGAAATTGCCAAGGGACAGCCAGTCAGCCAGCCACTCACGATCAGGCGGCCTTGACTGGAAATGGACTGAACTCGACAGCCAAAAGCCCATCTCGGCCCATCGGTCCAGCCCTCCGACCAGCGCTTTCCCTCCCATTCCTCCCGTTTTCGCCAACGTCAAACTGCTCGATAGCCTTCTGAGCATTGAACCTTTGCTATGGCTGTCTTCCAGCTCGACTTTGATCCACAATCGTGGACGATGAACAGCGGTGAGCGACAAGTCTCGAAGCAAAAAGCAATGCGTCGATCCTGGTCCATGCGCACGCCTTGTCCTCTTGACCGTGTTGACTGTCTACGCCTCCACAGCGTGTCTTTCTGCTTTATTTTTCTTATTATTCTTCGGTGACTGCTTTGTGCCAAACGGCGTTGGTCTGAGCGGGGAAAATCGCAGTCTCGAACGCTCCTTCCTGCACGAGCGGCATTATCGTCTCGGCGACCTCTGTCTCAAGTCTTCTCTGCGCCTCTCTCTCTCACTGCCCTCTGACCAGGATCTCATTCTTCGACGACGAGGAGCTGAGATTTGATTCCCCGGGAAGCTGCTTGCTCGTCGCAACTAGTGGTGCCGAGGTGCGCCTAGATGCGACCCCGCTCCGCAGCTCTGCCGTTGTTTCGCCCCAATTTGACGTCCCTTCCCCGCAGCGATGAGCAACTCCTGTCAAGTTAGATCCTGAAGCTCCGCTTTTTCCAGTCGACCGTCGGTGATGGCATGCAGCTGTCGTGACAGTCAGCAACGCAGTCTCCTCTTGAACATTGATCTTCGGCCCAACGCGGCCTTGCTGTTCTGGCACTGAAATCCTTCCCTGACACCCCAGGCGGACCCAGACCAATTCGATTCGTGCCTTTGGCTCTGTCTGCCACGTTACCGCAGGCCCATGCGGATGCACTGTCCAGGGCGTGACAGAGTCTGCTACTCCTTGCTCTAACGGAGCTATCCGAGGTGACCAAGAGTGGGCCATGAACACCTCGGCTCGCAACAAGACTGGTACTCGGAGGTCTCGGCGCACGTCACTGGGTCTTCATGCCGCAGCTCGCTTTTGCGAAACCTCTTGCTACGGTATCGCAGCCAGCTCTGTCATTGTCAAGTCTCCTGCGTCTATTGTTCCGTACCTGTCGAGCGCAGAGCAGAGCGCTTTTTGGTGACATGCCTTCCGACTCTCACCTCGGCAAAAATCATCCAAATGTGGAGTGACGCACAGGCCTCTTTCTTCTTCTTGCATGGCCAATCGCATTGTTTGCTTTGCATTTGTATGCGGATCGCCCTGCATCAAACTCTCTTTCGGCCGCGGCCAATCGGACTCCATTCGAGATTGCGTTGGTACCACTGGACGGTGACAGCGAGTGGATGCGACATGTGATTGAACGTGAACGAGTTTCGCGTGACAAGATTGAGAGGTGATAACTGAGAGAAGGCCTCTGCCATCCTTTTTTAGCACAGATCCGACGCAGACTGAGATTCCTGGCTTGCTTTGTGCGGTGCAAGCCCGAACAATAGAGGGCGGCGAGCTACGACCTCGACGGCCCGCTTCCGACACCTCCTCGTCTGCTCAGCTCCTCTCATCCCCGTATCGTCAAAGCGGCACAAATGGGCCAATGGCCCTCCTCCGAACTACAGCCCCAACTCGATTATTCGGATCTTCCGGCAGCTTCACTGACGCTCGGGTCGAGCCGCGATCATGCTGGTGCGGCAGCTGCCGACGTCGAGAAGAAGGACCAGCGAGAGTGAATCGCCGATTTTATGATAATCCAAAATAGCGGATCTCGGGTAGAACTTCTTGCGGCTCTGTCGGTTCCTCTGCTTCAACGCACTTTCAGGGTTCAACCCGCAACCTCTTCTTCCCACTTCGCGACCACCACCCAACAGCTCGTCAAGATGGACGGCCAAGCAGAAGGATCCTCGCATCGTCGCGTCTTCCTCCCTCCACGCTCCGAGTATCGCTTCGAGCTCGAACCTCACGAACGCCTGTCCATCCGACTCGTCCCATCCCCCACTCAAACGGGCGAAGAGCCGGACGCCGAGATCTTTGGCGCCGAACTTGTCTCTGGCACCCAAGAGCGATGGTACCCTTTTGGAGATGAAGCGAAAGCGGCAGTCTCGTCCTGGCGAGGAGCCGAGATCGAGATCGCCGGCACAGCGTCGACCGAGTACCTGGCCGACGAGCCGTCTCCCGTCTATACCGCGTATTCCAACCTGCATCTCTACTTGGAGCGAAGACGAATCGAGGCGCGGCAGGCGCTCAGGGCGGACGCAAAGCTGCTTTCGACGCTAGCGGGGTCAGTACTGGATCCCAGCTATGTTGCCCCTCGCACGACCGACCCAGGTGCCGAAGCCGAGGACAGCGAGACAGCCTCGACGGTGTATCGACCGGAAGGACAGGGTCCACGCGTCATGGTGCTCGGTCCCGAATCCGCCGGCAAGACGAGTCTCATCAAGTTTCTCGCCAACTATGCGCTTCGTTCGCCCGCAGTTGCCAGCCTTGGTAAGGGCGAAGCGGGCAGGGTTGCCGAAAGTCTGCGCACGGGTGGGGACGGGATCATCTACCCGAACATGGACGCTAACCTCTCGGAGGAAGCGCGCAAGGAGAAACGAGAAGAGGAGAAACGGTCCGATATCACGGGATGGTGGCCGACGGTGGTCAACTTGGATCCCAGCGACGGAGCTCCTCCTCTACCGTGCTGTTTGTCCGCCTTGCCGCTGTCGCCCTTGCCACTGGCATCGCTGCCCAGTCCCTCGCCAGCATTCCCGTTCGGAACGAACACGAGCACCACCGGCGCCATCCCACCAGGCACCTCCACCGCGCACCCCGTTGCGCCCCTCTCACTCTGGCTCGGCAAGCAGAATGTCCGGGACAACGAGCGGCACTTCCGTCGCGTCGTCGACTGGCTCGCTGAAGGCGTGGAAAGGCGACTATCGCGCGATTTCCGCTCCCGAATGTCCGGTCTGCTCATCGATACTCCCGGCGTGGTCACAGCCGATGCGCGCACCAAATACGCCTTCCTCCAGCACTGCATCCGCGCTTTCAAGGTGGACACGATCGTCGTCCTGGGTCACGAGAAGCTCAATCTCGAGATGACCAAGCTCTTCGCCGGGTCGGGGGTGAACGTCATCAAGCTGCCCAAGTCCGGGGGTGTCGTGGAGCTGGACGAGACGTATAGGGCGAGACTCAAGGCGTTGCAGGTCAAGACGTATTTCTATGGCGGCTCCAGCGCCGGGGGCAACCAGGATGGGATGCCCAGAAGCGTTTTGCCGGGTCACGCAGATCCGCTGGGTGGGGTGCCCTCGTTGAGTCCCTACAGCACGACGATTCCCTTTGACCTGTTGGAGATCTACAAAGTTGGGCAGGAGAGTTTGGCGCCATCTTCAGCGTTGCCGATTGGAGCATCGAGGACGGTGACTGAGACGCAATTGGTGAAGATGGACCCGACCAATTCGGCGGCGGACCAGACGAGTTTGTTGCACAGCGTGCTAGCGCTCATCCAGCCCCCCAGAGGTGGTGGAGGTGCTGGACAGCCGGACTCAAGCACGAACCCGACAGATGACGAGATCATCGGTGCACCCATTTTGGGCTTCGTTCACGTCGCGGATATCGATACGGTGAGGAAGAAGATCACGGTCCTCTCGCCGAGCACGGGCAGGCTGCCAAGCAAGACGGCCATTTTGGGCGCGTTGGACTGGCAGGATGTGTAGCGCTCAGTCTCTTCTTTGCTTTTCCATATCCTCAACATTGTACTTTTGGTTTTGCGCACGCTGTCATTGCACTGCATCCTGAAAGACGACCTGTTGGTTGCGAACACAAGTGCTTTGGGCAACATGAGAGAGTCTGACGCCCGGAAGCTGAAGGAATCGCGCAATGCCGTTCCTGTCTGTCCGATCTGAAAGCGCTTGCCGCGGATGAAGGGATGCTATGTCGTCTCATACCATCATTGACTGGGCACTGCGAGCTTGCTTCTATGAGGCACGTTCTGCGCGTCTCTGTTGCGAACCTCTGTCCGCCAAAACAGAGCACGTTTTCGACCGTCGGCAGCGTGCCCGCAACTGCCGCAGAACTTCATCTCCCACTTGTTGCCCCGCACCGCATTGTTCATGCAGGTCTTTGTTGACTGCAACATGGCAACCAATGCAAGCGCCCTGCGTGAAGGCTGTGAACCCGAGCATCCGAAGCAGAGGCCGGAGCCATGGCACTCTGACGTTGTGCATTCTTAGCCGCCCAAGAAAAGTTTGAGAGATAACACGTTTTCATGCACGTCGTACTTCGCTTAGCGCCAAAGCGGTTTTTCGGCTGACCTCGTTCCATTCTTCTAGCTCGCTTTGGTTCTGCCTCGCCTGGACGCCACTGGTGGGCAGTCCTCGAGACTACTATGAGCAAGTGGGGGCTGTTCCCGCCGGCAGCCGTGCCGCTGCAATAATGCCGCCGAGATTAAGGTCGGCTATCCACAGCGGTGTGGGCAAAGATATATAAGATTGGGCACACGACATCTTCGCCCTTCCTTGTCATCCCCCTCTTCCTTCCTCCATAGACCCTCCTTCTGCTCAAGATGCTTTTCAAGAGCTTCATTCCGGCGGCCGTGACACTGGCAGGCCTCGCCTCGGCCTGTCCCGGCATCGACCATGCCCACGGTCTGGCCCCACGTCAAGTCAACTACTCCACCACACCCAGCGGAGGCGAGAGCTTGCTCCGCCACCTCGTCTGGGGTGACCTCGTAGTTCTCGCTACGACTGATATTCATGGCTGGTACCAAGGTCATCAGAAAGCGAGCTACCCTGAGCCCAACTACTCCGGTGACTGGGGTGACTTTGCCTCGTTCGTCTCGCACATGCGCAAGCTCGCCAAGGACAAGGGCGTTGATCTTCTTTTGGTTGACTCGGGCGACCTGCATGACGGTGCTGGTCTCAGCGATGGCTACCCTGCTGGTCAAGTGGACGGTCAGACCTCGAACCAGTTCCATGCTAAAGTCGACTATGATCTCTTGACCGTCGGCAACCACGAGCTGTACAAATACGACGTGGCTTGGAACACCCTGCAGGAGTTTGTGCCCGAGGCCAAGGGTCGCTACCTGGGCTCCAACGTCAACATCAGCCATGCTGGCAGCGACGGCGGCGCCAACGTCACTTACACCTATGGCGACCGCTTCGTCAAATTCCAAACCGACGGCGGACGAAACGTCACCTCGCTCGGGGTGCTCTTCAACTTCACTGGCGCGGATTCCGGCATCACCGTTCAGGACCCGGCCAAGATGGTCAACGAGACGTGGTTCAACGACGCAATTCAGGAGCAGCCGGATGTCTTCCTGATCGCGGGCCACATGCCTGTTCGAAACGACCAGTTCCCCGTCGTCGTCAACGCCATTCGCAAGGTGCACCCGACGACGCCGATCATGATCCTCGGCGGGCACACGCACATTCGCGACTGCACGCAGTACGATCGCTACTCGATGGGGCTCGAAGCCGGACGCTATCTCGAGACCATCGGCTGGATGGCGATGAACTTTACCGACAACGGTCCCACGTTCAACCGCTCGTACATCGACGCCAATCGCCGCAACTATGCCTTCCACGCAGGCCTCTCGAGCCCGTCCGATAACTTTGACACTGCACTCGGTCTCAACATCACCCAGCAGATGAACGGCGTGGCGGACGCATGGAATTTGTCGCACGTCTACGGCGTCGCTCCCCAGGACTACTACCTCCAGCGCGTTCCCATCAACGACACATCCTCGCTGATCAACTTTATGACCAACCAGGTGCTCCCCACTGTCATCTCGACTTCCAACCCAGATCGCAAGGACGTGCCGAACCTGGTCATCGCCAACAGCGGCAGTCAACGCTTCGACCTCTACGCCGGCAACTTTACCAAGAACGACCAGTACATCGTCTCGCCCTTTACGGATGCGTTCCAGTACATCCAGGACGTGCCGTACAAGTATGCCAGTCAGATCATCAACAAGCTCAACCGGGTCAAGTCGAGCAGTGCGAGGCGGGCCATCGCAGCGGTTGACGAGGAAGAGAGGGAGAAGTATGCCAAGGGTCACGTCTCGCACATCTACAACGCCTGGATGAAGGAGCAGCACTTCTTCGCGACGAGCCAGTCGGAAGCTGTTCGCGATCTGGCAAGGCTGGACGCTCGTGCGGCGGCGGAGGCAGCCAACCGCACCCTCGGCTATGTCACCAAGGACTCGTGCCCCGGCGCCGGCGATGACACCGTCCACACCGCCATCCCGTACGCTTCCGTGCCAGACTATGTGCAAAGCCCCGTGACAGGGTCGAATGTCACAGCCAACACCACCGTCGACGTCATCTTCCTCGACTTTATCGCCAAGAACGTCGTCAGCATCTTGAACGGACTGCAGAAGGACAGGAACTACACGCTCAACGATGTGGCCTCGTACAACCAGTACACCATTCAGGATATCTACCCGCTGTACGCCGAGCAGGTGTGGGCCAACAACGGCACCAACTCGACGTCGTCGTAAGGTCATTCATGTAGAGGTTTATGGCTGGAACTCAAGACCAAGATTGTGATGGACTCACTCACTTGCATCGTGTGAAAGTGAGACCGCTGCTTGTATACCCGGCGATCACATTGCGTGAGATGTTCGCCGTGAAATAGATCATGTTGATGTTGCAACGACGAGAACGAACTTCATAAAATCCCGCCGGCTGTCAAGCAAGGCCTCTAACAAATTCGGAACGCGGACCCTGCCGCATGTCAATCGTGCATTTCCAGACGCCGTCCATCGATACCGCCCACCCACCATCCTTCATCTCATTTCATCCTCTCTGCCAAGAATGAACTCGCTCCCGGGGGCATCTGCCACCAGCTCGGCGCCCAACAGCACCGAACTCATGATCGCCCTCTCGCAGATCCAGCAGCTGATCCCACTGCTCGACTTTCGACCGGGGGGTCTGACGCACCTTTTGCCCACCCTTCTGACGCCGTTGCTGCCGACGAGCGATGCGACGGCGATGCAGGGTTACCGGGCGAGTGTCGAGCATGCCTTTCGGGTTGCGGGCGAGCTGGTGGCGCGCGTGGGCGACGGGAGTACGCCTGCTGGCGCCGCGTTGGAGTTGGCTGAGCGGTTGATGAGGGAGGGCGACGAGGGAGCAAGAGTGCTGCGCGTCCGCAAGAAGAGGAGGTTGCTGGCGGAGCAGGAGAAGGCGATGGAGGCGAATGCGTGGGGACCGAGCGTGCCGGTGAGGGCAAAAGACGTCAAGGCGGATGCGGAGAAGAAGGAGGGCGCAGAGCAAGGGGCGGTGGAAGTATCCGCCTTTCTGCCGTCCCAGAACCCAGCGAATACTGTACTCGCGACATCACAGCAGAACGTGCCACCACCAACAACAGCGCAGGCGGTGGGGAAGTATCTCACTGCGCTGCACGCATACCTCCAGACGACGGTCGATAAAGGGTTGGCGCCACAAACGGTGCCGCTCAAACAGGTCAAGGCGCGCATCACCGCATTTGCACCGCAGGGCTTCACACTGGAGGTGCAGATCGCGCAGGTGATCAAGGCGGTCATCGAGGCGAGCTTCACGTACTGCTCCACGGCAGACGACGCAAACGAGGAGCGAGAGCTGCAGAGCGTCGAAGTGGCAGCTCTCACATTGGGCGGGGTCAGCGAGACCATTGTAAGTGCACAGGCTCTCCACAAGATGCGGGAAAGGAGTACTGATCCTCTATCTCCGTTCGCCGCAGACATCAACAACACCAAGCGCATACCCAATCTTCCGCACGCTATCCACCGACCTCCTCACTCAAACGCAAAACGCGGTCCCTTCCCTCACCGCCGCCACGTCGGCAGACGCAAGGATATGGACAGCCTACACGCCGATCACCGAGACCATCACCCGTCTCATTCTCGCCGCCGCGCACTTCCAGTCGTGATACACCATATCAATTCGCAACTCTAAAGAATACAGAGACTCTACTCGTGCTTCTCATCGCCATTGACAGCGGTGGCACTGGACCCATTGCTCGTCTCGCGACTCCTCCTTCCTCCTCTCTTCTTCTCGCTGCCGGTACGATCGATCAGTCCCTGACTCGTCTCGACGTACTGGCTCCATCTGCGCTCAAAACTCTCGGTCAACTTCGCTGCCACTCCTTCGCTGCCCTCGACCTTATCCGCGGAGATGGAGATGCTAAAGTCGCCGCCGTAGGAGCAGATGCCGATACCCAGTGTGCCCTTGCCTGCCTGGGGTGGGAGTGCGGTCCATCGGACCACCTCTTGTCCCGCAAGCGTGATGCGCTGCTTCGACGGGCAGGGCACGTTGGTGACCACGGCGGTGAAGCAGGTGAGAATGCGTTCGGTGACCCAGGTCGTTGGCCAACGCGTCGCGTTCAACGGATGCTTGGGGATCAGCCCGAACGGCACAGGGTAGAGGAACGGCAGCTGACCAGTGAGCTGGACGAGGTGAAAGGCGATCTTGGGCAGCAACGAGTTCTTGAGAATGTTCAAGCGGCTGTGGGTGGTGTGCAGACGCTTGTGCAAGGTCTTTGTCTCCGTCGAGAGACCGGATGTGGTGGGCAGGTAGGCGATTCCACCCGTCGACAGGTTGCGCAACGACCAGTCGCCCGGCTCGCGGATCGAGATGGGGATCATAATCCCAATCGGCGAGGGGAGGATCTTGTGCGAAACACGCTTGACAGCGTTGAACCAACCCGGCTGATCCCGTTGGCGATCGAGCTCGTCGTTGATCACATCGGCAATGACGGTGCAGATGATGTCGTTGACCGTGAGGTGCGTGCCGATGAACGGACGAGAGACACGTTTGCCTCCCTGCACCTTGTCCAGAAGAGTACCCGGTTGAGGACCTGAAAAGGCCTTGGAGATGAGCTTGACGTCGGAAAGCGGGATGCTTTTGGAGATGCTGAACTCCTTCTCGTGCTTCCGGGGGCCTGGGTAGCTCGCGGTGACGTAGCGCTGACGCCAGAAGGTCATCATGAAGAAGAAGCTTGTGTGAACAGACAGCGTCACGCAGCCAAAGAGGTCCTTGAGGAACCCAACGAACCAGCTGGTCCAGTAAAGCGTGATCATGACGAGCTGCAGCGCGATGGTGCCGTGGTACCGATCGAGGCTGGCGAGCTTCTTGTTCATGCGCGAGGGCAACGCCTTGCCCTGCTTGGCGTCGCTTAGCAGCTGCGCACCGTCGGCCATCATGCTCTCGAGCTTGGGTCCGAGCGAGGTGATGAAGAGCTGGCTCATGATGAAGCCTTGACCGTCGGCCATGGTGTGATGGCCACGAATGACGCAGGCACCCTTGGCACCCGTCTCTTCGTCGACAAAGTTTTCGAGCAGGATCGATTCCCAGAGCGGCTTGGTGTAGTCCCAGTCCTGGGCGATGAACTCGGATGCATAGGCCTCGAGCTCGCGTCGACCGGCGTTGCCAGGAAGGTTCTCAGCGCGCATGTGGTGGTTGATGTCAAAGTTGGCATCGTCGACAAAGACGGTACCGTGGAAGAAACGACCGACGTCGGCGAGCTTCTGCTTGTACTTGGGGAAATGGTCGACCTGCTTGAGGATGGCGTCCTTGATGTCCTGGAGCTGGGGCGGCTCCTTGAAGGTGTACGTAGCGGTGCAAACGGGGTTGAACTTGCTGACACCGTCCATGAGGAGCCACATGTTGTCGATACCGCCGATGGCGTTGGCTCTGCTGAAGATCTCCCACTGGATGAGACGCTCGAGGTACTCGGCAAAGCCCAGGGCTTTGTGAGCGACCTGTTCGAGCACTCCACCTTTGCGCTGGTCGACCACCTTCTGGAGCGCCGCCTCGGTGCGCTCGGCTACATTGTGGATGGTGGATCCAAGAGCGGGAGTGTTGTAGCCGGACGCCCAAGGGCTTTCGTCGAGGGAAGAGACGATGCCAGGGAAGAGAGGGTAGAAGAACTTGCTGGTGGGCGTGGTGGTGCCGTCGGCGCTCGCACCGCCGTTGCCGTTTCCGTTGAGGTTGAGGCTGGTGATGCTGTTCATGCGGGCAAAGCGAGAAGACGATTGCACCTTGGGACTTCCGTTGGCGCCAGCGAATTTGACGGAGACGTTGGGATCCAAGGTGGCAGTGGGGCCGGAGCCCTTGACCTTGGCGGCTGGAGATGCGGTGGCAGGTTTGTCTGCTGTCGTCGACATGTTTGCGTGCGAAGCAGAGAGAGGTGGAAAGGATGTAGGGGGGCGAATCACTGCATGAGAACAGTGTGGTGCTGGTGGTCGTAAAGGTGGCCTATATAGACCAGACGAGAAGAAGTTCGCCACGATGACAGCTCCGAGTGGGGAAACTTTAAGGTGGGACAAGCGGACAAATTTGGTGGTTTCCGCTCAAACGTCATCGTCCCAAATCACCGTTTCCACCGGCAGCGGGCTCGGCTAAAAGTGGGCGTTCCTAACCAGAAATGGTTGCCGCTCGGGCGGTGACTGTGGGGAATTTTGTGATTTGTTAGATCACCAAAACAGCTTTCGTTTCAACTTTCGAAAAGGATCCGAGATCCGCGACTGTGAATCAAGCGCGTCCGCAATGATCTTGTAGCAGCTGCGCTTCTTCTCCTCCTCCATTCCTGCTATTTAGCTCGGATCGGAAGCATAGCTGACTTGATCTTCAGCAGCCATCAGCCAGTATGCCCGCACCAACAGCTGCCGCGGCTTCGGCAGCGGATGACAAGGCAGCCATCAACGACAAAGCAGCACTCGGCAAGACCACCGACTCGACAGGTCAAACTCCAAAAGATGGCACCATTCCATTGCCATCCACGTCCGCAGCATCAGGCTCAGCAGCGCCCGCCAACGAAGCGTCAGCTGGGAGCGTGTTCAGTAGCCCAGACATGACTGCAGCTGTCCTCACCTACCTCCAGAAGCGCGGCTTTGATCGTGTCGAGGCTGCTTTCAAGGCCGAGCTCGATGCGCTCGCTTCGGGTGCAAGCGCAGAACAGGCCGCTGCCGCTGCTGACAAACTCGGACGGCCACCCACAGTCAGTCTTGAAGATCTGGCTGCCAGGAACGCTCCTCGCACAACGGCTGACAAGGACGGCGACAAGGACAAGGACGCCGTAGAACCCACCACCAAAGACCAGAACGCTGTCGCCGATGGAGATCTCACCTTTGCCGAGGACGGCGACGTGTCGGCCGCAGCAACACAAGCTCTGCTCCTCGACCCAACCGATCGCGCAAGAGGGTTTGCCATGCTCAAGTCGTGGTGCCACGGCAGTCTCGACATCTACCAACCCGAGCTGCTGCCCATCTTGCTACCGCTCTTTGTCCACTCCTTCCTTGACCTCGTCCTGATGGGTCACGGCCCAGCTGCCTCGGCGCTCTACACCGCTCACGCTGCCTCGTTCCTGCCCACCCACACTGCGCTTCTCTCTCAGATTCGCTCGCTGGCGCTACCGTCGCACATCCAGTCGGACTCGCTTGCGCAACGATTTCGATCCGAGCGTTACATCGTCAAGATGTCCAACACCGTCTTCAGCCTGCTCCTCGGCTGGCTGACCGATGGAGGTGGACCGGTGTCGGGCTCGACGAGCAGCCTCGAGGAAGCCGAAGCACCTGCCCGACGAGGAAGGGAAGCCATGCTCAAGATCATCAACGAGAGGTGTCGGATCCAGGTCCTCGCTGCGCAGCCTTACCAGATCGACGCGGCAGTATTGGAAGAGGGCACTGGGCTCACGGGTGCTGGACCCACCTACTCGAGCGTCACCACAGGTGCTGCGGGTCGAAGTCGCATGCACGCCTCGATATCTAAGAACGCGGTGACGCGAGGCGATGCGCTCGCCGAGTTCAACGCTAGAGCTGCGGGACCTCAACTCAAGCTCCACCCGACCGTGCCGTTAACCGAGAGGCTGGAGACCGAAGTTCAGAAAGAGCTGCAGGAGGTAGAGCGCCGCGAGAAGGAGACGACCGCGGCAGTGACAGCAGAACAGAACAAGGAAGCGGAGGCATCGGGTTCGACTGCAGCTGCTGCGCAAGAGGGGGCCGACGGGAGCAATGCGAATCAGCAGCAGGATGGTGATGCAACGATGCAAGATGCGACGGCCGGTGAAGACGCTCAAGACGGCGATGCTGCTTCCAGAGCCCGTACAGCATCCGTGCGTCCATCTGAACCGCCCACCTCTGCTCCAGGGACAGCACCACCCACCACCGCCGCCGAAGCAAAATCCAACGAGCCCGACTTCTCCGGTGGCCTCCTCGCTGCGAGCATCACCGACCTCCCGCCCCAAGCACCGACATTCCGCACCGTCGACGTCAAGCGCGAAGTTCAGCGCGTTCGCGACGCTCGCAAGCGGATCCGTCTCGATCCATCCCTGCTCAGTGCCTCCACCTCGACCGGCTTCACCTCTGGCGTCCGAGATCCGGCTCTCAATGGGCTTGGCGAGCAAGGCGCGCACGCCGCACGCGTCGCCGCCCTCCCCTCGGTCTGCGCCTACACCTTCCACGACGCCGACGACGGCATCACCTGCTCCACCTTTTCGGACGACATCACGCTCATGGCTGCCGGTTTCGAGGAGTCGTTTGTCCAGCTCTGGTCGCTCAAGGGTGAAAAGCTGCGCGGGGTTCGGGGCAACCCTCATCTCTCGTCCATTCGAGACAGCCGCACACTGGCACGTCAACGCGAGGCGGAATCTTACTCGACCCGTCGGCTCATCGGTCACAGCGGCCCGGTGTATGCCGTGGACTTTGATCCCGTCGGCGGGTCCGCCTCGCCCCCTCGCCACCTGCTCAGCTGTTCCGCCGACGCGACCGCCCGCCTGTGGAGTCTGGACACGTACAGTGCGCTCGTCGCCTACCGAGGGCACCAGCATCCCGTGTGGGACGTGAAATGGTCTCCCATCGGCACGTACTTTGCCACCGCCTCCGCGGACAAGACAGCCCGTCTGTGGTCCACGGAACGCGTCAACCCACTCCGCATGTACGCCGGCCATCTCTCGGACGTGGACTGCCTCACATTCCATCCCAACAGCCTGTACCTTGCGACGGGATCGAGCGACCGCAGTTGTCGGCTGTGGGACGTTCAGCGCGGGGCGTGCGTGCGGCTGTTCGTGGGGCACCAGTCGGCCATCTCGTGCGTCAAGATCAGCCCGGATGGCCGATACCTTGCGAGCGCCGCAGCTGGGAATGGCACAGCGTCGCAGTTCACCGGCGTCGACGGGGTGGATCCGACCTCTCGCGGTGCGCATCAGAATGACGTCGCCATCTCCCTGTGGGATCTTGCCAGTGGACGACGGATCAAAAAGATGTGGGGCCACGAGGAGAGGGTGTACTCGATGGACTTTTCGGCGGATGGATCGTTGTTGGTGACGGGCAGCGAGGATTGCAGTGTGCGTTGCTGGGATGTGAGGGCGGTGGGAGGGGCGAGGAAGGTGCCCGCAAAAGGGAGTTTGGAGGCGCAACAGGCGGTGGGCGGGGCAGGGATGGGCGCACCGACGCCGGCTCAGCTCGCAAGTGGCGGCCTCGCAAGCGCTGCTGCGGCGAGCCAGACCAGCGGCGCGGACCTGGCCAATACCAGCGCGGACTGCGTCGCCACGTTCCACACGAAGCGCACCCCAGTGCTGGATGTGCATTTCACCCCGAGGAATCTGTGCCTCGTCGCGGGCGTCTACGAGGATTGATAGGAGCGTCACAGCCATCGTGCTCAATACCAGAGTCATTCTCGCAAATTCGTTCCGCCGGGCCTGTGCGCATGTGACAAAGCAAAAGTCAAAGTTGTGCGGCAAGCTCGAAGCGCCGACCAGCAGAGTCTGGTTTCGCAGGTGCCGTTGGAGTGCTACGGTGGCTGAGCTCTGTGAGTTGTCGCTAGGCGTGCGTGACAGCAGTGACGACAACTGCGCTTCAACTTTGAGCAACTGAGCCGCCCTTTCTATAATCACACACATCTCCTCCTACTGCAGGCTTCGCGACTCAGCCCTCGAGCTCAGCCTCAACGACTCAGCCAACTCACTCTTCCTTTCTCATATCCCTTCACCTCCATCATCAACCCTGATCCCTACCCTCATTTGACTGACTCGCCTCTTCGGTCTCTCATTATGGTCCGACGAGGTAGTGGCGTCCGAGCCGGAGCCAGTTCCGCGCCACCTGCCGCAGCCGCGTCGTCAGACGAACCTACACCCCTCGACCAGCTGCGTGCACTCAACAGAGAGCTTGCAGAACGGGACCGTCAAGGTTTTCAAACTCGCACCACTGTCCTTGACCCCTCGATCGTCAGGACTGCCGAACCTTTCATCGAATTCGTGACCAAGTGGGTCCGCGAATATTACAGCTGCACCCGCGACGAAGCCTTCGAGCGTATGAAGCGTGGGGAGAGTCCGGATGGACTGTCTATGTCGCTGCTCCAGAAGACTCTGTGGGACTGGCCGATGCCGGACGAGCGGGGCCTTCGCTCGACGATGATCGCGGACTTGGGCCGTAACGTCGCAAACAGATACCTCAACGAGATGCGCCGGATCAGAAGCCTTGCCCTGCTGGACCCTTATGCTAAAGCGGGCGAGCCGGATTGCGAGACTCTCAACGTTCCTCGAGAGTTCAGAAACAAGTATCTGCTGACAATCGGGACCATCAGGGCCCAGTGGACGGCTTACTTGCAGGTCATCGGTCGCGAGCACATGATGGACATCCCAGCGGACCAACTCAACGAGTCCAACTATCTGCCTTACGCCAGCATGTCGGTGCATTTCGTGTCCAACATCTTCCCCACCTATGTGGAGCGAGGCCTGCTCCGCCCCGAAGACGACGAGTCACAGCAGCGCTAAGCTTCCAATGTCTTGATTGCATGTACGCTTCCCGAAGAACAGCAGAGAGCTGCATCTGCAGCTGCGTTGGTCCCAGCGACGCAAGCGTGCGCTCAGCTGGCAAATCTCCAGTGGGCCTTCCACGATGAGCAAATGATAGCAATGTGATTTTGAGATTTCTCGCAAGGAATCTAGGATGTGTGCATGTGTGCGGGTCAGAGCTGGGAACGAGCCTGTTCACTTGTTCTCCTGCTCGACCTTGATCAAGAACTTTTCCAAGTCGAATGCTGGGTTCTCGGGATCCGTGACGACTGTTGCAGGAAATAAGGTGGAAGCAAGAGAGAGGAAGGGTCAGCATTGTGCTCGAGACTGCGTATGTATGACTGGCGGGCGATTCTGGTGCGGGAGCGTGCGGCTGGAGCTGTTGCGCGCGGCGCATCAAAGCGTTTGGGGCAGATCAGGCTGAGGTGCCGGGACGACGTTGAGAGCCTTGCCCGTACCGACCCGATCGTCTACTGGGTCTAGATCGCGTCTGACCGGAAACAGAACGGTAACGGCAGCGAGCTCGTTCTCGGGGGATCCGCAGGCTGGCATCGCTCTGGTGAGCGGTCGGCTCGTCCGAATGCCTCTCTACAGTCACATCGATGCTGAGTCGTCGTTCGTCTTGTGTGACGGAATTTCGTTCGATGCATCGTTGTGATGGTGCTGCAGTACCCGTCGCCCCGTATACTGCACGCTTCGTTGTCCGTCGGTTGCTGCTCCGCCGCCACTGATTGCCAGCCCTCCTGAGGCGTTGCGCCTATCTCACGCCGTCCAGCGCAATGTGCCTCGTCTGCGCTGCCCCTCCGGTGCTGAGAACGCCTGCTGTACGGAAGTCGGATGCCGAATCTGCGTCAAATACTCACTTCCAGAGTTGCTCTGCTGGGCGACAAGACGGTTCTTGTAAGCCTCCTTCGCCTTTTGGATGAGGTGCTCCTTGTGCTTGTACGCGGCGTGAGAAGCCTTAATGTCCTCCTTTGCCTGCAATGTCCTGCGGTGCAGAATGCCGTATCCAATGCCGCCGACGAGTGCCGAATAGCGGACCACCTGTGGTCAGGAACAATGCGATCAAAGTGGCATTGTTTTGTGGAGCGAATCAAGGTGTAGGCCAGCGGGTACGAGGAGCGTGCGGACCGTGTCGCGAAGCGTGTCGATGTGGCGAGACAGGGGGCGTTCAGATACGAGGAAGGAAGCAAGAGCTCAAGTCAGTAAACTGGGAAGAGGAAGAGGCGACTTCCGGGACAGAGCAGATCATGCGAGCATGGCAGAAAGTGTCGAGCAGCAGCATCTCTGCGCTAGTGGTATCGTGACCTGATCGCTGCGTATCCATGGATGCGACACCTACGTTCAAGACTGGAGAGCTTGCCATTGTGTATATGTGTGTGTCGACGGTGAACGACCGATCGGAAAGGATAGACCAAAGAATCGAAGGCTCGAGACGGGTGACCCGGATGAGACGCTGAGCACGAATGGAAGGGCTCGTTGAGACGTCGTGCGAATGAGAGTCGAGTAGGTGACGATAGAGGGTTGACCGGACGAGATCAAGAAGGGTGTGGGGACGATCAAGGGTCGAACGATCCTAAGCTTTGACAAATTGGCCACGGTTGAGAACATCAGCTTCGCAGAGCCAAACTCCAATTCTGAGAGAGGCAGGTCCGCTCCCGGTTCAGCTCGCAGCTTGATTTCTTCTTGGGATTCGCCTATTCTTTCCGGTATTCCTGCAGGCGGGAATACCAAATTTCAATTCTCGACCGTCAGCTTCCTATGCGTTTCAATTCAAATTGGCGGACAATCTTCCAGCGCAAATTTCTCAAAATGTCAGATCCTCGAAGAGGACAATCTGAAAAACGGAGGTTGTTAGAGCGAGGTCAAACACCTCGAGTCGATTCGAGCTGCGGCGTCCTCCCATCAGCTTCAAGGTTGCATGCCTCAACCAGAGGTGTCGTTGCTTGCCGTCTTCGTCTGCCGTTGGCGCCTTTGCATACGCTTGCATCATGATAACCTTATGGATGTCTTGTTGATAGGCTGTTGAGCAACGAATCAGGCTTTCTGCCTGAGAGAGACTTTCTCCTGATCACCAAAGTGCGTCCAAGAAGAAAGTGCCCCGCTTAGACGACGATTTTCAGCGAAAAAGGTCAGACGGCCGAGAGGGAAATATGCAGGCGGCTCAGCCTGCTCGCGCGAAGAAGCACACAGTCGACGGCAGAAGAGCAAGAAGCTCACACGCTCACTCCAGGCTTGGTTGCGCATAGATCGTCTTGATCGTCGATTCCTTTACGGCACTCCCACCATATCATCTAGCTACCTTCTCGTTCGGTCTCCCGTTTCCTCTTTCCGCAGACCTTCACTTCATCATGGTTCTCAACCAGGAAAAGCTCGCAAAGCTCCAGGCTGCCAGCCGAACCGGTACGTTTCCAGCTCGACTTTTCGATCCGCTGCAACGAGGAGTTTCGCAACATTGCTGCCTTGTCCCGATCGATATCGACGGCGTCCTCGATCTGCCGCGCTTCAGATAGCTCCGAGGTAATGAATGGGAGCATCTTTACTGACTGAATCTCGTTTGACTGTTTCACGCACCTACCACCTGGACCGACCTGACTTTGCTGCGGACCTGCTCGTTCTATATTCGCCGATGCACTCGCCTCGACCCATCTCGCCGCACCGACCTCGAACTGCACCCGCACGCACCATCTTGGACCGCTCACGCATCGATGCGCACATCTACCTCGATTCGCCATGCCCATAGGCGGCAAGGGTACCCCCCGTCGTAAGATGGCACCCAAGGCCAAGGGACCCGGTGGTGAGGACCCTAAGCTCCAGGCCGCCCTCAAGAAGCTCCAGGTGGAGCCCGTCTCTGGCATCGAGGAGGTCAACATGTTCAAGGAGGACGGCAACGTTCTTCACTTCTCCGCTCCTAAGGGTGAGTTTCGGTTGCAGGCGGTAAATTGATGTCTCGTCTCGAGCACGCAAAAGATTGGCAGGGACGCTTTCCATCGACGATGAGGCAGAGGGTGGTGCAGCACATTATAAGTAGCTGGTACGCGCGGCGGAGTTGATAGGTTGTTGAGGACGCAAAGGCACCATGTCGACCGCTCAGTCGCAGAAGAGCCTGGCACGCGACGCTCAAAGTTGGTAAAAGCGCTCGCGAGAGGGCTCTCGGATCACCGAGCAGGAAAGAGTCCGATGCGTTGCTCAACGAACAACACTTTTGGAAGCGATGCACGCAAAGCAGGTCTCGATAGGAAGGGGTTAGCGACCGGCCGTCCAAAATCCTACTCGCACCTCGCCTTCTCCGCCGCTCGAGACGAAGCATCCTGTGACATGCCGGACGACACATATTGATATCCTCTTCATCTCCATCTCCTTCCCTATGGCACAGTCCACGGTCTTCAGTCCAGCAACACCTTTGCAGTGTACGGCAACGGTGTCGACAAGGAGCTCACCGAGCTTGTGCCCGGTATTCTGAACCAGCTCGGTCCCGATTCGCTCGCCTCGTTGCGCAAGCTCGCCGAGTCGTACCAGGCCATGAACGCCCAGCACGCCGCCTCGCAAGCCGCCGCCGGTGGTGCCGCCACCAAGGACGACGACGACGTCCCCGACGTTGTGGAGAACTTTGACGAGGCCGACAAGAAGGAGACCGAGGTCGACAAGCTGGACTAAGCGCATTCACCTTATTGCATTTTGTACTATCCAGGTCGGTATCCTGCGTCATGCTTGACAAGGATTCAGACGAGGGAGCAATTAGGCTCTCTTATTTCACACCCAAAATGACACACTCTTGTTGTACAAGGCTCCATTTGCGTCGGTCGCAGGACCGCATTTTCTGAGCTCACTGCTGCTCATTCTGCACTACGACTGCCATCGCAGTCAGGCTGAACGGCTTCTATTACGAGACGATATTGGACACATGAAATCTTCACACGATCGTCTTAGAGGCAGTGATCGTCTCCGACTGGTTCCTCATTCGATGAGGGCAAACTTGTGCGTAGCGCCCTTCTGCAGCGCCTTCTGGTAGCTGGGCAGCTTGGCGAGCCCCTTGAGCCAGGCCACTGTGTTGGGCCAGTCCTCCTTCTTCTTGCCCTCGTTCGTGATCCCGGTGTCCATCCAGAAGGTGTACTCCGCCGAGAAGGCGCACATGACATCTGCGGCGGTGAGTCTTCCTCCGACCAGATATCCTCCTGCGCCCTGCTTCGCCAGTGCGGACTCGAGCAAGTTGAGGTTGTTCTGAATATTGCCGCTCATCTTGGTCTCGATGTTCTTCGCTGTCGCATCATCGGCAAACCAGCGGGGGTAGATAGCCGCGAGGGTGTGAACCATCATACCTTCGCTGAATGAGATCCATGCTTCGATGTCGCCTCGTTCCTGCCAGTTCCCCTCGGCGCCAAGCAGGTCGGTGCGCCCCCGTTGCGGGCCGTAGCGCTCAATGAGGTACTTGACCAACGCCGCTGACTCGCCGAGCGACACATCACCGTCCACGAGGTAGGGAGACTTGCCAAGTGGGTTGTTGGATTCCGACTTGAGCTCTGGAACAGCCCGCTTGCCCTCGATGCGAGCATAGTGCTTGAGCGTATACGGCAGCTCGAGCTCTTCCAGCAGCCAGGCTACGCGGAATGCGCGCGAGTTTTCCAGGAAGTACAGCGTTCGGTTCGAAGTTTCGGTAGACATCTTGCGATTTCGTCGATTCCTAGCGTACTGATGGTGATGGCGATGATGACGGGAGAGAGGTTGAGATGGACGGTCAATCAATGCGCTGGTCTCAAGGGTGCCTGGTGGATGCTGCAGCTGGAAGATCGAGTCGCCGAACCGGGTCTGGACAGTGCGGGGAAGCCATCGCGTCTTATTTACGAAGATCGCCCTTTGCACACCCGACAAATGTCCCTCATAGCTTTCACTGGCCACGGCTCATTCCCGCACACCAAACGTGCACACACAGGCCGCTCAATCGATGAGCCTTCCGGAGAGGCCTCGAGCACACCCCTCCAGCTCAAAGACCGTATCAGATAAGGCCAAGCTAGCCCGATATGGTCGATCAGATCGGGTCGGGCAGCAGAAGCATGGCCGCAATAGGAAGGACTCGGCTTGCTGAATCGTCGCAGGCAAGAGCTAAGCTGCCTGAGGGCGCCTGGAGTAGCTCGAGATCCACATGCACGCGCGCAGGGGCATTAGCCGCCAGAGAGCTTACACAGGCGAAAGATGAAGATGCAGGTTTGTCTTCCATGTCTGTATTTACAATGGGACCGTCTGTGGTGCGATTCGCGCTCAAGCGAGCTTGCCTTCGGCCCATCGGTTGGTCTTGAGAGCCATTCTGTGAGATCAATGACGAGGTCGATGGAAAAAGAGTGGTCAGCGAACAGGTCTCTAGCAGCTGCAATCGTCACAGCGTTGCTCTTTCGAAGCATAGATACGTACTCGACCGAAGCGGATCCCCAATCCAGACCGTGGTTGTGGCCCTTGTTGGCACCCCTTCCGACACCGCTCCTCTCGAGCGCCTGATCCTCGGTCAGGGCGGTGAGAACACCCAGAATGACGGGCACGCCCGTATCCAGCCCAATACGCATCAATCCGGAGCAGCAAGACTCTGAGATGTACTCAAAGTGCATGGTCGAACCCTTGATCAGCACGCCGATGCCAATCACCGCATCGAGCGCCGCCTTGCTCTTCCCCGCCGACCCGGTCGTCGGAGTCGCAGGCTTGCTGTTGTCATCCAGCAACGATGTAGCGCCCATCAGATCGGAGACATTCGAAGAGGCCTGCACCTGCGAGGCCGAGATGAGACGCGAGACACCGAAAGGCAGCTCCCACGAGCCGGGCACGCTCTCGATGACAATGTTCTCGGGCTTGACGCCTGCCTTGGTGATGCTCTCGACGCAGCCTTTGACGAGAGGGGTGATGCACTCTTCGTTCCATCGCGCGTGGACGATACCGATGCGCAAGTTTTCGGCGCCTGGGAAGGAGGTGGGCGCCGGAGCGGGGCCTTTGATGCTTGCCATTGTCGCTGTTGCTGTGAAGGGTGTTGAGATGCTAGCGTGGTGGGTCTGCTGATGAGGTTGAAGGTCGAAAGGAACGAGCACAGCCTCGAAGCTGAAGTGCTAAGTCCGTGCGTGGCTAAGGAGAGCATGAAAGCGTGAGGTGAGCGCCCTTTTTCGAGTTCTAATTCGCAGATCTGCTTGTGATCGAGCTGTCACCATTCCCGATCCAGTCTCGCTCTCGCCAGGCCAAGACCGGAAGTCGCAAGTCGATAGCCGACACAACCGGATCACTTTCTTCGCTTCTTTTTGCCCCGCTACCGTGATCTGTGCCCTGCTCACGATTGCTCATCTTGCCCTTTCCTCGCCTTGGTTCTCGACCATTGCCCTCCACCTTCTCGACATGAGGACGTCCGCTCTCCTTCGCAAGTCTACCTCCCTCCTTGCACGATCTACGCTAGCCACTCCATCGACAGCAGCAGCCCGCGTCGCACCTGCCCTCCCTGCCCTCGTCGCCGGCACCATGTCCAACCGACGCGCCAACAACAGGCTCAACCAGGTCTCTCGTCAACTCACTTCTTCCCGTCCAGTCGTGATGAGTGCTTCCGCTCCCAACCGTGCTTCAGCAGCCTCGTCCACCGTGTCCACCAACGCAAATGACGACAAGCTCGTCAAGCTTCTCTCCGAAGGCGGTCTGCGCACCATCCTCCTCAACCGCGAAAAGGCACTCAACGCCCTCAACCAGGAGATGGTCGACCTCATCGACGCCGCTCTCGACGAGTGCATCCGCTCGTCCACCTGCAATGTCATCCTCCTCCGCGGCACCGGTCGTGCTCTCTGCTCGGGTGGAGACGTGCTGGCTGTCGTCAAGGCGGCCGACTCCAAAGATGCCGCGACACGCAACACCGCCCTCGACTTTTTCCGCTCCGAGTTTCAGCTCGACTACAAGATCGCTCGCCTTGGTGAAGCTGCCAACGCCCACAGCGCCGGTCAGGGCGCCGAGGACGCACGCACCCTCGCCAAGTCCAAAGGAGGCGACTTCAAGAAGCCCAAGACCTTTGTCGCCGTCATGGACGGCATCACCATGGGCGGCGGTGTCGGTCTGTCCGTGCACGCACCCTTCCGTATCGCCACCGAGCGAACGATGTTTGCCATGCCGGAGACCGGCATCGGCTATTTCCCAGATGTCGGTGTCACGCGTGTGCTCGCCCGTCTCGACGGCAGGATCGGCCAGTACCTCGGTATGACCGGCGCCCGCATCAGCGGTGAGGAGGCCTACCTCGTCGGTCTCGCTACGCACTACATTCCCTCGTCGAGCATCGACACGGTCGCTCACCGTCTCAGCACCCTCCCTGCCGAATCGGCGCTCAACCCGTCCCTCGTCTCGTCCGCCCTGCAGGAGTTCTCGTCCGACCCGCTCGCCGCCAAGGATACGCTCGCCAAATCCGCCTTCTTCGGCGACCGTCGCATCGCCCTCGACTACGTCTTTGGTCAGCTCTCGTGCGAATCCATCTCCAGCTCGCTCGAAGAGATCGCGGCCGGTAAGGCCGACTCACAGGCTGCGTCCGAACTTGCCCAGCTCGGCCTCTCGTCGCTGACACCAGAGGTGCAGCAGTGGGCAACGCAAACGCTCAAGGATTTGAAGACGAAGTCGCCGCGCTCGCTCAAGATCACCCACCAGGCCATCCTGGAGGCGCGCCGATTTGACGTGGAGGAGGCCTTCCGATTCGATATGCGCCTCGCTGCTGCGTTTTGCGATCTCTCGATCGGCAGGGACTTTTATAGCGGCGTGACGCACGTTCTTGAGAAAGACGCCCAGGGTAAGCGCAGGACCGGAATTGCGGATTGGGACCCACCCTCGCTCGAAGAGGTCAAGGACGCCACGATTCGAGCACAGTTCTTCAGCGATGCAGAGACGGCCAAGCGCGCAGGGTTGAAGATGGACGTGCCCGCTCTCGAGGCTGTTCCCGAGCCACCGACGAGTAAGGAGGCGAGGCAAGCAAGAGACAGTCTGTTGCGAGGAAAAGGTCCGCTCAAGTGGGAACAGAGCCACAACGTCTTTGCGCTGCCCAGCGAGGCCGAGTGCGCGGCGCTGTTGGAGGGATCCCACCCCGCAGCGGCCGCCGTCAAGCCGGATACAAGCGAGCTGGTGGAGTGCTTGAAGAGGCATAAGGGCAGTCTGCCCGGGTTGGAGTTCAAGGTGCTTGACTGGGTCAAGAGGCAGGAGAGGCGTCGGGTGTGAGGACTGGAAGAGGAATGGCATTGATGTGATGTCGATCATTTTTCACGAGAATGAACTTTAGCATAGTAGATCCCATTGCGCCAACACAGAGAAGGCATCGGACGCCGCCGCCACTTGACTGTCGGGAGATCGATGGTGTTTGTTGCTCAGATGTGCGTCAAGCGACACACGGTGATGACTCGCAGGTAAGCCTCCCAATGAGCCTCAGCGGTTTCGCGGGTCAGCAAGTACTTGCGCCTGACGTCTCGAGGAAGGTTGAGCGTTTCGAACTGCATGATGCCTGCCATGGCGTTTGGGTTATCTATGGCGAGATCGCGGATGCGGTTCATCTCGGCGAGGTATCGGCGGGCGGTCTCCTCACCCAAGTCGGCGATCATCGCTGGTTCGAGGCCACGGCTGGCCGGCATGGCGTATTCGATCACGGCGCGAATCATCAAAGTGATTGGCAATCCGTTCGGGTCGGAACCACGCTTCATTCGCTCAAAGGCTTCGTTGCGGGTGCAGTTAAAGTGCTGACGCGTCCACTCGGTCACAAACGCGATGAAGGGCTCGGCAGTGTTGACGATCGAGTGGTCGATGCGAAAGTGTCGACGTTCCTCTTCGGTCAGTTCGTCGACGAGCAAGCGCAGCTGAATTAGACGTTCCTCTGGCCCGGCGGCTCCGGCGGGCTGCGTAGAATCAGACGCGGCTTCACGTCGAGCCATGTTGAGAGCTCGGGAAGGCGGAGGAGACAAATCGGCGGGGAAGAATAATGTTGAAGAAGGGAGAGATTTGGCACACGCCGAAGAAAGAAGAGAAGTTGGTGATGGGAGGGAAGAAAGGAGCAGAGCGCAAGACTCAGTTGATTTGGCGAAGATTGGTGTGATGTGACTTCAGAGAGGGGCTGGAGATTTCAGCGCAAGTCTTGGGATGATTCTGTCACACGCCTGGCGACAGTGCTAAGATGCCCAGATGCGCAGCGCACCAAGAGGCTCTGGCAAACTTTGACAGTGGTGGGTGCCGTGCGCTTGCTGCTCAGCTGCACAGGGTGGCCTGCGCTCATCCATTTCATTTCAGAACCTTATCCTCTTTCGAGAGTGTCGCGTTTGTTGCCTGTAGAAACACATCGCAATGCATGCATATCGGCAAAATGGCGGTTTTGCTCATGATCGTCACCGTCACCGTGATTGCAATGGTTCGTACCTGTGTGGCCCCTCTTCACCAAGCCCCTTGATCAGACCTTCATCAAACCAGGATGATGTCGCGGTCGTTTTTGATGGCATTATCCACAGAAGCAATATGGATCTCCGGAATAGGCACTCTGTCAGGATCAGAGCCAGTCTGGAGGCGCTGTAGAGCCCCGGTCATTGCATTGCAGTGGAATCTGAGAGCCTTCCGTCTTGCAGGTGCACCAGACTCACACCCCTGAGACCCTGGTTGTTGCGGCACGGGGACAAGGAGTGGCTCGAATGCCACATCTTAACCAACACAGGACGATACGACAAAAAATAGCAGAAGTCCGATATGGATAGGCCGGCACGAACAACGCCTACTTCGGCTTCACTGTTCGCTAGTTTCATGGCAAGGATCGTCGACGGCTCACCAGTGCGCTCCCGAATCGAGCACATCGCAATTCGGTTCAATGGCTTCTCATCCTCGGACTCTGGCGCGATGTGTTCCAAAACGGGCCCGAGCTGCGCCACCTTCTGTCGGAAGATCCGGCTATACAGGCACGAAGCTCAATACGCAAGAACACGATGCTCAAGATCAAGGCCAACAAGAAGACGGGCCGACATCATATCAAAGTCGTCTCTCAAAGCAAAAAGCTATGCGCCGAAGGGGAATCGAACCCCTGTCTCATGCTTGGAAGGCAAGAATGATAACCACTACAACTATCGGCGCTTAGTGACAGTCATATCAAAGTCGTCTCCAGAGCGCGACCGCCAGAGCTTAGCAGGCGTCAGAGACGAGGCATTACAGTAGCGCCATGAGCACTTCTTCAACTCATCATGATGGTTTTGCTAGTAGTGATGCCTTTCTAGTGGTTGAAAGTATGCTTCCCGGGCGCCCCTGAAGCTTTGCCGGTGACTAGCACTTCTCCCTGGGTGCTCGGTATGACCGCTCCACTCATGTGCGTGACTGAGACTGTAGCACAGGCATCATAAACGTTCCTCATATAACACCTGTCACTAAGCGCCGATAGTGTAGTGGTTATCATTCTTGCCTTCCAAGCATGAGACAGGGGTTCGATTCCCCTTC